ATTTTACTTGCATTTCAAAAAGCCAAAACCCCTCATACGCTATGGCTCACCAATCCCAAGATTTCTCGCTACTGGACGCCAGCATCTCTGAGCTCCAATCCGCGCTTTCTTCAGGATTGCTATCTAGCGTGGGCTTGGTATCACGATACCTACGACGAATTAGCGCTTACGACGCGAATAATTTAAAGCTCGCTGCTATCCCAATCCTTAACCCATCCGCTCTCGATGAAGCAGCCGCCTCCGATGCTCGGCGCGCAGCTGGTCTTGCGCCGCGTCCATTAGAGGGCATCCCTTACCTCGCAAAAGATAGTATTAAAGTCAAGGGCATGACCGTTGCAAGTGGCTCGCCTGCATTTGAAACCCTCATCGCCAACGAAGATGCTGCTTGCATCCAACTTCTCCGCGAGGCCGGCGCCGTGCTTCTTGGCCGAACGAACATGCCTGCCATGGCGTACGGTGGTATGCAACGTGGGTGTTATGGGCGCGCTGAAAGCCCATATAATCCTGCATATCTGGCTGCGGCATATGCTTCCGGTTCATCAAATGGATCGGCCGTCGCGACAGCGGCCAACTTTTGCGCTTTTTCTCTAGGCAGCGAGACTGTTTCTTCGGGTCGCTCGCCCGCGTCGAATAATGCTGTTGTTGCATACACACCTTCGAAAGGCCTTCTCCCTCTTCGTGGTGTCTGGCCACTCTATCTGACCTGTGATGTCCTCGTGCCACATACCAGGACCATGGCAGATATGTTCCACGTCCTAAATGTTCTGGCCGTGTCCGACAAAGCTCCGATAGGAGATTTCTACCAGGAACAAAAACTTATCTCCCTCCCTTCAATCAATACACTCCGACCACAATCCTTTTCAGAATTACAAGATGGCACATCCTTGCGCGGGAAGCGCATTGGTATACCGTCAATGTACATTGGAGGCGACAACTCCTCTCTATTCCCAGCCAGCAAAGTCAACACCCGGCCCTCAATAATCAAGCTATGGCAGAACGCCAGAAAGGTCCTCGAGTCCTGCGGTGCGGAAGTAATCGAAACGGACTTTCCACTCGTGACAACCTACGAATCAAACGCAGACAAGGGCCAGCTCGTTACCGTCGCCGGACTACCAGAAGGCTGGTCCACGCTGGAGCGGAGCGAGCTCGTCGCGCATATCTGGGATGACTTCTTGATCAACAACGGCCAGAATGGACTCGAGACTCTTTCTCAGGTCGACCCGACGACTATCTTCCCGCTTGCGCCGGGGTCTCTGAAGGGTGCGCCCGATGCGGCTAATGCGCTGCGGTGGGATGAGATGGTTAAATATCCGCACCGGAGGCCAGAATCTATTTTTGATATCCCTGGTATTCAACAAGGAATCCAGGCTCTTGAGAATGCGCGCAAGGAGACTCTTGAGGACTGGATGGATAAGATTGGGCTTGATGCTGTGGTTTTCCCAGCTAATGGTGATATCGGGGCTGCTGATGCGGACTGCGATGAGACCGCTTCGCTATTTGCGTGGAGTAATGGCGTCAAGTACTCCAATGGAAACAGACCTATCCGTCATCTTGGGGTGCCCACTATCTCTGTTCCTATGGGTATCATGGAAGATACGGGAATGCCGGTAAATCTTACTTTCGCTGGGAAGGCGTATGATGACAATAGTCTGCTTAAGTATGGCTTTGCTTTTGAGTCGGCCATGAAGGGCCGTGTTCAGCCACCACGAGTGCCTGCTCTTGACTCCGATTTTATCAAGGGTAGTCAAGATCCTCAGCCATGGGCTTCTCGGTCGACTATTGAGTTGGTGGTGGAGACTCAAGTGAAGGAGATTCACGACTCCACGGTTGTGGTCCAGATTCAAGGATTGGTGGTACCCAAGGACTCCCAGCTAGAGACTATGGAATGCCATGTCAACGGCCAACCATTCAAGCCGGCCATTGAGGGCGATAGATGGTTTATCATTGCTTCCTATCCCGCATCGGAACGTGACCAACCCTGGAAGAGATGGTCGAGTTCTGCTTTGACACAGACTATCGTAGTTATCACAGCTCTTACGAAGGATGGCGCGACAACGGGCAAATTGATCCTATTGTGAAGACCTATTGTCGCCAAAATAAATGCAATTCTTCTTTCCATTACTCGATTATGTAGCACTCCTAGAATAATTACAAAGCCCTTTCGTATTTACAATCTCTATTCCAAATCCTCCCCTAACAAGTCCTGAGGTATACTCCTCCCATACATCATATCTTCAATCATCCCCAAAACAGCTTGGTGCAGATAATTTTTCTTCAACAGCTCCAAGTGCAATTCAGCCTCCTCCAGAGATACCGTAGCACTAGAGTTGGCTTCAAATGTGCTAACATTCCACATTATTTTCTGTCGTATGAACTCAAACAGCTTCATATACGGCGTTACATCCTTCCACCGGTCGACAAAGCCAGCCAAATTGGCCGCACATGTGGCAATGGCCTGTTGATTGTTCTGCCTGATGCGCTGTTGATCCTGAATATCAGTGATATGGGTTGTTGCCCAGACAATGTATAGCATCATGATTCCTGCTCGGAATTGGAATACAAGCTAAAAAGATTGTTAGTCAGGCAAGATCACCTCAAGTACACCGCAATAGAAGAAAAGAAAATTGGGGGGTTGACACATACTGCAGACCAGGTAAAGCACATTACATGTCCTTCTTCTTGTAAGTGGCGGAAATTGAGACAGACTTCCGCAATCGTCGCGAGAATTTCCTCTGTTCCGTCCATCTCGATGAAATCGCGTTTCTCGTCTATCAGGATCAAGAGACTGTAAATATATAGCTTTCGCATCCATATGGGATGGAGATAGCCATGTTGGTCATTGTCTGATTCGTAGTGTGGAATCTCTTGTCGCCATCTATCAAGAGCAGACTTGAATGAGGAGCTATAGTCTTTACTATATCTGGTGAGGGGATTTCGGGGCCGGTTCTCTCGCGATCTTCTGATTCTGGCTTGAATTTTGCGTAGTCGGAACAAGTGGCTTATGGCGGGGTTTGTGCTGACGGTTGGTTGGAGGGTATCTCCCAGATTGCACATCTAATTTGGGTTAGTAACTGCCAGAAGCTACTTAGAAGCGTTTGAGAAGAACTCACGTCATCGTCAACAACTTTGTAGGCAGCTGATACTGGTCGATCCCAACCAGAAACAATGACTTCATTGAGCATATAGCAAGTGATGAACATGTTCTCAGACAAAACTTCGCTAGATTCGGTCATGGACCCATTGTCGCGGCATATCGATACATGCTTCTGGATCTCTGTCATGGCAGCTGTACAGAAAGGTAACACAGAAGAGACGATTGTTGTGATATCTTCAGAAGAAGGAGAATGCATAGCATAGAGTATCATGAACAGTGAAGCTTGGATTTGTAAGACCATAGACGAATGCCCCACAACATATGGATAATATCTCATGGCCGAGGCATAATACTCCTTTGACCGGACGGAGTGCGAGGGGTCTCGCTGTAAAATGCTACAAAGGGATGAACCGATAGCATATACCATCTGCAGAAAGAAGGCTTTCCATTCATCCTGCCCATCCAGGATTGCTTCGGCATGCCATGATCTCCAAACTGCTTCATTCAAGAAGGGCCATTCGCGGTGAGTCACAGAGAAATACACATTCGTGTAGAGCTCTTTCAGCCAAGGAGAGTGCTCATCAGTCAAAGGATATGAGGGTGCCAAGTCAATCCATGGAACGTCGAAAGTCGTCTCCGGGAATAAAGAGAATGCGTCAGGCGAGAAGGATGGTGGAGATGTTCGAGGTGATCTTTCGCTGCTATTCTGCAAGTCTGACAGAAGCATAAGAGAGCCGTCGTTGTCTCCTCCACTACTATTCTGATCGGCTATCATGTAGTTTGAGTCATTGCCTGGATCATTGCGCTTGTGTTCTGGATTTTCAAAATCCGTCTGAACTCCAGCATCACATGTTTCCACTGTTGTTTCTGTAACACTGGACCTAGACTCACGATCCAGCTCCGCGACCCTTTTCTCGAGCTGTCTCAAGTATTCCAGCGGGATTGTGATGTTATCTCCCGTTTTCCGAGACCGAGCAGGCAAGCATTCAGCACCCTTGCGACGACATTCGCCACATGAAGGTTTCGCATGATCACATTTCCGCTTGTGTTGGAAACAGCGAGCGCATGCTATTTCTCTATGCTTCAGGGGGCGCGACATGCAGCAATTGGGCACATACAGGGAGTGAGAGGAAATGCGGGGAGACTCGCGATAACGGACGCAGGTGCGATATCAGTTCCCGGGGCCGTATTTATGGGCGACTAAGTATGCCACCGGTTCATAACTCTCCTATTGGATACTACCTCGGCGCCTCTTTCAGCCACCTTCTTGAAGCATATACTACTCCTTGGTTATACATCGAAAAGTCTCTTGCACAAAGCAGGCTTTTTCCCCACCTTCACATACATTCAAAACGACATTTAAAAGTACTAACTAAAAAGACATCTTGAAACCCCAGCTAGAAAGACCTACTAAACAGATATCTTAAGGCCGGTTTGTGGCCGACTATTCTTATATACCACTTCCAATAAGGCTTTATATTGACGATTGGAGACGCTTATCTTCCAAGTTAGCCTTTCCGATAGGCAGATCACAATACCTAACTCGTAGGACAGAAGGCTTTAATATTACCAACAACTGATTATTTTCTGACCCCTAGCTGGGATACACCTTCGCATACTTATAAAATGAGAGTGGATCTAAACTACTGCCTGGCAATATTAACCAATGAGAGAGTTATCAAGCGGTGGGATACTTAGTCGCCCGTACGTATTGAGTGACTACAATAGGAAGGTCTAGGCGATGTTGATAAGAGGTGTTTTGTGTATTATATATTCTGTTTCCTGTTAAGTATATAACATTGTAAGAAATCTTTGTCAAGTCAGATCTGAAATAAGGTCCATGGTCATGATATCAGTCGTAACATTCATACTCCTATCCTCGAGCCAATAAAGAACACTCGCTAGGTCAAGAAGTCGACGGCGACAATCGGCTTTTGATCCATCTTTGAGCCTTTGTATCATATCCAATCAACTTAGGATCAACATGCAGACTCTTAAGCATGAACTCCATCGTGAACTCCTAATAACAATGTCAGCACACAAATTCTACCCAAACCACAGTAATATCACAACACCTACCTCATCCTGACTCTCCTCCTCGCCATTATTCTGGTCCAATAGACGGCCAGAATCCCCAGCACCGTAGTCGTCGACGTCTTCATCTTCCTCATCAGCATGCCCCCGCTCATGACTCTCCTCATCAAATCCCCACCGACTCGCATCACGCTTCGACTGCTGTTTCCAAACCGCCATCCCTCCCATGCGATGAACCCTTTCCTTGGCACCGACAAATACTTCATCTGCTGCGTCTTGACTGGCGAGCCGCCATTTGGTGATGAGAGTTGGAATCTCAATGTATTTGGGATTCGTCTCAAGGTTGAGGGCTTGAGTTGCTATTTCGAGTTTGGTTGTGAGTGCGTCGACCTTTGATTTGATCTCCTGGTGCTGCTTTTGTAGTTCTAGGATTTCTGGGTCGGAGGTTTGGAATGATTGTGAGGGGAACGGGGAAAATGGCTGTAACATGCGTTTGCGCTTGGGAGGTACTGGAGTTGTTGTCGGATTTGGTGGATTTGATATTGACTTGGATTCTATAGGGGTGGTAGGAGTCGCTGGGGTTTGTGTCTCCTCGAAAGCTCTGGGTGCAACAGACTTAGATGGCGTGTCGTCTGTGTTTGTTGGTGCAGGTCTGCGTAGCGGGGACTTGAACGGTTTTGAGAGAGCCGTCGCTGCATCAGTGCGACGACGTTTACTAGATGACTTGTCCATAGCGTATCAATTGGATACAGACTTCAAAACTTCGATCTGCTTAAACAAGAGAACGAGACACAAAAAAGTTGGGGAAGCCAAGTGAAATGCGGAGATGCGATGGTCTTATCGATAAGCAGTGGAATTTATCTACAAAAAAATGGTCACGCTGAAATGCATAAACTAGTCTCTCCTCAATGACCAACTCCTCCTGCCACCCATTGCCCGAAATCAGGGTCACCAGGCTGAGGGAAAAATCCACGGTCGTTGGCGTTCCCATTTCCATTCTGGGGATCAGCATTGGCATTGGCATTGGCGTTCTGATTCTGTCGATTGCGTTGTTGTTGCTGTTGACGGAAATAAACCAAAACCAACAGCGCAGCAGCCAATCCGACAATGAGGAGGCCTTCGAGCATTCCCTCGTCAATATCGAGGTCCAGGTCGTCGTAGTAGCCATCCTCGTGGCCTTCAGATTCTAAGCCACGATATTCATCATCGTCTCCCCGTTGTTGTTCGTAAAGGTCTTCGTAATAGCCCTCCTCATCGTTCTCGATGAAAGCTTTGACCCATTCCTTGAATGTACGACGGGGCTTCGAGTCTATGAGTAAACGTGAGTAAGAAGCTACAAAGGCACGATTTATTTCACGGGTAAGTGGGAAAGAGCAGCTTACCTTCCTCCTCGTGGATGGGATTGATATTTCCGTTGGTGATCCGATTCCAGTATCCCCGAATTCGAAGTTTGATCAAGCTGAGCTTCACTGGCAGATACGCTTCAGGGCTAAGGTCAAGAGCCAAGTCATAATACCGCTTGGCCATGTGGAAATCTTGATCTACAGCCACGCCGTTCTCGTGCATCCAGCCCAGATTCCAGTAGCCTTGTGCACTGTGGTGGGCTTCAGCAGCATTGTGGTAGCAGGTTGAGGCCTTGTTAGCGTCAACAGGTGTACCCGTGCCAGACAGGTAGTAGTCCCCCATCTTGACCAAGGAGTCGATGTTAGCTTGCTTTGAAGAGCGAGTCCAGTAAATCAACGCTAGTCGCGCATTGCGCATCAAGGAGGACCGAGCCTTCTCGGCCCATGGAAGAATGGAACTGAGCGAGAGCACAGAGCGATGCTCATCAAGCAAATAAGCCACATTTGCCTGTGCGTTCTCATAGCCCTGCTCTGCTGCCATCATCGATGGGATGAGAGCGCTCTCCTTGTCGCCAGATTCGTAAGCAGCGTTTGCTTCAACAAAGGCTGAGTGGACGATCTCTGCTTTTTCGGCAACCATTTTGTAGTAGGCCGCGGCCACGCCACAGTGCCGCTGTCGGCCAATACCGAAGTTGGCCATTTCCGCTAGGTAATAGTATGCCTCCATCCACCCCCAGCGGGCAGCAAGCTCGAAGTAACGTGTTGCGGTTGCCACGTCTCCTTGATCCAAGAACAGAGCACCCAATCGTGATTCTGACGCTGGGGAATCTTGCTCTGCCGCTGCTTTGAAGTAGTGGGATGCCTTGAAGCCATCCTGAGGAACCCCATAGCCCTTGAGATACATCAGACCAATCCAATGCTGGCACAGAGAGTCCCCGTTCGCAATACCCCGTCGGAACCATGTGAGGGCAGTTGGGTAGTGTTGCTCAACCCCCTCTCCGCGAAGGTACATCAGACCAATATGTCCTGCGGCCTTGGACGCCAGCTTATCGAGCCCTGCGGGGGGATTTGAGTTGACGGAGCCATCCTTGTTCCAATATTTCTTGGTAACAACCTTGAAATACCGCATAGCCCGCCGGAAATTCCGTGGCAAGCCCCGGGCGCCCTCGAAATTCATCTTACCGAGGGTGTATGTAGCCTTCAACTCACCCTTCCGGGACATAAGATCTAAGTACTCCAGGATATCTTCCACGCTAGCCTCAGGAGTGGCATTGGCAGCGTCCCGCGCATTTTGACCGGAGCTCGATACACTGGCTCCTGGACCGTAGACACCTCCTTCTTCATCTGCCCAACGATAAGATTCTCGAACCAAAGCCCTACCACCCGGAGGTCCTGAGCGATAGTATTCGATCGCCTTGTCCGCCACCTTCTTGTAGTAATGGATCGCGTGATCACAATCCTTCGGTGTTCCAATGCCAGTGTGGTAGCGATACGCAAGTGTCATCTCCGAGCGGATGTTCCCTGCTTCCGCTGCAAACTCATGGTACATCAGGGCCTTTGCTTGGTCTGGTTCGACCGCACCGCCGATGCCCGTCGCATACATGAAGCCGACCATGTTCTGCGCTGTGTTGTTTCCATCCAGCCATGCCAGGTCATGGTACCAGCGGAAGGCCTCTTTGAAGTCGCGGGGATGGGAGAAGTTGCCATAGAAGTTCATCTCTGCTAACAGGAACATCGCATCCGGGTCTCGGTCTTCGTCTGCAGCTGCTCTCAGCTCCTCCACTGCTCCTGCGAGATGTTTGTTCAGTTTCCGCTCGGGTTTTTCGGTTGAAGGGCCATTCAAGAATAGCAGTCGGACCGTTTGGCGGCCATAGTGTACGGCAGTCCCTAGTAATCCTCTCGACTTGTCGGATTGAAGGACTGGCTTCTTGATTGTGCGGAGGGTATTCCAGGCATTCTCAACTCGTTCTATTATGAGACGATAAACTCGATCAGTATCAAGGCTCGGTCGATAAGGCGCGAGGCACGGGAGCGGTCTCTACTCACGAGTTATGGGTCGCGGTTCTGCTTCCCCTGTCTGGAACGTAAATTCGTGATCTGCATCGTGGTCGATTGCCCCAGACGCTGTTTGGTCAGTGAGCGGCTGACCAGGCCCAGCTGCGCATGTCTGCAATAGCACTGTAAAGGGGTGTCAGCTTCCATTATGGTCCTGCAGGTGCGGGCAACTCTTACGCAGGGCCGAGAGAAAGTGTGAAAGCGGCGTCCTCATAATGCCTACGAAATACTGGTGTAATGTCGGAGTGTGAAGCACATTGCGACTCTCAGAGCAATGTGAATCACAAAAGCGACAGAGCTGGGGATCGTGATATGATGTAGTTCCAGAGTACGGGCCACTTGGCTTGACGGAGCTTCATTTTGCCGAGGGCCAATCACTACATCGTACCTGCGTGCAATGTATGCTTTTTACTTAACACACATACTTTCCAAGGTTCAATATATGTATATGGTGCATCCATGTTCCAAGGTCCTTCTTGTCTATCCCATTTGACATGTTTATCAATTTGTACATATTGTTAGGACAAAAGCCTTCCATAACCTAGGCTTCTCTATAGGCCATCGATAGAAGCGGTGAGAATCTATAAGCTGGGAAAGCCTCAAAATCCAGAGATCTGGGCTTACATATTTTCTTCTATACGAGTTACAGGGAAAAGATTGGAAATGTCATAAACATTGTTGGAATCTACTCGTCCCCTCTGGAGGGTGTGTACAAAACAGAAAGCAGCAGTCAAAATACATCCCCGGTGCGCTTTCCATGCAATAAAAACGATTTGGGCAGTTCCCCAATGGCAATCAAAGTCCGCACTCCTATCTCACAGCATCCGTGGACTGTGTCCTCGATTCTGATCGAAGTATGTGCGGTCCTCGCATTCACAAAGGGGGAATAGTGCGCCGGGAAAAGCAAAGCAATCTCAAAACGATGGCGGCTGAGACCAAACTGGCACGTGTTGTTGGTTAATTGGTTTAAAAAAAAAAGACTAAACAGATACAATGAATGGGAGACAATCCCCGATATCGTGAAAAAAAAATTATCAATCATTTCCGAGATGTGTAGCGCGAAAAGATCTTTTTTGTTTAGTGGTTGAGGTTCAAGTTGATGATGGTACAGGTGTGAAACACGAGCCTGAGACAGGCAAGTCATCTTCGTACCATGTTCACTGGCGTGGCGACGTAGGGCTGTACGCCGGGGATGTCGGGCTGTACGCCGGAGAAGTAGGCGACGTCGGGGAACCAGAGAAATTCGGAGAAGTCGGCGAGTATGACTGCGGGCTCGTAGGAGACCAACCAGGTGAAGTTGGTGTGTACTTGGGAGAGGTGGGAGAGGTTGGAGACAGGTGCCGAGCACCACCAATCGCAGGACTGGTGGGGCTGTAGCTCGGCGAAGTCGGACTGAACGCAGGCGAGGCCGGACTAAAGCTGGGGGAAGTCGGGCTGTAGTTAGGTGACGTCGGCGAGAACCCAGGTGAAGTTGGAGAGTATGAAGGAGAGGTGGGTGACGCTTGGCCATACGCGGGCGAGGTCGGCGAGTAGGCCGGAGACGTGGGTTGGAACGTTGGGCTGGAAGGCGAGAAGCCAGGAGAGGTCATCATCCGCGGGCTTGTCATGCCGATGCCAGGAGATGTCGGTGAATAGCTTGAAGACGGAGAGTATCCAGGAGATGTCGGGCTAGTATTGAAGGGGCTGGTTGGAGAGTAGCCACCGGGGCTGCGAGCCGCGGGACTGAACCCACCTCCAAAGGTAGCGGTAGACTGATACTCGGTGAGACCTCCAGTGGGCTCCTGGCCAATCTGGTGCATAGGCGAGAACGTCGAATGGGGGTCGCTACTGGCCATGTACGGGGAGCTGGCCATAGGAGAACCAGTGTCATACTGGGTGGCAGCACCGTCGGAAATGATGGCATCCTTCGCGCCGACTGCGCCCATAAGGCCGTAGCGTGCATTATTGGACACAACGGTGTTGAGCAAGCTCTGGTCCAGGTAGACGTCGAACTCACCCGTTCCGGCGGGCGCCATCTGTCCAAGGATCAAATTTTCCGACACACCGCGACAATCGTCGAGCTCTCCGAACGCAGCAGCCTCGAGCAGAATTTCAACTGTCTCTTCGAACGAACAACGCATTAGGGCACCATTGTCGGCACGATTGATACCATGACGAGTAACAGGAGTCAGATAACCACGAACAGTCATGACATCGACCAGCAGAGCCAAGTGACGGTGATTAACGTAAGAACCGTCGAATGCAAGCACCAGTGTCAATTCACGAAGAACGGCTGTGCGGGCAGCCTCAATGCCGAAGACTTCGAAAATCTCAATAAACTGATTAGAGTAGGTGCGTGAAGCGTCGACACCAGGAATAGTAAGCACGGCAGCCAGAGAAGATCCACTGGTTTCCAGAACCCATTCCTTGCAAAGAGGATCAGACTTGCTGGTGTGGAGCGTACCATCCTCGATGACTCGGACCTTGCTCTTCTCGTTGATGAAAGCACGGTCGACGCCGGGAACACCACGAAGGGTCAAAGTGTCCAGCAGGTGCTGCTCAAGCTTCTTCAAGGTAACGTCGTACTCAACATCTTCGTCATCGTCATCCTTGTAGTCTTGGACCTGACGGATACGAATAACCTGCTCGTCGGCGTTGTTATCACTGAAGATAACTGCAATATCACGAGGATATGCCTGCTTGATCCTGGTAGCAACATCCTGCACCGTGAGACCCTTGTCAAGAAGAGAGCGGCGACTGAGGACGATACGGAGCAACCACTTCGACTGCTGAGATGCGTCGTCTGCATTGTCTTCAGGAATGATGAAGTATGACTCCACCATATCTCTATCATTCTCGATGACAGTGGACTGAATATCGGGATCATAGTAAATCTCCGTCGACTCCGTCACAGACCGCAGACTAGTGTGCTCCACAAGACTTCGAAGGAGTTTAGCACCCTCCTTATCGTGGGTCATCATGCCTTCTTGGTACACAGTCATCGACGGCGTCTTAATATTCGTGGCAACGTTGAGAATTTCCTTGAGACGTGGAACACCAAGCGTGACGTTCTTGGATGACACACCAGCAAAGTGGAAGGTGTTCAGTGTCATTTGAGTCGCGGGCTCACCAATAGACTGGGCCGCAAGAACGCCGACCATTTCACCAGGGTTGGCTGCGGCACGGGCGAAACGACTTTCAATAGCACCCAAAACGTGCTGGAATGCTAGCTTGTTGAGCGAGTAGTCTGTAACAAGCCGGCGGAAAGCGAGACGACTGCGCAGTTGCGCCTTGAACAGCAAAGTCGCGTTAACCTGAGCCTCCTGTGAAATGGGATCGTTACCACGAACGATCACCAAACGATCCAAGAGCTGCTGAACTTGAGGAATGACCTCAGCAGGATGCAAATCACTGATTGTGCCCTCGCGAATACGGAACGTGGTTCGGGCCATTTCGAGGATACGCTGGATGTTAATGGGAAGCTGCATCATCTCCTCGTCCTCCTTGACTACAGTGCGCAGGAAGTCACGGTCTTTCAGAATGGCCTCCCATTCTTCATCAAAGTATCTCTGTACCTCGATGTCGCCGGCAATTTCGTTGGCTTGTTCCAAAATCTCTGGGCCGAGAGTTCGCTCGGGATCCATTACATCAACACGGAATCGCTCCCTGAGCTTCGCATCGGAACACTTGATGTGATCGACACGCTGGTTCTCGATGTGGGCACCGTCGAGACCATCCTCTCCATAGATGAACTGAATGATATCTCCAAGGGAGTTGCGCACAGTGCCATCATATTTGACCATGACTTCCTCGAGGGCCTTAACCAGCTTACGCTGGATGTAACCAGTTTCGGCAGTCTTGACAGCGGTATCAATCAGACCTTCACGACCAGCCATGGCGTGGAAGAAGAACTCAGTAGGAGTCAATCCACGGAGGTATGAGTTCTCGACGAATCCACGGGACTCGGGAGAATAATCATCCTTGGTGAAGTGAGGAAGGGTGCGATACTTGAAACCGAACGGAATACGCTTGCCTTCCACGGACTGTTGTCCGACAAGGGCAGTCATCTGCGAAATATTGATTGCGGAACCCTTAGAACCGGACCGCGCCATTTGAATGGCATTGTTCAGATCCTTGAGACTCTTTTCTGTGGCATCACCGGCTTCATCACGGGCATTGTTCAAAGCACGAGAGACCTTGCTCTCGAAGGTCTCACGCACATTCATACCAGGAAGGGCCTCCAATGTGTTCTCGGTGGCACTAGCCGTAATCTCCTCGACTTCCTGTTTTCTGTTACGAACGGCCTCCTCGATCTTGTTGATAGTATGTTGATCAGGAATGGTGTCACCGATACCAATACTGAAACCGTTGTGCAGCAACCAGTACCCAACAATGGTTTGAGCACCACTGAAGAATTTGACACAAGTGTCAGGGCCGTACTCGTTGAAGATGGTGTGAATGACACCACCACCACTGGCACCGACCGTCTTCTTGGAAAGCATACCATACATCAGCTGTCCGCCGTGAATCAAGAGGCCTCCATCGCTGAGAGGACTGAACTTCTCAGCCAAAGGCGAGCCGTCCTTGTCAACACGCAGAAGGTTGAGACCTGAGGGGAAAGCCATACTGATCATCTGCTTTCCAGTCCAACGGGGGCGGGGCTTAATAATTGCGGGAGGTGGAATGGCACCATCCCAGTCAGGGACCCACAGCATGAGGTTCATGACTTGGTCCTTGGTGAGGAAGGTGTCACGACGGCAAATCTTATAGATACCGCAGAGGGTATCCTGCACAATACCCATCAGAGGACCGTTACGCTGCGGAGAAACAATGTTCTTCGGGACCAAAGTGAGCTCAGCAAGCTCAGCGCGCGCCTCTTCACCCTGGGGGACGTGCAAGTTCATCTCATCACCATCGAAATCAGCGTTGTAGGGACTGGTAACAGACAAGTTCATGCGGAATGTGGAGAAGGGCATAACGCGGACGCGGTGACCCATCATGGATTCCTTGTGCAAAGACGGCTGACGGTTGAACAGAATATAATCGCCGTTATCAAGATGGCGCTCGACCTTCCAACCATACAGCAGTTGCTGGGCACCCGCACGCTTAGCGTGGCGAAGATCAATGCGTTCACCGTTGTCACGAACAATATACCGCGCACCAGGGTGAATGTTAGGTCCGTTTGCAACCAATTTCTGGAGCTTCTCAATATTGTATGGCGTGACAACTTCCGGGTAGGTGAGAATACGAGCAGTTGAGTACGGGACACCAACTTCGTCCAGCCTCAAGTTGGGGTCACCTGTGATAACGGTACGAGCGGAGAAGTCGACACGCTTTCCCATCAAGTTCTGACGCAAACGACCCTCTTTACCCTTCAAACGACTGCGAAGAGCCTTCACAGGGCGGTTTCCCTTTTGCATCGCCGTGGGTTGACCAGCAATGTCATTGTCCATGTAAGTGGCAATGTGGTACTGAAGGAGAGATTCGAATTCACGAATGACGTGCTCGGGTGCTCCCTCCTGCTCACATCGTTGAACATTTTGGTTCGCACGGACAATTTCCGCGAGCTTATAAGTCAAATCATCCTCACCGCGAGCGCCACTTGTGGCTCCCATCACAACACTAGGGCGGACGGTCGGGGGAGGGACGGGCAAGACAGTCAGAATCATCCACTCGGGACGAGCATAGTCATTGCTAAGACCCATGATGCGCACATCTTCCACGGAGATGTTTCGGAAGATGTTCAAGGCCATTGTGGGAGTGATGACTTTCTTCTCCGGTTGAGCCATCTCATCCTCCATCATAGCCTTGCTAGGTTTCCAAGTTCCAACCAAACAGATTCCTTCCTTCCGTACTGTGGGCTGGGCGTTACCGCAGCCGCCATGGGAGCGGCCCTTCTGGGAGTCCTTCGAAAATTCCTCATCATCAGCAGGCGCGTCGGCTTCACATACCAGAACATCCTTGGAGAGTCGCCAGATAGAATCAAAACGCCTCTTGGGGTCACGGAAACGGAGGGCTTCTGTAAACTTCGAATCGGCCTGGTATCGATGTCAGCAAAAACCATTCAAGATTTGCCATCCCAGTAGGGATGACTAACCGTGTTGGCCTTGATCTTTCCACAGTTGTGGCAAACTGTCTCCAAAAGCTTCTTGATTTTAGTCAAAAAACCTAGAGTAGGGCCAAGAGTCAGCATGAGCAGAAAAGACGAAAGGAGTAAACTGAGGCAAATATGTTACGCACCAATATGGAACACTGGAGACGCGAGCTCAATGTGACCAAAATGTCCAGGGCATTCCTTCGGACCCTCTTCGCAAGTCTCACAGTTGTATTGGCGGTCAATTGTACCCAGGCGAGGGTCATTGATACCCTTAGTCCGAGGCCGTTGACGTTGGTCATCCTATTGGTCACTTAGCAATCAACTCATCGAGGCGCATAGGAAGGGGAAACCTCATCCAAAAATGATGCATCCACCAACAAAAAAAAAATAATAGTTACTCACCATTGTTTCGGGGTATTCAATATGGACCACACTCATGCGCTTGATCTCTTCGGGGGCGAAGAGACCGAACTGAATTTCCTTGATGGTGCGCAAAGGCGCCTTTGAATAAGGGAAAAACACGTTAGACATGATGGCGAGGTTGTGGTGACGAAAAATGAGGATGAAAAAAAAGGCGGAGATGACCGATCACGTAGGCGTGTCGTAGAGCCGGTAGAAACGACGAAGCTCGGCTCGTAAATGTCGCGAAAAAGCAAGTGATAGACTCGCTGATAAGCTAAAAGTCAGATTTACACGTAGCGACGATGAAAAGAAGGTGGTGTGGAAGCAGCTGGCCGGCTGAGGCCTTGGGCAGCCCTTGCCACGAGGGCGCCGGCGACCTAGAGGTCCCGAACGTCACGAAGAAGAAAAGAAGGAGAAAAGGAGCGCGGCAAAGAAGATGGTCTTCGCGGTATGTTGAAGAAGTATCGCGATGAGAAGGCGCGATCCTCCTATGTTGTGGAGGCGGTGGGTGGATGGCGTGTCGGGGAGATGAAAGGGTGATGTTCTGAGGTTGCCTCACTGTGATGGGGCTTGAGTTTTCCCTGCACGATGGTTGCCGTCTAAACGGGGCCTCACCGCTTTGGCAAAACTGTGGGTACCTTCCCCAAAGTGCAGAAAACGGCAGATTAAATGTGCCTTTCACTATGGGAGCTCAAAGCGGTGAGAGTTGAAGCCATCAATATTGGGCATCGACATGGGTTTGTTTTAGATGGGCTTTTGTCACCGCCCCAGCATCTTCCAGATTCTATGGATATCGACACCGGCAGAAGGAACCAAGATTATTATCACCACGGAGAATTTACCTTAACCGTTTCACTCAATCTGAATTTCACACTGGATGCTTGAACACCAGTTATCATCCTGGCCTATCTGAGAGGCTGAGGATTCACCCAGAATTCAATTATCCACATTCATCTATATGCACCTAGCGCAATGAATCTCTCACTTATCGATCCGTTTGTCCTGGCGCAGGAATACCCAGATACTCTGACTGAGAAGCTGAGTATGTATCACCCGCACTTACTAACAATGAAGAATACTGACCGAGTCAACGCAACATAGGCAGCGGCCATGCGACATGTTTAAGCTTCAACCACAAAGGCGACTACCTTGCCTCCGGACGAGTTCGTGAGCCCAATACCAGACAATACATATATGCATATAATGGCCGGAAGACTAAGAAATGCTCTAGGTGGACGGCACAGTGGTAATCTTCGACATTGAGACCAACGGCGTGGCGCGCAAATTGCAAGGTCACACGCGACAGATCCAGTCTCTGAGGTACAATTTCCCCATATTAAACACACCGATCTATATTGAACTACAAGATGCTAAACACCTATCCAGCTGGTCTCGCGATGGCCGCTACCTTCTCACCTCCTCCCAAGACTGGAAATGCATCCTCTGGGATCTCAAAGACGGCTCACGAATCCGTACAGTCCGATTCGAGGCGCCAGTATACATCGCCGAGCTACACCCATTCAACCAGTACAGCTACCACAACTCCCCCAATATCTGTCAAGCCATATCAACTAACCCCTTCTGTTCTCCAGCCTCCTCTTCGTCGCCTCCCTCTTCGAAGACCAACCAGTACTGGTAGACGTCTCCGGCACCAAACCAATCAAACGAATCCTCCCCTCCGCCCCCCTCAGACCACAAGCCCCAAACGGCGAAGAAGTTGACCCAACCATAGCCGCAAAACAAGCAGCGCAAGACGCCAAGCACTCGACATGCGTAACCATCTTCACAGCCTTCGGCAACCACATAATCGCCGGCACCTCAAAAGGCTGGATCAACATAATCGAAACCCAAACCTGCACCACAATCCACTCAATGCGCCTCTGCAACGGGGTCGTAATCCTCCTCCGACTCGCCAGCAACGGACGCGACCTCCTAGTCAACAGCTCAGACCGAGTAATCCGCACAGTGCTAATGCCAGACCTATCACAGCTGGGAATCGACCTAGAACCATCGGCGATAAAACTACACGTGGAGCACAAGTTCCAAGACGTGGTCAACCGACTCAGCTGGAACCACGTGACATTCTCATCGACAGGCGAGTTCGTCACCGCAACAACATTCATGAACCCGGATATATACGTGTGGGAACGCAGCCATGGGTCGCTGGTTAAAATCCTGGAAGGGCCGCGTGAAGAACTCGGCGTTGTCGAGTGGCACCCCAGCAGACCGATGGTTGTGGCGTGCGGACTAGAGACTGGGTGCATCTACACGTGGTCGATCGTATCGCCGCAGAAATGGTCGGCGCTGGCGCCAGATTTCGGCGAGGTTGAAGAGAATGTTGAGTACATGGAGGCGGAGGATGAGTTTGATGTTCACCCTGCTGAGCAGGTGCATCAGCGACGTTTAGATCAGGAAGATGAGGAGCCGGATGCTGTGACGCTTGATTTGGTGAAGGGGGATGGGGATGCTGATGGGGTTGAGCCGTTTAATCTCCCTGTATTGCTGGATATTGAGGACAGTGATTCTGGTGAGGATGTTGTTGCTGTTGGGCCGGGGACTATGCGGCGGAGGACGCCTGGGGCTGGAAGAGAGGGTGTCAATGGGGATGCGGAGAAGCCTGCGACTAATGGAGCTTCGAGGGGCGCTACTAGGAGTCGGCGGCGCTAGTATACTGGTCTTTCTTTCTTGTGTCTTGCCTTTTTTACCTCCTGCATCTCCGTTGTTGGAGTGGTGTACTAGCATATCTTGCATAGTGGCGTTCATCTTTAGGGCGGGGATGATTTATCTACAATCTGGCGTTGGGAGGAAAAACTTCTGGATTTGTTAGTGTTCTGCTGTAGCCAATGAATGTTTGATTATTCGAATCGTCCATGGGGTACTATATTCAATAGGGCTACATCTATATATCTTTCTCGCCTTCTTTGTAGATGATTGCAAGATCCAATGAAACCTGCTATCAGGACAGTATTGACAATATGATAAAGGGAATCAATAGCTATTATAGTATTGAACTGGACTTGTTAGTCCATCTCAGCAAATGCATTAACCTTGGAAGGCAATGCAGGTTACCATCAGAAATGAGGAAGATATAAGAAATAGGAATACAAAGAGCAAAAGTTAATTCCAAAGAGACATATCGACTCGTCATTCGGGTAGCAAATGGAAGTGTCAGAAACTATAGGAAGGTAATCTGGGTATATATCACAAGCCGAAAGGATTTGAGGTCCTTGGCTGAAAGCCCAAAACGCCACAAATGCAAAGTCCAGCATGCAGAAGAAGAAACAAAGAAAAAGAAAGGATTTAGTAGCGTAAGAGGGTAAAAAAAGAAAATTTCATGACCCGAGTGAGCCGTGGGCGCATAGAAAGAAGCACATTGAAAGAACATACACATCGTGTCAGCCGTCAACAAATCCCCCAAACCTCCTCAAGAAGTCAATTAAACGAATTTCATGGTCCTGTTGGCTGTTGGGACCTATTAGGCCAACCTTTTTCCAGAGATGATATCTCGGTTCCCATACAGACCTGGACCTGGAACAAAACAAAATCATAAAGCTGTGCTGAAAAGCCGTTGGCTCTGGAGCAAACATCTAGTTGCGGGCACTTGCAGCGGAAGCACATTCAACGTAGCGTGGCAAGTGCACTCTGGGCCAGCCAAAGTCTGTGAGCGGCCCGGTCTATTTTGAATCCGATGATCAAGCCGGTGTGCTTTGCGGGCAATGAAGCCAACACTGTCGAGATCAGCTCTTTCAATCTGAAGGAGTTGCTCTTTAGTTGACTAACATGCCCCGCCCAAATCTGCAGATACAACTGCCATGGGGTAGCCCTGGAGGATTCACCAGCTTATTCCTCGAGAGGTTTTCGCGCTTGATAGATGTGCAGAAGGTTGTATGTTTTGATCTTTTTGTCAAAAGCTTCCTGTTTGACGTCGAATGCAATGCGGTCAATCTGCTCTCTAGACCAAGAAAGAACCCGACTGAAAGGAGCCAGACACAATGGCTGAACGCTCTCAGAGATAGCCAAATTGTACCAGCGCGCCACCTTCTGCTCGTGGGAATCGGGATGCCATGGATTCATAGGCAATCCCACGATCTGGTGGTCGATCTCGGTGAAGCCCGCTTCTTGCAAATTCCGAATCGTGTCGTTAGAGCTATGAGCCAGGGGTCGCATAGTAGCTTCAGTTGCATGCTTCAAGGTCGAGTACCAGCTAGCCATAGCGCGCCCCGGTTCACCATCTTTGTCCTCAACGCGAGGTCGGAAATCAATTTCGACCTGCTCAAACCAGGCGCCTGGCCGGAGATGTTGGAAGACTCGTCGATAGAGACTTGGCCAACTTGCGACACTACCACATCCCATCTGCATATGGATGATATCCCATGAATCCTCCCCCATGGTCCAGGGCGCCTCAAAGTCGAATGGGGCATAGAAATCGCAGTTCTTTGGGCAATTGGTCGGTTGTATTGGCGCAAGGTCAACACCAACCACGAAGGAATTTGGGAATTTGTTCGCAACCTCGATGCTCCATATACCCGTCCCACAACCCAGGTCGAGAATTCTAGATCCCGGGGGATGTGGTGCATAGATCAAGCCATCCTCGGCCCGTGCAACCGTGAACAGTTTGTGGAATATGTCGAGACGGTCCTGTTCTTCCTCGTCACACGGAAGCGGGTAGATTCCTTTCCGATAGCCATGGTACGTTCGGCCGTTCTCTTTATGATTCGGGTATTTCTCGGGTATCCTATTAGGGTAGAGGTCAGCCATTAAATTTACACAATTGAGTATGGGGTGACACACTTGCGATCGGAAATTATAATCGGAGATGATCGTGATACTTGAGATGCGTTCGACGTGTGGGATGCCTGCGTGGCCACCGACCCATTGCTAGTAAAGCGAGCGTTCCTACGAGGATCTTTATCGACCGGATCTCTGTCGATCAGCGTGTACAAGTCCATTGCGGAAGACGGTTGTCGTGATCGGACTCGATCACTCCCCGCCACGGAGTGCGAGTAGTATCTGGAGTGGCCGGCATCGCTCGCTGGGGTTGACTCGGACTTGTATCGTTTGGGCGGGGGTGGGGAATTTATGGGAGGCAGGTGTCGCATCCTGGAATCCCCGTTCGTAAACAATTTTGGCAGCGATGTGCGGTCAGGCGCGGGAAAGGACCCAGAAGACTCTCTGTAGGACATTGTGTTGATATCAGCGATCAATCAATGATCGCGCAAGATATCTGAGGCGGTTGTGAACCAACCGATCATGCCAGTCATAAAACAAAACAAGAAAAGAGCAGATTAGCTATGAGACACTAATACACAGCGAAAGCACACGAGCAGGTGCGATGAGCTCGGGCCAAATGAGAGGTTCTGCGACAGGGCGGATCACACGGTCGGGTGAAGTTCAAGGATTCGAGAGATTCCCATGAAACATGAAACTGGCTCAAATTGCAGTTCAATGTGCTCAGCTCCAGCTCCAGCTCCAGTTCCAACTGCTCAGAAGAGCAGTCTGGGTGAAGAGGAGGTTTTTAAGGTTGTGAAGCTGCGGTTTCCTTCCCGTCGGGGCCCACGGGTAGCGGGGTGCGGGTAAAGCAGCCAGCAAAGAAAGAATGGGAATGGCACAAGGATGAGAGAAGGGAAATGAGAAAGAAGTTTAGTGCAGAATTCGGTGCAGAAGTACAGGGAAGAAAAAAAAGTATGACCCGCGCTACCGGTACTCGCTGTATCCCAAAGTTAGATATGGCGTACGTAGTACTTCCTAGGAATCAAAGTATTTGATGTTATTTTCTGTCAATGCAGGATCTGACAATTCAATTCATTATATTCCACGCGGAATAATCTTATAATGAATACATTATATGGTCCTGTATATATATGTACAAGATTTCATGCACAGGCATCCCAGAGCACCGGTTGAAGAAGCTAAACCAATTAGGACTGGTTCTTAATCCTGGTAATCTGGGTAAATTCTTTATTTTTATTTTTATATTTATTTTTTGCTTTTTATTGAATATCATTTGCATAAATATGTTTATAAAATAATTCTCCTCTTCTTTTATGATATTCTACAACCTTGAAACATATCTAACAATACCAAAATCTATGGATACTCTGTAATTCCGTAAGAGCTAGATCGACGTGGACCAAAAGGTCGACCCACGCCCTAGCGGGATGCGGACCGTCTGGGCCTCTCGTTTCCAGGGATTCCACTCGCTGAGGGCCCAACGGAGTGGTAAAGTCAAGGTAACCTCGGGTGAGCGTGGCGCTTTCACTGTCTGCCTTGGGTACGGAGTAGTGGGTGTGTGTATACTCCATATAATATTAATATATGTATATATATCTCTCTCTATCTGACTGTATCACCTAGGGAATGTGTATGTACTCCGACTGTCACACAAACACTCTGCATTCTGCTCTAAAAATAATAAAATAAAAGACTTACAACATAAGTACCCTACAATTTGTAGTATGCACCGATAAATCTCCCCCTCACCGCAACCCAAGGCGCTGGGTCCGTGGGTGTGACATTCGGGCGAATCAAGTACGATACCACACCTTGGCTAACACCTTAGCTGCATTTTAGCCCTGGTAATCATTTAGCGCGGAATTATTTTGTGATATGTAAGAATGACCCTAAGACCATCGCGCTGGGTCATGACTCGTGTCAAATCCTTCACATTTTGTTTCTCATCTATATGCCTTACTCCCGTATAACTACCTAGGTACTCCGTATATCATGCATTATACATGTCAACATTCCCCAAGCCCAATAATGGTCCACGGTCTTTCCCCATAGGGGCATTTGGCTTCCCAGAAGACTGCCCGTTCCACCCTAACCCGGGCGCTGATTCACATTACTAATATTACTAATAAAATATATCCGGCTCCGGGGGGGATTGTTGGGGATCTACTCCGTACTAGTCCTCTTTACGTATACAAAGAAAACATGGTCAAATCCCGAGCTCGGTGTCTCCTTGCATGTTACATACCCTGTACTCCATACAGACTACGATAATAAATATTTCAAGCGATGATTCAGCGCTTGCTGCGCTGATCCCCGATCTTTCCAGCCACTGATTCATTGAAGGATATTGATCTCAAACCTCCTCAGCCTTGGTGCTGACAGCTCATGGGATTGGGTTTATTAGGAGTGCATGGTGCATTATTTGGCGGGGACCAACATCTAGCATACGGAGTACGGAGTACATTGTACATATTTCCCCCCCTTATTCTCGGGATTCCCTTTTCGCTTTCAAAGTCTTATGATAAGCCAAAGAAGTCTTTTGTATTCTGTTACTATATTATATATATGTATACTAGTTAAGTAAACAACTTGTATTCCCTACAAAGTAGTGAATTATAAGACTACAGGATGTCTACATTGTACGCGGAAGCCAGCCCCACGTCCCGCCAGGAAATTTTCCCTGGCCGAACTCCGAACCTCACCATCCAAAGGAATTGATTAATTGCGACGCCAATAATACATCAAACTCAAATATCATTACGGAGTACACAACACGCACTCGGAAACATTGATCACCAACTCGGAAACATTAATCGCTACCCCTCGCATCAGCCACAGCGGGATCACCCCAGAGATCAACATCTCTATATCAAATTCAAAAGCGAAAGCGAAATCCAGCCACAGCAGGCAACGGGATTATCAGCTCCCCCAAATTCCACAATGCACACACTCAAAGCAGTGGCCTCATCGACTCTGTCGCTGCCGGCGGATAATTACATCTACTCGATCGTCCCATCGGCGCCGGGGACATTCGCCGCCATCTCATCAGATGATTCGCTGCGCGTCTTTGACGCCGCCGATCTCGATCGTGGGTCTGTGATCTCTAGCGCTACTCACAATGGCGGTGTTACCGCGCTGCGCAGCTTCGCCATGGGCGAGTCGCACCTCTTGGCTACGGGTGGCCGTGATGGTAAGGTGAAGGTTTGGGATGTTCGGGCTGGGAATGGGAGTCCGGTTGTGGAGATGGAAACGGGTGAGTTTGTTTTGATTAAGCTTTTTTTTTAATGTTTTCTTTTTTGGTTTTATACATCTATTGCCTGTTTGGGTTGTTTTCGGGAACCTGCTTGGTCAAGTGCATTTTGTGTTTAGCTGCTGCATTTCCGCTGGCCTGTTACTGGTTTTCGGGGAATTTATCGGCACTCAGATTCAAGGATGGTCCTGGCCTGGTTGCGGGTTTTGTTGCTTTCTTATCAAATGCATATTTGCTAATTCATTGTCTATGTGTCTAGTGAAAAATTCGCCTGTTCTATCTGTGGCCTGTAACCCGGAGACGAACACTATTGTTGCAGGAACGGAGCTTGTCTCTTCACAGGCGGTTGTTGCATTCTGGTAGGTTTCATCTTATACTTCGGTTTTGATTTGAACGCTAGGCCCAGCATTATCATTCGATAATTGTACCGGGACCTGTCTTCCAACCCTAAGACAAAAACAGCCATACTCTATCATCAGAACAGAATCACACTAACCAACAAACAGGGATATCCGCTCCCCCCAAGAATTCCGCCTCCAATATGTTGAGAGCCACAACGACGATATCACCGAGGTAAGTGCACCTCCATTCTAAGCCCGTCGCCCCCAACATCCCCCACCACCATCCAATGCAATGCCCACATGCAGAACCAGCCAGACTAACCATTACATCGGCAACTTGCCTGTTACCGGTGGTACACAGCTCCAATATCACCCGACGCGCAGCAACATCTTACTCTCCGGCAGCACGGACGGACTAGTAAACATATACGATACGACCGTAACAGATGAAGACGAAGCCCTGGTTCAAGTAATCAACCACGGCTCCGTACATCATGCCGGATTCCTATCGGAGCGCACCATCTTCGCCCTGAGCCACGACGAGCACTTCTCCGTGTACCCAGCCACAGACCCGGACGATGCCTCGCAGGAGCCTGAGCCCGTGCATTTCGGTGACGTGCGCGACCCGCTGGGCTGTGAGTATGTTGCGCAGCTATGTGTCGGTACACAGGGGCCGTATATCGCCGCTGGGAATAAGATGTATGTTTCTTGTCTTGTTTGTGTTTTTTTTTTATGTATTCGGTACTCGGAAGAACAAGTCATGACATGCACACATGCTGTTGTGCTTGTATTTTTCCTGGGTTCTTGGGCTGGGCTCGTGGGTGTTTACTAACTAATGTCTTGCAGTGACAACCGTCTCGATCTTGTCCCACTTGTTTCCAGTCCGTCATGGAAGCTAGACCGGGATAATCTGTGGCGCTTGCCCCGTGCTCATTGCGAGGAGGTTGTGCGCTCAGTGTATTTGGATGAACAGGTACGTTTTCCGGGGGGGTGTTTTCATTATTTATAGCCCTCGCTAATCTAATTTCCTCAATCAGAGTCAATCGGTATTCACATGTGGTGAGGACGGCTTCGTACGAGCATGGAGGCCTGCTGAGGAGAGTGATGCTCCAGTCCAGTCTGGGTCTGCAAAGGCTCGCCCGAAGGAGAAGAAGAAGGATAGGTTCAAGCCGTACTAGTCTGTGTGCTGTGGGCGGGTGAATGCATCTGCATCTGCTGCTGGCGGTGTCTGTTGTGTATCATTGGGTGTTTGGGGTGTGGGTAAAAATAGATAGTTCTGCACTTAGGCCATATGAGGTTATGTCGGTATTATTTGAATTGCTGTAGTTTGTAGAATTATCTGGTGGTTGTTGTTGATTTGATTGTGCCTATCTAGGTTGAAATATATTCCCGGACTATGACCTCTGTTAGGGCATAAATTTTGAATGAATACTACTTTGCGCATTACTAATTTAACCCAATTTAGATCATTCGAACCCCTTTCTCTTTCTATAACACAAAAAGCACCCCAAAGCTATTTATTTTCTAGAATTGAGAAGAGCAAATGCAAAAACAAGTAATCATGCTTGGGATCACCAGGAACCTTGTTGGATTGAAATAACCACGTGACCAGTGGGCGGAAATCATAATCTTATCTCCAACATTTTTTCTGTATCAAAACTTTTCTTGCCTAAGGGACCAACTCCCTCAAATCCTCTCTCCTTCAATTCCAAAACACGCATACCCAAGTCTTAACCGAAACAACCAAGACTTGAAAAATACAAACCCCATTGCCCACAAAACCCTCCACTCCAAGGGCAAACACACAACCAACCACAAAATGGACGCCCAAGCCTACTTAATTAAGCACGGCTGGTCAGGCCCCGGCAACCCTCTGAACCCAAACAAACGGCCGGGCGCACACAGCGGATTAGGCCTCACTCGACCGCTCCTCGTATCACGCAAAGCGAACAATCACGGCGTGGGCAAGAAGACAACAAAAGACCCGACGAACCAATGGTGGCTGCGCGGATTCGAAGATGCGCTGAAAGGTGTCGGTAACGACAGTTTTGAGGCTACATCTGCGCGCGAGAATAATGCGCTGACCAGCGAGCTTTATCGGCACTTTGTGAGGGGGGATGGGTTGGCTGGTACGCTTGAGGGGACGGATAAGAACAAGAAAGACGAGAGCTCGACGTCTACTTCTTCCTCCAAGTCGAAGCGCAAGTGTGAGAATGAGGATGAGGGCGATCGCAAGGCTAGGAAATTGGCCAAGGCTGCGCGGAAGGTAGAGAAGGCAGAGAGGAAGGAAGCGAGACGGGTGAAGAGGGCTGCGAAGGCCGAGAGGAAGGAGAAGAAGATTGCTGGGAAGCTTGCGAAGAAGGCTTTGAAGGAGAAGAAGCGCACTGCTTCTGAGGAGGATTATCCGACGCCTACGTCGATTGATCAGGAGTCTGATCAGACTGGCGCCGAGAGCACGGAGACAGACGAGGCTGTTGCGCGGTCAGAGAAGACGGCAAAAAAGGAAAAGAAGGAGAGCAAGAAGGCTAAGAGCATAGGAGGTGATGGGGCCGTTGAAGACTCAAAAAAGAAGTCTAAAAAGGAGAAGAAGGACAAGAAAGAGGCTAAAGCCTGATGTGTCCGTTTTGTTATAACCATTTTGATATTCGAGCGCTTTACATGCATGTCAGGACCATGTCTAAAATTCTGCATATACCAGTTTTCTCTTACGCCATCTAGAAACCAAGATACCCTTTTTGTTTGGCGAAATCATGACTTGCAACCATAGGAAATGTAAATGTCTTTTGCTTTTGTGCTGGAGCCAAGCTACGCTGGTAACTTTCCAGGATTACCCGATAGAATCCACGGTCGTTTCTCCCAGAACTCATCTTTGATGATATCGACATGGTCAATTACGACCTGTGCTTTCCGGCGCAGTTTGCGGATCTTGTCTTGCTGCGACCTTGACTGCTTAGACTCGACCACCGATGATTCTTCTTCTGTGGAAGATTTTCTAGGCTTAGGTTCCTCCAGCTCGTACTGTCGAGAGAAATGTTAGAACGAATCGAGACAAAGAAAAGCAGCATAGATATTTTGCACATACCTGGCGATAAAGAACAGTGCCCTTCTTATAGATCTCCAGTTCGTTATTGTAGTTGATTCCAAACCGCTTGAAGAGGATCTCGTTCTTGTCTGCAGACACAGTACCCTGATAACAAGTCAATTTCTTGTACTTCGAATTGGAAGAACAATATCTTACCTTTAACTCTTGCTCGGCGTCTGTGTTGCTCATTCCACCTTGCAGCACCATTGTCCAGAAGGTAGTGTTGTAGAGGTTATTGATATGACCTGATGATCTTGGGTCAGCCAGATGTGGTTCAAAACCAGGGTATTGCGAGGCCATATCTCCATGATAAAGTCACTTACAATCAACTTGTCTCCAGCTCATATAATCGCGGAGAATCCGGTTATTTGGGTAGATAACCGCACGCCCGTCAAAAGAGGGCAGATACGGTGGCAGGAGAGGTCTTTCAGGGAAGTACTCGCTCCACTTGTAAATATAGTGTGCTGTGAACGTAGAGACGATGGTGGTCACTAGTTTTCTAGATGAAATAAGTCCTGTCAATGGCTGTTCTTGCAAATTAAATAGCACGTAGAACCAAAAAGAGATACTCACCCATTGCGCCGCTCAAAAAGTTGACAGCTAGGATGGAAGACAAAACTGAGGGAGTACTATTAGTGATTGCTAGGATAGAGATGAAACGAGCTGGACATACCTGAATTCGTCACTGACTCCGTAGGCGATGCATAGGTCCGGAAGCTCTTTCATGACTTCAACTGCCGCAGCATTCATCAAATCTAGTGCCCGGCGGTCATTTGGTTTCGCGAAAGCGTAGTGGTCAGAGAGTCTATGTATGTTAGACCCTGGATACATCGATGGATGCACTGTTGAACAACAGCCATATCTTCGTGAAAGATATGCATAGAAAGACGGATATATAGATGCCGTTTTTTTTTGCATGCAGATTCCTCATGCATAGGGCACCCCCACAAGTAACGAGAGATGGAGACTCACTTGTGAAATCCTCGTCCATCAATGCGGACCACAATCCATGTATTGGGGAGCAGCACGTCCGGCTGCTCGAAGGACTTGACGTACTCAAACCTGTGTTCTTTTAGTAGCCGGATTGGATTTATGTGGAATTTTCAATGCTTACCTTGAGTTCGCCATTTTTTGATCTACTGGACTTTGATGTTAAGTGATGAATAGGTCTGGAGAATGGAAGTGTCATTTTGTGTGGGCGATTTCTGCCCGCCCGCATTTGCCCCAGTCACTCGAGGGGTTCTTGATTCTGAGGACTTGAAATAATTTGATGGATAGAAATAATACAATAATTTTCTATGAATACCACAGGCCACTACAGTATCTAGACACAACCAGGTAACTGACATGTAGAATAAAAAAAAGTCCATAAATAAAACTAGTATGTTGTTGAGATGCATATCAAAAACCCTAAGGAAGCAGGATACTTTAGAATCTAGGAAATGAAAGTGAAAGGACAGAACCAAGATGGTCTATAGATACAAGGGAGAATCATTAATTCTCAATTTCAGGAATCTCTTCATCGCCAGTCTCACTGGCTCGCTCGCTAGTCTCGCTGGCCTTGTCGGACTTGCGAGACTTACGTGAAAAGAATCCCAGGCTGCTGCGGGTTGAGCGGTCGGCGGATGTCACACTGGAGACAGTGCTATCGACGCTTTTGCCGAGCTGTGCTTCGCTGGCCGCGTCCTCGTCAATATCACCTTGCGAGGATTCACCTTTCTTAGAGAAAAGTCCCGAGCGATCCTTCCATGAGCTGAACTTGCTAGAACTACCCTTGCGCGTGATCTTGCGAATGAATGACTCCTTCGAGGCATTGTCTAAGGAAGTCCCAGATGGCATGCGCTCCAACGATTCATAAGAATCGCCAGTGAAAAGGGACAGGGAGCGAGATGTGCGAGACTCCGAAGGAGATCCATCGTACTCGTGGATATCAAATGGACTATCGGGATCATTGCCCTTGTCTGTGTCTACTTCCGACTTCTCTCCCGTAAGAACCGCCGTAAACGCCGGAGCAGCGGGATTCAACTTTGGGGTCAGCGGCCGATGGGACGATGACGGACGAGTGCCAATCGGTGCCTGGAGGGGCCGATGGTGGCGGTCAAACGTGTCCTCCACGAAATCAGGCTCGCCGGTTAAACCGAGAGGAAGATGGCCCGAAGATCCATACTGGATTGAAGGTCGCCGAGAAGGAGCTCGAGACCAATTGGATGGTGCAGCCCAGTCAAATCCAAGCGGGCTGTTGCGGTGCCCGGCATTATCAGTCGATGGCCATCCGAAATGTCGGTTGTCTGTCGAGGGGTGCGGAAGCTGATTTGGTGTGTCGAATGAGGTCGACGAAGGTCGGGGAGACAGAGAACCGCGTCGAACGCCGCCGAGAAGCGATGATGGATCAATAGGATCATGTCGAGGACTGAATTGATTGTATCCACTGCTCAGATCGGGATTCCCACGGGTGCCAGCACCGCCGAAGCCAAACTTGCTGGATGAGAAGATATTTGAAAAAGCAGCTCGCCGTGAGGGCGCATGATCAGAAGAGCTGTCCATGGTGACACCAGCCGTGTTGCTTCGAGGGAACAATGACATCGGGTTTGCCCAATTACCAGTATAACTCGATCGTCGCCGGCGTGCACCGATCGGATCTAATTCATCGATATTGCGAGGGAAGGACTGGCTCTGACCGGGTTTCAAAGAACCCAGCATAGGAGATTCATCTGCCAGGGTTTTCCCGCGAGGCCGGTGAAACCCGAAAAGTCCAGAAAGCTTTCGGGATGCACTTTTCGGGGCTTCCCCAGCAGCAGACAAATGAACACCTTGGGATTCATCCTGCCGATTTTGAGTCTCTAGTGGACTGGCAAAGATACTGCCCGCTCGACTGTCTGAAGAAACAGGCGACACTGGGCCGTGACCGAAGCTGTCTAAGGGAGTACTGGATGCCTCCATAGTGCCAAATCTTGGACGAATTATAGATCGTGGGAATTCTGGCGACTCTTCGTCACCAAGGAGATCGGATGGCAAGAGGGCATCTGCACGGGGGCTCATTTGCGGGTTATTGAAAGCGACTTCCGTATCGGAGCGCATGATCTCGGGGGGATCAGACAAGCCTGGAAGGGCCATACCGTTATTGATATTGAAAAACGCAGAGCTGGGAGCAAATGTAGGCGAGTGACCGGACGGGTTGTAGTTGACGGTGCTTGGAAACGATGTTTCGATACCTGGGAAGTTCAGAGGAGAAGACATATTGCTGTTGAGTGAGCTGCGATGGCGACGGGGACGGATGGTGGCAGTATTCGACATATCGAGATCCAAGGTCGGGAAGGCGAAGGGTCCTGAGCTGCTGGGTCGTTGGGCTGTAAGCCACTTTAGACGTTCTTGGGCTTCTTGATATTGTTGCTGGGCCTGCGCGTGCAGATTCACAAGCGTGGCATAGCGTGCGTGTAGATTGCCCAGCTTGTGCTCCCACTGACGAGCTCGCTCGTTGTCGATTCGATCTAGCTCCTTGCCATCTTCACTATCGCCTTCTTGTAATCCCATTCTCTCCTCTTCGAGCTTCTTAACCCTTCCTCCTTTATCCTGAATCTCATCATCGATGGTCTTCATCTCCCCCTGCTCTTTTGCGATCTTGGCTCGGACCTCATCTGCGCGCACCGTCCCTTCTTCTTCAATCCTGGCCTTGTCATCCTTTGCCTGTAAAGCATCGGAATTCATGCGTGAAATCTTCTCCTGCCATCGCAAGATGTCATTCTTGCGTTTCTGGCGCTCCGCCTCTTTCTGCTGAAGAAGTCTCATGCGTTTTGACTTTTCACCCTGCACGGTCCGGTTGACGCTTTCTAGCTTGTAGACATGCTTTTTCAAATCGCCACTTGCTTCGTCCTTCTCTCTGACACGTTTCCGCAGTTCACTGCGTTGTTTTTCAAGGTCCTTCAGCAGTGCAATGTGCTCCTCTTCCTCCTCTGCCCCCTGCTTCTCCACATTCTCGTTCTCGTGCTGCAACGACTTCAAGCGGTCTGCTAATTGCTCCAAAGTCTCATCTTTGGCGGTCTTCGCTCTACTTTTGTGTGTTTCTTCGAAATTGCCGTGTGAAATGTCCGTGGTTCCAGTCGCGGGCGAAATTTTCCGTCCGGCCGCGGGCCGTTTGCCTGGTAATTGGCCTGCACTGTGCTCGCGAGACATTATAGGGGCAGATGGCGTTGGCAAGCCTACTGTAGACCTGGGGATCGAGGCGCGGATAATTGGACCCCCAGCGTTGCCATTCTGCTGGGCTTCGGACAGTGGAAGAGATTTTGTTCGGACATGGAGGATCGCACTAGGCGTCTGAAAGTTCGCGGCACTAACGGAAAGAACGCAAATATGATAGATGTTCCCAGGTAATAGATTCGATATTTCCACCGCTGTTTCTGCTCGTTTGGATTCACCGACTAGAAACCGTTAGTACTTTGTTTAGTGATAGGAAAGAATCATGTGTATTTTATACCTTTCACGTTATTCACTTGAATTATATGCTTATGTATTGAGTTATGGAAGTCGGGCTGTTTCCAAGCAAGGCGAATTTCACGGGCTGTGATCTCTTCGAGGGTGACCTCTGGTGGCGGAGGAATGTCGAGACCGAGCTTTTCGACTAGGACCTCATTTGAAGTTTGACAAACTTGCCATGCACGGTAAAGAAGCCTTTATACATTGAGTCAGCTGAGCAAAGAAAACGCTGGAACAGACAAGGGACTTACCAGATCAAAGCCCACAAGATCGAGACAGCGAGAAAGAGGGCCATGACGCCTCGCACTCTCACGCGAGGGACCACTGCTGGGTAAGCGTCAAATGCAAAGTATAGCGGCTCATACATCCCAACGTCTGTGACCCATTGGACGTGGGCGGCGGGATACAGGAGAATTGCAAGGATCACCAATGCTCTCCGGAGTGGGCGGTGGGATAGGCCCCACGTGATCTAGAATCTTAGCCACCCAAAACGGGTTAGCGCCAAACGGAGATCAGCCGCTACGGGACCTCGGCATCCATTCATCCAGGCTGACATAATCGGAATTGTTGGGCGTTGAATGCTGTTGACGAAACCAACAAATGCTGGAAGTACGGAGTGATTCGGAAGAAATTACATGTGGCCTCTTTTATTACCAGGCTGAGACTTCATAATCACATTTTCGTGGGCTAATATTGTGCTGGCATTATCCCGTGACAATGGCTATGTAGCCGCGTCCATTGTCTCCAAGTGTCAGTCACATGGGCCTTTTAACTTCCTGATTCTCCAAAAACCTGTCTCAGTCGTTTTTGACCGTTCAGACCTTCTTTTTGCCTCTCTGCATTTCTAGCATTCGCTTCAGATTGACCCGAAACTTTACCTACAGCCGCTATCAAAGGTGCTAGACAAGCATTTGGCGGGATGCAGCTCTATCGCTCTATAAGTGGTTCCGTCTCCAAGACATGGAATTCCATCAACCCGGCCACCCTTAGCGGGGCTATTGATGTCATTGTCATAGAGCAAGAAGATGGTATTTACAGTTTTTTTTGACAGGTGGCATTCATGCATGATACTGATTTGGCTTTTCTCTTTCTAGGCACCCTCGCTTGTTCGCCCTTCCATGTCCGGTTTGGCAAGTTTTCGCTATTGCGTCCATTCGAGAAGAAGGTGGAGTTCAAAGTGAACGGCATAAAACAAGAATATGCTATGAAACTGGGAGAAGGGGGCGAAGCATTTTTCGTCTTTGAGACGACCGATGACATCCCCGCATCCTTGCAGACCTCGCCGTTGGTATCTCCAGCAGTCAGCCCGAGAGCTCAGAGCGAACCGGACATTCTGCCATCGCTGCAGGAACCCGATTACCTTGACCTGGACAAAGGAAACAGCGATGCATTGTCAGAAGGCGCAAAGACCCCACCGGCGATGGCGATGCCATCGAACAAGCTACGAGCAAACACGGATTTAGGTAAGACACATTCCCGACCCGTCGTTACGATCTAAGTCCCTCATTACTGACCGCTTTAACAGGGATAATAACACCATTATCGGGCTCTCCCGACGAATCCAATGTGGCTCGTTCACGGCACGGCTCCTTGAGCGCTAAGCCGACACTCGATCACACGCAGTCGGACAATGTACTTTCGACCAGCTCCCCTCAACGTTCTCTTTCCGGTCAATCAGAAAATGGCAATAACGAACCCCATGATATTGATATTGAGGGCGAAACACACCAGCGCTCCCGTAGCCCTCCTTTGTCTCCCCAGGAAGCGGTGTCTCGTGCCATTTCGCTGTCAAAGAAGCTGTCTGGGTCCAACATTCCATCACATGTCACCGAGACTGGAGATCTGATGTTGGATATGACGGGTTATAAGAGCAATGAAGAAGATGCCCTTCGCGCGGAGGTTGTTGCGCGCAAGATTCTTGCAGAAGAGCTCGAAGGAAGTTATGATATCGGTGCACTGATTGGAGCTGATGAACATGGCAATCTATGGATATACAGCAGCGAAGAGTCCAAGGAACTGGCTGATCGGAGAGCCACTCTCCACTCCATGCGGCCGAACATAGGGATGAACGATGATGCTCTCTCCGACCCAGGATACCACAGCGAGGGCGAACACGCTGTCTTGGAACCATCTTTGACTACGCGCCATCACCGAACAAAATCAGACGTTCAACCTGGCTTTCCCACACCTCCCGACTCACCCTTGCATGATTCTTTCCCCGTCGAAACCCGCAATTATGCCAAGACACTCCGCTTGACAAGCGATCAACTTAAGGCCTTGGAACTGAAGGCCGGCGCCAACACAATGTCTTTCAGCGTCAACAGAGCAATTTGCACTGCAAACATGTATCTGTGGAACGGGAACACCCCGATCGTGATTTCTGATATTGATGGAACTATCACCAAGTCGGATGCGCTGGGACATGTTCTCAATATGATCGGGCGCGATTGGACGCATGCGGGAGTCGCCAAGCTGTACACTGACATTGCCAACAATGGGTACAATATCATGTATCTTACGAGTCGGTCTGTAGGCCAGACAGATACTACACGAGCCTATCTTCACGGCATTTGCCAAGATGGCTACAGACTACCAAGAGGTCCAGTGATCTGCAGCCCTGATCGCACGATGGCTGCTCTGCGGCGGGAGATCTACTTGAGGAAACCTGAAGTTTTCAAGATGGCATGTCTGAGGGATATTCTCAACCTCTTTTGCGGCAAAGAGAATCCCTTCTATGCTGGCTTCGGAAATCGATTGACCGACGCATTGAGTTATCGTTCTGTGAACATTCCGTCTACTCGGATTTTCACAATCAACTCCAACGCTGAAGTGTCTCTGGATTTGCTTAGTCTGAACAAGTACAAGAGCAGTTATGTGACGATGCAGGAGCTGCTCGACCATTTCTTTCCACCAACCAGCCTTCTTGTGCACGACGGTGGAGAGGAATATACGGACTTCACGTACTGGAGAACCACACCGCACGAGCTCGCAGACTTCTCGACAACAGACAGCGAGGATGAAGATGAAGACGAAGACGAGGACGAGGACGAGGAAGATGCTGATGAAGAGCTGGCCGAAGAAGACGAAGAAGGTGATGATGAAGACTACGATGAAGAGTTGAGTGAGGGTGAAGGCAGCGAGTACCTTGACGAGGCTGAGTTGGCTGAGGAGGATCTCGGCGCAAGCTACATGTCGCAGGACTCGGTTGCTTTGTCCAACCCAGCGGGCTCAATACTTGAGTCGGTGGAAGGGGATCTCGGTGTCGAAGAGGGGGCTATCGGTGAAGAGGAACTGTCTCCCATCGTTGAGAATCCACAAGAAGCAACTAAGCCGAGCACAACCTCCCTTCCCATCCGGCCCAAGATGCCCCAGAATCTTTGAACATACATTCGCCGCTATGCCTCTTTGATAAGGGATTGACCCCTGGGCATTTCTTGCGTCATAGATACCCATCTTGCGAGTGCTTTACTGAGTCAGATTCTGCATTAGACTGCTCTGACAGCGATATATCCAAGTTCAACACTATTGCATGCAGACCTGGAGTTGGCGACTGCATTATACACGGCTGTTTGTGCCTGACTCTTTTTAATTCATGGCATTCATGGAGCTTATGGTGTTTCTGGATTTGTTTTTGTACATTCATGGCGCACATACTTGGAATACTTGGAGGATTGGATAGGTTCATGAGATGAATAGGATGTAATGAATGAAACAAGTGAATAGACTTGCGCAAACACACTGAATGACCCAATCAATTATTTAAGGATACCCTAAAACGTGATATCGTAAAAGCATTACTTTTGACTGTCTGTCGAGGTACGGGCTGTAGGCAGCTCGATTACCTAATCGTGATATGTCGGAGCCCTGGAGCTCATGCTTCTTTTCGGCCTCATTTAGCCTTCACTTTCTCTCTCTCCATCCCCACATTGAACGTTGCTCGTATCTTTGGCTGCTTCCTAGCCCCTGAGAATAGCGCTAGGAATGCTCCCCGACTACCTCTTTCGGGCCTTCTAATCATAACCTAATTCAACATCGACCACTTTCGCAACACCGCAACCGCAATTCACTCTTTGCCTCCTGCTTGATCTTTGATCAGCAATCCAAGCCAAAATGGCATCCCCTGGCCAAACACAGGGCTCAGCACCCACAGCACAACCTCTCACCCCACCCGCTGAATCCTCCTCCGCCGCGAACGGAGCCTCCGCGCCCGCCGCAACAAGCTCCCAGACCCAACCCCATGTCCCAGCAACAGGCCCTTCAACAACAGCGCCACAACCACCACCAGTCCCTGGAATATCAACCCAAGATAGCGGAAAAACGCGACGACCACGGGACGTGCGGCTGGTCCACATGCTCCTTGCCTCACTCGGGGTAACCTCCTACCAAGACCGGGTGCCCCTCCAATTGCTCGACTTCGCTTACCGCTACACCGCCAATGTACTACAAGATTCCGTACACCTCGCGACAGAAGGATACGCCGCGGCAACAGACGGTACCGCGGGCGCAAAGGGCTCCGCCGAAGTGAATAGTGTTTCTCTGCCTGCATTGCGGCTGGCCATTGCCTCCCGCTTGCACTTCCAGTTCCAGACAGGGCTGCCGAAGGAGTTCCTTATGGAGGTCGCATCGGAGAGGAATCGTATCGCTTTGCCCGGTGTATCGCGGGGCTTCGATCCTGCTGCTGGCCCTAATGGCGCTGTTCCTGCGGCGAACCAGAGTGTTGTTATTGGTGGCATGCGCTTACCTCCTGAGCGCTTCTGTCTTACTGGAATGGGGTGGAATATGAATGATGAGTGGGATAGTGAGGGCGAGGAAGATGAGATGCCTGATGTGATGCATCAGCCTGGGGCTGGGAAGGGTGTTGGTGGTGATGGAGCTGAAGATAATGAAGACGAGGATGATAATGATGGCAAGATGGAGGATCTTTTCGGCGAAGATACCACTATGGGCGAGGCAGGCGATGGAGACGAGGACCGAAACATGACTGATGTTTAAGGGTGTGCATTTATGCCCGGGGGTTCTTCTGCCTTTGGCCTTGGGCTGGTGGTGTTTCTGGCGCTTGGTGTTGTCATTCTCCTTTTCCTCTCTAATCTACTATGGGATGGTGTCCTGGCTTTTACTATCATGGACAGTATCTATTCCATGACTTGTGTCTACAAAATGGGGTTAAGATCCCCTTGCCTGACCACAAAGGCAAATGAACTGATAAAGAAGACATCCTTCTGGTCAATTAAACCAAGATATGCAATCGTCTGTGTGTATATTGTACATAATTCAGTTCATCCCATCGCTCGCATTCGGGATGATCATGCAATGTAAAAAGAAGCCCAGCAAAACGCCTGATTTGTTTGCCTTTGTGCGCCGTGAGGAGAGAGAGAGAAAATATAAAGTCCGAGTCCGGCTTGACCAAGAAAGTCTAGGGCCGACCTGCTTGGCGGGATCAGTCTGATGTCCGTCTATCAAACTGAGGACGGGAAGAAGGCCAGGCTGGGCCGCCCCAACTGTGATTAAGGGCCGAGTAGGTAGTTTGGGACATACAAGGCCCAGCCAATCAAAGAGTCAGGTCAGGTAAGAGTCCAACAGCTCCCTTCCCCTCGCCCAAACACTTAGCCCGAAGACGAAAGTCCTCGCCCTCCGACCTCGGAGAACGCAAGAAGCAGAATACTCAAGACGCCGAAACCCATATAGACAAGAAATACTCACACAAGAGATGAAGAGAGCGAGAGAGGAAGGGATACATGGAGTACAAAGGAAAATCTCCAATCATTTCCCCGCCGCTCGAGCGCGTGCTTCATCCTCGCGCATCATGCGAATGACTTCCTCACGCCGCTTCTCAACACGTGCAAGATCCTCTTCTTTCGCGCGTCGTCGTTCCTCATACCCCGCGAACCACTCCTCACGTGCGCGGTCCTCTTCTTCCGGCTTCGCGTGGGCGACCATGCATGAGTTCATTGCAAGACGTTGCTGGCGGCAGATCCATGTTGCAGTGACGGTGCGGTTAACGGCGCACTCGGCGAATGCTATATCATAATTGGGTTAGTTGGTTGTTTCCGACATCTTCAAGGTGTGGGGAGTGGATCGTGGTCATAAGATCCGGAGTTTCCTCCGCTTGAGACCGCATGACCAGATTTTGCAATCTCAAAGCTGTGCATTGTTTGGAAAGAGGTGATGTATTTGGCGTAGAAAGCAATGGAAATTGCATACCTTTAATCTCGGGGGCGCAATGGGCGCGTACTCGCTTGTAGTACAGCAGTTTCACTTCTTGTTCTTGGGGGGCTGAGAGCGGAAGCGGGTTGCGAAGATTATATTGTCTAGGTACACTCTTAGATGCACTTGCTGAAGAAGTATCGGGAGATGTGGAAGATGTAGCCATTGGGGCTGTATGTCGATCTCAAAGATCGAAGTTGATCAGGTTGAATGTATGGGCTGGTCGACCGGAGAGTTTGCTTTGAGGGGGATTGGTCCCAGTTGTTGAGGGACAAGATGTGAGTTCAGCTGCTGCAGAGCCCAGAAAAACGAACTGAGAGGGATAGAAGTAGTTTCAAGAGGGGTTCATGGAATGGCTTTGCAGAGAAGATCGAGGCCAAGTGGGAGTGTTGATTGCGAGTGAGCCGAGCTCGGGCGGAGAGAATGTTACTATTGGCAGAATCAGAAAAAAAAGTTCTCCGACTTTGCATCTCGACTTTGACTTACACTCTTCTGCTGCAAACTTCTACGTCTTTTCGTTTTTCGACCATTCTTATTTCTTCTACACTTTGTTGTGCTCTATTTATTGTCTCAGGAATTATCGACACCAAAACTCAGCATGTCGTCCATGCGCAACGCCGTCCAACGGCGGAACCACAAAGAGCGTGGCCAGGTTCAGGGCCGCGAGAAATGGGGTCTCCTCGAGAAGCACAAGGTCAGTTCCTGCGAATGAGCGCTTGGAACATTTACCAATGATCCGAGCTTTTTTCACACCTGATCTCAAGACAAACGTTCTAACTTCAACAGGATTACTCCCTCCGTGCCAAAGATTACAATGCCAAGAAGGCTAAGCTGAAGCGCCTCGAAGAGAAGGCGAGGGATCGCAACCCCGATGAGTTCGCCTTCGGTATGATGGGAGACAAGAACCGGACCCAGGGTCGGCACGGACGTGGCACAGGCACAGCACGAGACTCCGCTGCAGCGCGGGGATTGAGCCACGAGGCAATCAAGCTGCTCAAGACGCAAGATAAGGGTTATCTTCGGACAGTCGGCGAGCGGGTGCGCCGCGAGATCGAGCGCCTGGAGCGCGAAGTGGAATTGCAAGATGGCATGAACAAGGCTCTTGGCAAAAAGGATGGGAAGAAGGACGAGGAGAGTGATGAGGATGACGGGTTCGACGACGATTCCGATTTCGATTTCGGAGCCCCGGTGCAACCCAAACCAACCAGAATGGTGTTTGCCGATGATCGACAAGATCAATTGGCAATGAAGAAGCAGAGGATACAAAAAGAAGAACCTGTTGTGGAATCAGAGGAAGAAGATCAGACGTCAAGCAAGACCCGCAAGACACCTAAGCAGCTTCAGGCTGAGCGGCAAGCACTTGCAGATGCTCGACGGGCTCGCAAGCTCCGGAAACGAACCATCGAGGCCCGTAACAACAAGCTGACTGCATTGCACAAGCAACACGCCGAAATCCAAACTGCAGAGCAAGAGCTTGATTGGCAGAGGGCTAAGATGGGAAATTCCGTGGGAGGCACTAACAAGGACGGGATCAAGTGGAAGATCCGTGAGCGCAAGCGCTGATTGTTTTTTTTTGTTTCGATGGAGTTTATGAGTGATGACTCGCTATCATCTTTTTTGTACATATTGATACCAACCACCATAGAGGCAGTCCGGCGCATACAGTAGCATCCAAGGAACCACTTCAGTCCTGGCCATCGACTCCTGGAAGTACCCGGTAACATCAAACCTTATTTCAGGCGATAGCTGGAGGACCTGTGGTAAGAACTGCTGGTTGTACTGGGAGATATGACCATCATCTTAAGTACTGTGGCCTCGCTACATCTACATCTGGGTGTACTTGGTTGTTGAAATAATGTCAAAGCAGGCTTCTCTTCCTGTGGCTGTTATTTCAAACTTGAAAAAAAATATTGCTCGATCTCTCCTTCATGCGTTGCTCCCCCCAAAATCAATTCACTTGATCCATGGATGTTCTAATAGCTTACTTGATAAAGAATCCTTAATTATACGTATCTCTTTTACCCTTTTTACAATTATAATTAGACATAATCAAGTAAAGCAAATACTCAAAATTACCGCAAACAAATATATAGGTTATATATTTAGAATCCTCAGTATATTTATTTAGTTTGTAACCTAGTTTAGGGCCCTAGACCTAGTACTGGGTTAGGTTCTGGGTCGAGAGTAATTAGCGGTATTCACGAATTGGGCGCGAGATATGACATTAATACGCGATCTCCCTGGTGATTATTCAATTGCACACGAGACATCGGTGGGCTGCTCTGGGGGTCATGATCAACCATTCCTTCATCATCAATCACCTCAGGGAGGCGCGTGTGATTGACAGGCTCAGAGGATCCTTGTATCACCTTGAGCATTACACAGTTGTCAAGGTGCCCGAAGAAGCCCTGGGCATCCCTGTAGGTTTTATTGCAGACAGAGCAATTTCCATTGGAACCGCTGGTGTAGTTCATACTTATCTCCATGGAGGAATTCAGATCTTGATGAAGCTGGTTTGGTTGAAGCTGCTTCGCCCCATGGACGGCGACAAGGTGACGTTTGAACACATCGACTCGATTGAAGCTCTTTTCTTCTGATGCCCCAGCGCCTGGACAGAAGTGACATACCATGACGCCCTTGTAGTGGGTTAGCGCGTGGCGATTCATATCATATTTGCGAGCGAATCCCTTGGTGTGATAGTCGCACTTTACGACCGGGCACTTTTCTGGCCGCTCGGTTTGGTTGTGCGTCATGGCGTGAGCTCGTAGGTCGGGGAAGACCAAATCACATTGGGGACATCGCCCCTCATTGACCGGATCGTACGATTCATCAGAATCCTCATCAGAAGCAATTGCAGCTTCGTCGTCGTCTTCTTCAGATCGCGGCAGCGCAAATAGCGCTAGCTCTTCTAGATGCCGACCCACGTGTCTTTCAAGCTGCTTACCAGATGGAAGCGAAGATAGACAGAGCTGACAGTCCACATGCACACCTGGGCTTTCACATATGGAGTGCTGGCTCTGCAAATGAGAAAACCATTCCCGGCGGCTTTCATACATCCGATGAGGTGTCGGACAGTTAGGGAAGATACACAGATATGGCATCAAGTCATTAAAGACATGACGAGCCCAGGCCCTCCGGTTCGTGATGGTGATGATTACAAAACAATAGGGACATTCAAATGGAGCTCCATCGGCTGAGTCTTTTGGGGGAGAAGGGAGAACCGTAACTCCCGTCCCGTTCAATATAGTTGGAGCATAAGATGTTTGTGAGGTGACAGTTAACAATTCTAGGTTGTCTTTCGCCGCTGGTGGGACTTCCACGAACTCAGTTGCGACTGTTTCTGACAATATGGCTGATTGCCCGTCTGTCTGATCTTCAATAACCTGGCGAAGACCCTGGCCGAGTTTGGTGCGATGACGTTCACGATACCGCATAACGGCTCGACGTTGTGATATTGCCAGCCCAAGACGTTTCCAAATACCTTCTCCCGCTTGCGGGTATTTCGCTGAGACATGTTGCTCGTCAAACTGCTCATAAAAGACGGCATCGGATCTTTTGGTGCCAAGAAGGCGATCATGTTGAGCTGGTTGTCGGATGACCATTGACATTTGGAACAGGTTGTTGATAGTGTCTCGCAGAGCATGATAAATGGACTGCATTTCTGTTTGATGATCGTCTTGATCTTCGTCCCCGCTTAGATCCGAGAAATCGTCGTCCTCGGGTGAGTGGTGTAAAACATCATTGATATCTTTGGTGGTTCGTTGTAGACGTTGAAGGACACGAAGTGTCTGCTCTTTAATGTGCGATGCATCCCGTAGTCGATGATCTAGCGACGATTGACCGGTCTGGTGTGCCCCAATATTGGCGGCCCAAACCCGCAAACGTCCCAGCTCATCTTTCCACAGTGCTGGCGGGACTTCCGACGCGAAAGATGACAAGTCTTCGGAAACAAGCCGACTCAAATCCTTGAGACAGTGAACCACGACTGACGAGATATTTATGGTAGAGGTACCCGCGGCTGGGGCTGTCGTCGTTGTTATTACGGGATGCTCGTGCTTCCCAACTGGCGTTTCTGGAGAGGCCGCTTGGTCGTCGAAAATTGGTTCAGTGATTGAGGATGCGCCTTGAAAAGCGTTCCCCTTTCTCTCAGATTTATTTTCAGGGACAGTCCCCTCCGCTAAGGAATCAGGCCGACCAAGTGGTACATAGTGGTGATCAATGTCTTCACTTAAATCTGCTTCACGGGTCCATCTTGACATAGGAGTATCGAGTGTATCCTGAAGCTGCTGAAGTCTTGATTGAAATGAATCAAGGCAATCAGAATCATGTGCTATTCTAGAGGCTTGTCTCAAATCAGCCACTTCACTTTTCTCCGTCTGGGGCGTCAGTTGCGGTGGACTATATGGACTGGAAGCAGCGATGCATTCTTGTTGCTCCTGCCCCTTCTGTGATTCAGTGGCTTTGGGACCTTCCATTCTTTTAGGGAGCTTTTGTGCAAGTGCCTCTGCATCCCCCATAGCAACAGACTTTGCAAGACCGGGCCTTTGACGTTGATGCCGACACTGCGGGGTTGCGGCTGAGATGGAGTTGGCCCCCGCGCTTACACAGCATGATCTCTGGATTATTTTGGCCTCTAGGCTATTCATCTCTTCTCCAGTTTGACTAGGTCGAATATGGAGGCTGCAGGAATTGCCCTAGCAATCCTCCCACTTGTCATCAATCAGCTCGATAGTTATGTTCAGGGGCTTGAGACTATCAAGAGCTTCGGAGCCAGGCGCTATCGCAGGGAGCTTGAAAGCTATTCATCAAGCCTTGGAACCCAACAAGCCATCTTCGTCAATACCCTGGAGCGGGCCCTTGATGGAGTGGTCGAATACGAAGATGGGCTGGATGAGCTGAGGAATAATCCTCTGGGAAATTTGTGGAAAAGGCAGAGTCTGCAAGCGAGTCTTCATGAAAAGCTGGGAAGAGATTTTTACCCTTTCACCCAGAGGATGACAGAGATTGCGACACTATTGGAGGAATTGTCGCGAAAATTAGGATTGGACAAGAATGTTTCGGTGGTGAGTATACTTCAGTTCTCCTAAGCTCGCCTCCCAAGGTCTAGGGCTAACCAGCACCTTGACCATACTATAGAACAACCGAGTCGACCAGTCTACTATTAAGAAGGAGGTCAAAAAGTTCAAAGATATCTTCTCAAAAAGCATCTATCTCGATCTCTTCGCTCGTATCGATGCAGCCAATAAAACCCTAAACACCTTGGTGGAGCAGTCCGACTATCGAAGCACAGTACAAAAACAGAGAATATTAAGAAGACCCCTATTGCGCCAGAAAAGGGCACAGAAATCAGCCCGAAGTTTGCATAATGCAATGATACGGAGCAAGTATTGGAAATGTGCTTGTATGGATCGACACTCAATCTATTTTGTTCTTAGTTATCCGCCAGAGGACATGAATGATGATGGATCCAAAGAGTTGTCCCGTGGCTCTCGCTTTCGAATGATTTTCCCTTCCAACGGCTCCATAGACCTTGTCACGGGATGGTGCGAGATTGAAGCCGAATCGGATATTATTCAATCCAGCGTCAATCATTTGAACCGATTCCCTCCTCAGGGTAATCAAGACAAAATTCCTTTCGGTAACAAGAAGGCCAGAGTGCAGTTTGCATTCGATGAATCATTTGACAATGAGCCATCCATGATGCCTGATATGCCTTCAGTACCTCCGATTGTGGACATCTGCTCAACGCTGTCTACTGTGGGGACCCACGACGAGACAAATGAACCTATTGGGTTTATCTCCGATGAAAACCACCGCCACAATATGTATTATGTTCGGAAGCTCGCAGGGAATTTGAGATCGCAATCGCTTGCTGAGCTTATCGCGGGTTCAAGTGATATCTTCAAGGCGCCTATTGGCAGCAGCTTTCTTTTCACACGGGGCCACCGTCTCCGCGTTGCTGTTAATCTCGCCTGTAGCGTGCTCCAATTTCACGGAAGCTGGCTGAAAGCCGAATGGAGGTCATGCGATATCATGTTCACCAAGAATTCATCTGGGGATATCGATAAGCCATATGTCCTTTGGGACGTAAACAGTGAGTTGGATGCCTGGAGTCTATGCAGAGACAAACCAACATTCTCGCTCATTCAAAGCGAGATTCTGTTTCCCTTGGGCCTCGTTTTGGTTGAACTTTCTTTATGCCAGACACTAGAGGCATTGCGTATGCCGGAGGATGAAGATCCGGTGGAGGCATATGTGAATCTAAAGACTGCAACTCGCCTCCTGCAGAGGGTGGCGGAGGAAAGTGGCGCAGAATATGAAAGGGTAGCGAGGCGGTGTCTCCTCTGGCCTGGGACCAGAGAATCTACATTGGAAAGCGAGCAGATGCAAGATGAGATATTTCAACTTATCATATCGCCATTAGTCGAAAACCTGAGGAATTTCGAGGGTCGGATTTGATTCATCATCACACGTTATACATAGAAAAGACTCTTGCACAAAGTGTGCTTTTTTTACCGCCTTCACATACATCTAAAAAGACATTTAAAAGGACATTTAAGAAGACTAACCAGAAAGACCTCATAAGGCCGCAAACGCGGCCGACTATTCTTTTAAGTATATCGATAGGAAAGCTAGAGGATGCCGGAATTTCTTAGTCTGATCGATTCCTATATTCAACAAATGTCCTATTATATACACCCCGCCTTCATTTTCTAAGATGCATCTGATAAGGAGAAACATGCAGATATGCCCTTTGGCGCTCTGTAAAGCGTTGCCCTAAATGTGAAGCAAACCCGAAAAGCCCCTACGGAGTATATGTGTTGGAAATGCAAACCAAAGGGATTCAATAATAACCGGAAAGCTAGCCAGTGGAAACGAAGGCTAGATCAAGCGCAATATCCCCGACTTGCCATATGCGTAGGCGGGTCCGATTCCCTACTTAGGAAGAAGAGTCGGAATGAGGCTGGTCATGTGATAGTTTTCAGAATGTCCTATTTCAAATGCTTGCGCTATGCTTGCTAATCATTGTCTCTGACTGGCATCAAAATTACGATGTAAAGTATTCTGATACTCCGTTCTCGCAAAGAGTTTAAAACGTTCAAGTAATCACAACATCGCTGATAGGACAATCTCTCTAATCGGCCGTCCTGGAGGTCCCGCGGAGACATCCACAAGGCTTAATAATCATTTGCCACCCCTCCAAGGGAAAGTTATATTCTCCATTTCTCTCTTTTTTTTCTGCTTCCTATCTCCAAATAAAAAAAAATAACAATGGCTCCCTCATTTATAACCATTGACTCCAACGATATGGACGTGGATTTCTCCACACCCAAGCCAGTCCAGGCCAAGCGCACCCTCCTCCTGGCACCCCCCTCCATTGCCACTCACGAGGACAAACTCCGCGGTCTCTTCAGCACCTTCGACCGCTCCACCACAGACCTGCAAATGCTCGACCGACTCTCCGCAGGCCTCGTCTCCCTCCCCGCAACAACCTACGATCTCGTCCTCATCCTCACCGACACAGACGGCACACGGCGCTCCGAGGCGCTGAAACTCCTCACTCGAGATGTATACGCCACCCTCGTCCCCGCCATGAAGGCGGGCGCAAAGCTGCAAACCCAAGACTCAGCACTCAATGCCTCAGACGCAATGGAAGCCGTCCTGGCCGGTCTCGTGCAGTCCGATAACGGCTTCGAGAAACCAAACTTCGATCCCTCCGCCGCGGTCCCTTTAAAATTCGGCCTGAAGAAGAAAAATAAGCCTACCCCGCCCACAGCAGTCCCTATTATCCCCAGTTTCCCCACAGGATTCGCCGCGCCGATGGGAATAGACTCGCCGACTAATCACGATCGCGACGATGATGACGAGCTCATTAATGAAGATACGCTCCTTTCCGAGGAGGATTTAACAAGACCCATAATGCCGCGTATGTTACCCATTCCCTTCTAAATATTGCATATTGCATTGCTACAAGACCTATATCGTCTAACACTTATCTTCTTCAGCCCCAGAGTGCCAACCCAAGACCGGCCGCCGGCGACGCGCCTGCAAAGATTGTACCTGTGGTCTAGCCGACAAGCTCGAAGCAGAGGATAAGGAGCGTCGCGCAAACGCAGATAAGGAATTGAACGTCATGAAGCTGGATACGGGCGACTTGACCGAATTGGACTTCACCGTTGAGGGCAAGACTGGTTCTTGTGGAAGCTGTGCTCTGGGTGACGCCTTCCGTTGTGACGGTTGTCCTTACATGGGTCTTCCTGCCTTTAAGCCGGGACAGGAGGTTCAGATTCTGAATGATATTGCGCAGCTTTAAGATATAGTCTTTGCTTTACGATTGTGGGCTACTTTTTCTTCAATTTTTGATGACGGAAGTGGGGGTATTTGGTTGCATTGGGTTTTTTGAGCATTTTAATTTTCCTTTCGGGATTCATTCTTTGGGGTTACATACAAAATTATGCTAGGGGAGTCTGGCTTTAATTTGATTACATTTTTTTCTTTTTATCTGATCGTGACTCACCTGAAGATTTCGACTGAAATTTTGAGTGGAGCCCGACGTCATGTCTTAGATCAGATAGTGGGATGATCGGCCTAGTACTGTACACATGCCGTGGATCTGCCGGATTTAGTTAACTTACTTTATTTACTCCTACAGCATTCTATTGACTGGCTGTATGTAATCAAATTTAAGCCCAATGGCGAGTTGCTTTTTAACTATGCATCTGTGTTCATGGCACATCCAATCATGATAAAACCCAAAAAACTAAAAGAAAATGTATGGTTTACTTGACCTATGACTGGTTCTTCTTCATGTGGGCAACACGGATGCTGACGGCACGCTTGTGCGCCTCCAGACCTTCAACAGCGGCGAGGGTCTCAACCGTCTTGGCGAGACCGAGCAGGCCATCGGCGGTCAGGTTCGAGCTGGTGATGTGCTTCAGGAAGGAGCCAAGGTTGACACCCGAGTACTGCTTGGCGTAGCCGTAGGTAGCTGGAAAGGAATATGTTAGCAAGATTCAAGCAGGGAGATAAGAGAGAAAGCTGTTGCAGAGAAACTTACGCAGCGAGTGGTTGACTCCGGCGGAGTAATCGCCAACACTCTCGGGGGTCCAGGCACCGATGAAGACACTACCGGCGTTCTGGACATCCTTAACAAGAGACTCGGCGTTCTCGACCTGCAGGATCAGGTGCTCGGGCGCGTAGTCGTTGCTGAGGGTCATGGCTTCGTTGATGTCGCGCACGACGAAGGTGACGGAGTGCGCGAGGGAGCCGCGGACGATATCCATGCGGGGAAGGGCCTTGGCCTGGGCATCAACCTCGTCTTCAATGGCACGCAGCTCGGCCTCGTTCAGGTCGACGGCGATGAGGATGACCTGTGAGTCCACACCGTGCTCGGCCTGGCTGAGAAGGTCGGATGCAACAAAGGCTGGGATGGCGGTCTTGTCGGCGATGACGAGGACTTCACTGGGACCGGCGGGCATATCGATGCTGACACCTGCAGAGGTATCGTTGGACACGAACATCTTTGCGGCTGTCACGAACTGGTTGCCAGGACCAAGGATCTTGTCGACCTTGGTGATGCTTTCGGTACCGTAGGCCATGGCAGCCACGGCCTGGGCACCACCGGCCAAGACGATGCTCTCAGCGCCGACCTTGTGGGCGACGTAGACGATTTCGGGGGAGATGCTGCCGTCGGAGCGGGGAGGGGAGGCCAGGACGATCTTGTTGCAGCCTGCCACCATGGCGGGAACACCCAGCATCATGGCAGTGGAGGGGAGCACAGCGGTACCACCGGGGATATACAAACCGACACGCTCAATGGGGCGCGAGAAGCGAGAGCAGACCACGCCGGGCATGGTCTCCATCTGGAGGGTCTCGTTGCTTCCCATCTGCGCGGAGTGGAAGCGGTCGATGTTGCCAATGCTGATATCAATTGCCTCCTGGACATCAGGGGACAGCTTCATGAGTTCAGCAGGGAAAGGTGCGTGGATAACGGGGGAGGTGAGTGATGTAGCATTCTCGAACTTGTGGGTGTATTTGAGAACTGCGGCGTCGCCACCATCACGGACATCCTGGATGATTGGCTTCACCAGGTTGACAATGGCTTCGTTAGATTTCTGGGAAGGACGCTTGAGGTAATCGGTGACCACCTGGGCAGTAGTAGAGGCAGTGATCACACGCTTCATCTCAATTCGGGATGTGCGATCCTCGACCGGGGCGGGTGCGGGGACAGGGGCAGGGGCGGGCTTTGACTCGGGCTTAGCCAGGCCAGCCTTCTCAGCCCAAGGTCCCTTAGCGTCGCCCTTCCTCCGCTTCACCTTCAAGCTCTTGAGGTCAAGGTTTCGCTCGATATCCTCAAGGCTAACACCGGCAGCAGTGCACTTGGTCAGGGCAAAGTAGAGCAGGTCAGCGGCCTCGAAAGCGATTTCCTCCTTGGTCTCCGCACGGCACAACTCGTCAGCCTCCTCCATGATCTTAGCATCGATGAGCTTGGGCTCATTGAACAAACGAGCGGTGTATGATCCAGCCGGAGCATCCGCCTTGCGGGCATCCAAAGTCTTTTGAAGACGAGACAGACCGGCGGATGCGCCGAAGCAGGTCTCTGTACCAAGGTGGCAGAATCCTAATAGTCGCCATGGTCAGTATACAGACACCATCCAGCAATGTGAGTAGCTAGTTCTTACCACGTCCAATTTGCTTGACAACAAAGACCAAACAGTCGGCATCACAATCGAAGCCAATGCGGATCAACTCTTGCACATCCCCGCTGGACTGGCCCTTGTACCACAGACCGCGCTTGCGGCTCTGGTAAACACCGGTGCCAGTACGCAAAGCCTCGACAATGCTCTCGTCACTGCTCCAAACAAAGCCCAGACAAGCTCCCCGCTCATCGGTAACAGATGTAGCATACAAGCCATTGGCCTGGTCAGTAACAGCGGTCGATGCGATAAGCTTAGCGGCAGAGATCTGGCCAGCCACATCCCGCTCAACGGTCAATGCCTGTGAGGGAATGACAGCAATCGCACCCTGCTTTGTGACTTGTGTAATGGCATCCTCTGACACTGTCTGAGTACCGAAAGTTGTGAAGAGGCGTGGGGAGTCCGAGCTAATCTTCAATTTCTCGGCGGCGGCGGGGATGGTGGAAGGTGCAGTGCAGACGCTAGCTTCGCTGCGCTCAGCATTGGCGGCAATCCATTGTTGGAAAGTATCCAATTGGGAGTCTGACAGGGCGTTGACGAGCAGACGCGACGAGGGCACGGATTGTTCTTCGGAGAGAATGGTCAATTGGTCCAAGTTAATCAAGATCTTGGCGGCACCGGCGTTAAGAATATCGACGAGATCGCCGGAGGAGGAGATCTCAGTTGCGTCGACGAAGATATCGAGGGCGCGGAAGTTCTGGCGCAGGAATTGCTCTGCCTGGGTGAGACTTGAGACCTTGATCAGCACGCGGCCGAAGTAGGCGATCTGCTTGAGCGAAAGTCCGGAGTCGGAGGTGGGGGAGGAGGGGTTGTAGGAGATAAGTAAGGGGGTCGCCATGATGGGCAAATGTAGTAATAGAGGATAGAAAGATTGAAAAGGAGAATTAAATCCCCTAAAAGATAGGACCCTTTTGAATGATGGGAAAGTGTGGAGGAGAGCGATGACTCCTCGTGCAACCTTTTTTTTCCCGGCCCCGCTGAATCATCGATTACGCTCTATGTGATTTGGAGATTATTAGTGGTACGATTTTGTTATTTAGAAAATTGTGATACATCATATTTCTGTATTTCTACTTTCTACTTTCTACTTTCAACTTTCAACTTTCTAAAAAAAATGTTCAATTTATTAGGAACCCAGAATTATGTCTTGCTCAACTATACACCACCTCATAGACAATATTATAGGCAGAGATTTTGCTATCCCGGTACCCCTGGAATCCTTGGGGTACAGAATCCAACCCAAGACTTTAGCCTTGTTTGGCTTGACCAGGCCTTGTTCCAACCACGAGGGCAGATTCTCGAACAGTTCGCTGGCCAACTCATGGTCATCATTCGAAGCCTGATCATGCTTAGCATTGCGATCCAACCTGCCAAAGAGTTACTTACCGGCCAATGAAATTTGCCATAGCTGTGATCCTACAAGAAAGAAGTCCAAACGAGCACATCACTGACATGCGTGTTGGCAGTGACTTGTTCTGTTTGCCTTGCCTGGCCGCACGGTACATAGGTCGCCTTTGTGGTCGCCAAAGGCCCGAGAAGAAAGATTGGAAGATGTGGTGTTTCCAATAGTATCAAAGATATACCGAAGAATGAGAGCGACCTCGGTGATCTTTACAATCACATTCGGGTCATTGTAATCAAAGACATATTTTGCGCCGCAGGATCGGACAAGATCTTCATTGTGCGGACGACAAGTCGTGATTACATCGAGGCCATAGATCATGGCGAGCTGAATGGCGTACACGATTGCTGTTGATGTTAATACAGCCAGAACAGCGCATGATTCTCTAGCATGTGTAGCACTCACAGCTGCCACCCCTTACCAAGACGCTGGTACCTTTGGCGTTTGAGCGATCAATATTCAAGCAGTCCTTCGAGAACAAGGCGAGCCATACTGTTGCCGCAGCGAGAGGAACGGTGCTTGCCTTCTCTTGTGAGATGCTCGCAGGAACCTTTAAAGGAAATGTGTTGGTCTGCGATGGTGTATTGACTGTATCCGCCCAGCCCAGGTATTTCCCCTAGTATTGTGTCAAAGGTTATACATCTTCACGGCTGTCACGTCGCATTGCTTTTTGAGGTCACGACTCACCACCCCAGATCAGTCCTACCACATTATCACCCTTGTTAAGTCGAGTGACTGTGTCCTCTAACTTGGTGACTTCCCCAACAAAATCACATCCGAGCACGGCTCCGTCGCTGAATGCATTTACATCAAAGCATTAGACTGCAGATCATGAGCAGTACATTTCAAAGGGTCGGAGTATCAGACCATACCATTCGTTGGATTTTATGCTACATGCGACACCTTGACTTGCACTTGACCAGTCCCAGGTATTGGTAGGGGAGGTTCTTCTTTAACCAATTCAGGCTGTCCTTCTGGAACCCGGACAACCAGTGATACGTTGGATGATGCCATGGTGAAGGATGCGGAGACCCAGCAGATGAGTTTAATTCAAGAATTGATTTGCTTGAACATTCTCATATAGACATACTCCAGCCAAATTGAAATCCATACTTCGAAAGCTGACAAAAGCAACGTTGGGAAGTAGCAGCGCCCAAGGCGACTTGAAAGTGGGGTGTCTCCACATAGATCGCTATGAAGGTGCAACGGAGGCAACTACAAGCGCTAGGGCTTATTTGAGATATTTTGAAATTCGAACTGGAGCAAAAGTTGCATCCTATCTATGATCGGGAACCCTTATTGGGAAAGATCGACGGGTCAATATTAGATGCGAAGTCCTGAAGCGTCGGAGTAGAACGGGTAAGACAAGAATATATCAAGGATATATCCATACCAACGACAAAAGGACCATATTTAGAATCCGCCAGGATTTTTTATTATTAAATAGTTGATGCATGATACGAATGGTCCGAATATAAGCATGCTTATTTTAGCGTAAGCCTGTCAGTTTAAAAAGCCATTCACCCCCAAAGTAAGTACCTTGTGAGCACCATCGATTCCATTTTAATATCATGCCATTCCCACCCACCCCCACCGGCGAGAGCAGCTCCCACTCGGGTAATTGCCATTGTGGCGCTGTGCGGTTCAAGTTCACGATATCCCCGCCCCTACACGAGTACCCCACCAACAACTGCAACTGCTCCATCTGCACGAAGAATGGTTACTTGCTGGTGTACCCGTTCACCAAAGATCTTACCATCGAACAAGGCGAGGATGCGCTGAAAGATTATCGCTTTGCTGAGGGCAAGGTGAAGCACCAATTTTGCGGGGAGTGCGGAAGTAGTTGCTTCATTCGTCTTCCAGAAGAGGGATTCCCACCGGTTACTCCCGTCAATGTAAGTTGAATGACTGACTTTAGAATGTTATGTTGAAGCTATTAACAAGTATATTAGGTACGACTACTACAGGACATTGATATTGAGAAACTGGTTCTCAATAAGGTTGATGGAAAGTCCGTTGGGAAAGAGTACAAAGTTTAGATCAGTTCTTTGTCTCATCCTATATTTGGCTAAATTGATGACTTCACATAGCATTGTCAACCTAAGTAGTGCGAAAATGGCGGGATGGTGTAGAGAAGATATATCATGAATAAAAAATTAGTAAAATTCCCAAACACCTACGCTTTGGCAATTTCTCAGATAGATGCTAGGGTATAGAGGGGCAGCGAGGTGGGAGTATCTCGTACATCCGTTGTAGTCTCAACCGCTACTTCCGAACTACAAGTGCTTGAGACAAGTGGTTGGAGTCCAAATGCAAAATATGCCGGCACGGACCTCTTTACGATTGACATAAATCTTCCTCGGTTGGACATCGAGTCCATCAAGATCTCGAAACCTGGAGAAGGAGAAGATGACTTTCATGTGTTGACGGGGTCAGACACTCTAGTCTGGTGACAAAAACCCATCACATTGAGGGGTATGTTGCATGTCAAAGCACCCGGCGTGACAGCAAGTATGTTTTTATCAGCCAAGACTATGCTAGTCAGGTACATCCTGGTCCCTGGATATGAGGCACCCGAAGAAAGAGGTCATGTTTTCTCGTCATGTCAAGTGGTCGTCTGGCTTGGTCACCCGTATAGTGAATGGTCTCTAGGGAAATTCGAGTTGAGGGAAGATCTAGAATATGGAATCGTCCTCGTATCCAACAAGATCTCAAATATGTGAAAATTGAGACTAAAGATACTTCGGCCACTTGCATTCTCCGATGCGCCAATAATTGGTGGCGCCCTTGCAGATCCCCATCGCCCCTGAATCTTGTCCGATTGGATCCTTTTTCTTTTACAGGAATGATATCCAAGCAAAATGCAGCCCCAATTTTATGGAGATGAGAATGCAAGTGACAGGCGAAATAGTAAACAAATCGGGGTCGCGTGTCGGCGTGCCCGCGTGCTGCCTTCCCCTTTCGCCCTCTTTCTTGTTGACTGCAACCTCACTATATTCTCATTCCGCATTCCCATCCTATTTAAGAATTGCATTGACCTGCTGCGTCGCAGTTCAGGTGGTCCCTCGTTCGCAATTCAAATTATTCCTACGTGTGCCCCTTGCACCGATCGTGCCTAAATAAACCCGTATATCTATATCAACAACCACATCCACCGCGTAATCATGCGCGTCTCTTCTCTATCGCTACCTTTGGCAGTGCTGGGCCTCGTTGGGTCTGCTGCTGCATATCCCCACCCAGAGCCAGAGGCGATCTTGCCCCGCGAGTCAGAGAGCCAGGCCAAAGCCGATGCTGTCAAGGAAGCCTTCCAACATGCATGGAATGGATATGTCAAATATGCTTTCCCTCATGACGAGTTGCACCCCGTGAGCAATGGCTTTGGTGACTCTAGGTGAGCATATCTGATTAACCAGTTCTTGCTGTGGACTGACCTGCGATAGAAATGGATGGGGAGCCTCAGCTGTCGACGCGCTTTCAACCGCCATTGTCATGGGTAACAAGGACGCTGTCCAAAAAATCCTGGACCACATTGAAACCATTGACTTCTCGAAGACCGGGGACCAGGTCAGCCTGTTCGAGACCACTATCCGATACCTTGCTGGCATGTTGTCCGGCTATGATTTGCTCAAGGATCCTGCAACGAAAAGCCTTGCCCCTAAATCAACTCAGGTCGATGCCCTGCTTACCCAGTCCAAGAAACTTGGTGATATCCTGAAGTTTGCCTTTGACACACCATCCGGTGTTCCCTACAATAACATTAACATTACTTCCAAGGGAAATGATGGCTCGAAAACCAATGGTCTTGCAGTAACTGGAACTCTGGTGCTGGAGTGGACACGATTGTCCGATCTGACTGGCGATGATGAATATGCCAAGATAAGCCAGAAGGCCCAGTCGTACCTTTTGGACCCTCAGCCATCAAGCGGAGAGCCTTTCCCGGGCCTGGTGGGAAGCAACATCAACATCTCTAACGGTCATTTCACCGACGGTACTGTCTCCTGGAACGGCGGTGATGACTCATTCTACGAGTACCTGATTAAGATGTACGTGTACGACCCCAAGCGGTTCGAGTCATACAAGGACCGCTGGGTCCTCGCAGCCGAGTCGACAATCAATCACCTCCAATCGCATCCCGCCCCTCGCCCGGAAGTGACCTGGCTGGCATCATACTACAACGGCCAATATGATCTTAGCTCACAGCATTTGACCTGCTTTGATGGCGGCAGTTTTATCCTGGGCGGCACTGTGCTGGATCGGCCGGACTTTATCGATTTCGGCTTGAAACTCGTGGATGGTTGCGAGGCTACTTACAACCAGACCCTGACCGGCATTGGACCAGACTCGTGGGGCTGGGATCCAAAGAAAGTGCCATCTGACCAAAAAGATTTCTACGAGAAGGCCGGATTTTACATCAACAGCGGCTCGTATGACTTGCGCCCTGAAGTGATCGAGAGTTTCTACTACGCGTACCGCGTCACTGGGAAAGAAATCGTTAGTCAATTTTCCTTCCACTGATATTTCAAGCAAACTGACTGTGGTTTAGTACCGCGACTGGGTGTGGAACAGTTTCAAGGCGATCAATGCTACTTGTCGCACTGACTCGGGCTTTGCTGCTGTAAGCAACGTGAATACAGCTGGCGGCGGTTCAAAGTACGATAATGAGGAGAGCTTCCTCTTTGCTGAAGTCATGAAATATGCGTACCTTGTACATGCAGAGGGTAAGTTGCTAGCCTTTCCGCCCATCATTTTCATCCATCAAAACATTGCTAATACTGAGTTTTGCTATAGATGCCCCATGGCAAGTTCAGAAGGGCGAAAAGAATGCGTACGTGTTCAACACTGAGGCTCATCCCATGCGCGTGTCGCACACCTAGGTTATAGGATAGTTGAACTATCACTACAGTATATAGTGCATGCATCAAGCCTATTTTACCCTTTGTCATTAGATGTGATCTTGTAACAATGTTGAACATTGCCGGTTTCGAGTTGCGATCAGCTCCCGGATCACGCCTGTCGTTATGTAACCCTGCTGCAAGAGCCTGGTTCTGACTTCGTGTGGGAATTGGTCGTCCGTATTTCAGACCATTTAGGTGCTGGTCCTGAGAAGAAAAAGAAAAGAGAACGGAGAGAATTTAACGGAGCACTCCCAATGAGTTCTCCGTTGAAACTCCCAATCTCTTGGCCCTGTAATGGTATATACCGGATTAATGTATCAGGGGCCATTTTCAAAGTTTGTATTTTTCTCACATGACCGTTGTCATGATGTAAAATTACCGCCACTTTCAGTTCAATCGTTTGATCTTAAGATTGAGCTCTTCACATAATACCATTATATTGACCCGATGGGAGACATAAGGGGCTTACACTCCCCAAAACATGATTCTGAGTCTTCCTATCTTCAAAATGAAGAAATCCAGAACCTCCCGCCTGAGTGTGAGTATTTTATCATGCCCGCGCCTTCTTACGATTTATAAGGCCAAGGTCTGATCAAGAAACAGGCATCAACTCATCAGAGACAAATTGTATGATTGACCCGTCATTTCATGATCTTGATTTCGAGGATGAATTTAGTTTTCCACTCTCTGAAGGTGGCTTATTCATGAGTCAACCGCCTGCGTTACCACTAGATTGGCCAGAAAATGAGCCTTTGGGCGATAGCTTGCAAGAATTCTTGGTCTCAAACCGTACTTTCTTTCCAGATTGCCAAGATGCTCTGTCGCCCTTGTCAAGTTCTCAAAATGAGCAATTTACCCATACCTCTCATAGTGACATAGCTGGGGTATGGCCGCCCAATATGCCACAAGCTTTTCTTGCACCAAGTATTACACCGGGAAATGCACAGCCGTCGGAATACAATTTACGCGAATTTGTGCCTACACAAACTAGTAATGGGACGGTTGGGAATGAGAGAACAATTACTCTCGATCGCTCTGCAAATCTCCAACCAAGCTTGCCGAGGCGCAGAAGCCGCTACTTTCTTCAGAGATCTGAGAATCAGATGATCCCGAAATTCATTCCAAACCCGACTGGCCCTTGTGACCCTCTTCAACGTTGGCGGAACTCTCCACCCGAGGATGAGCCAGCGTCTATATCTGCTATCGCTGATGCGCTCAATAACTCGGAAAATATCGGAGGTCGAATCTCTGAGGGCAAAGACCGGCCTGCGCAAGGACAGGATTCTCCTTTCCACAGCTACCGCCGGCCGGCTTCACTAGTCAGCTCCAATAGTGGCTCCAGCGCCTCATCTTGGCAATCTGTTACGTCAACAAGATCTGCAACAGCACAGGATCCACTAGCACCTCAAGATCTTGGTGGCCCTCGCCGTGTCCATAAGAACAGACGGACTCAAAAGAAGCCAGATGATGCTAGCAAGCGCATCTTTTGTTGTACGTTTTGTTGCGACAGATTCAAGAACAAGTACGATTGGGTCCGTCATGAGAAATCACTTCATCTTAATCTGGAGGGTTGGGTCTGCGCACCGCACGGTGTTGCTCCGATTTCACCTTTAACTGGTCGAAGACAATGTGCCTATTGTCTTTGCTTAGAACCATCGGCCCAACATCTCAAAGAGCACAAATCTCAGCCTTGTTCCGAAGGGACCCGCACGTTTCGCCGAAAAGACCACCTCGTCCAACACCTTCGACAGTACCATAGTCTTAATGCAATCCCGTTGATTGAAGACTGGAGAGAAATTTCTCCCATTGTGACATCTCGTTGCGGCTTTTGTGACCACAGGCTTACCACTTGGGATGAGCGTTCTGAGCATCTGGCCTCACATTTTCGTGAAGGGTTGACAATGAACGAATGGCGAGGGGATCACGATTTTTCGCCCTTAGTTGCATCTAAAATCACCAACGCCTTACCTGTGTATCTGATTGGATCATAATCAAAAACTGTGGTACCTTTCTCGGCAACCAAAGACCATTTGGCCCAAATTCGAAGGCGAGCAGACTCGACCATTGATGCGACATCCGACCAACATAATGAGGTGACATTGGGATATTCATTTCAGCAACTTCGCGCGCATGATAAACCCCTGGAAACGTTCACGGAACTCTTGACTTCCCACCTGTCTCGGTATTCCCGGAAGCAAATGAGCTTGGGTGTTATTCCTACTGATGAAATGTTTCAACAAGAGTCGAGACGATTACTTTATGACTCTGACGACCCTTGGAATCAGACCATCGCTGATAACTCAGAATGGATATCTGCTTTCAAACAACAATATGTCGAACGGACGGATGCTGCTGAATCGACAGGACAAACGGCTCCGCGTGCGGTGGCGCCGCTCGGCCCTGATGAAACAACCCCCTTGTGATATGTACATTTCGACTTGGAATATCCCATGAGAGAACTTCCAGAAGAAGAATCACAAGTCAAAGGCTTTCCGATCTCTACTATGCTCTATATTCTCTCGATCAGCCGGTTTGCAACAGCAACGACTCTCCTATCATCACCTATCACAGTTGGCCCAATGACAAATGTTACATAGATATGGTCTTACGCACAATATAACCGAAGATCGGATAAACCTCTTATGAAAGGAAACAATTTAGTAATGCGGTCTTTCATTCAATTCCTAAGTACATCTGCTCTATTCTTCGCTGATCACATCGGTCCATTCATATTTGTCGTTCCCTACAAGAATACCAGACATCCATCCCTGCAAGATCGCTATGTGAGGAACCTCGTCTGGCGGGATCTCAATAATCCGCTCCTTGTATTGAATCCGGACCACTAGTTGCATAAAGCAGGCAGTGCCAACAGCGAAAGCACCAAGCAGTCTTCCCTCATCCGAAGCCTTGATTAGATCGGAGATAGTGAAGTTTGCCTCGAATACCTCCAACGGCTCAATGTCCAGTTGAGAAGAGCTAGCTTGGTCAAGCCTTGTTCTTGTCAGCTCGATGACACTCTTCCTGGTTACACCTGCCAGAATTGTATGTTCTCCTAGTGGAGCAGTAACAAGCTGCAGCTTCCCGTCTCCCGTTCGCCAAATTGCGAAAAAGTTCGATGATCCAGCCTCCGTCACGTACCCCTCAGATCCAAATAACCAAAGGACCTGATCGAAACCATTTTTCTTGGCTTCGCCGTGCGCCAAAAGTGAGGGCCCATAGTTACCACTGATTTTGGCTGACCCGGTGCCACCAGGCCACGCGCGGACCACATCTTCGCCACTGCAAAGAAGCTCCAGTCCAGTTTTGGCCGGGGGTGGAGGCGGCCAGTATGAGATGATAATGAACAACATCGCCTCTTGGGGAACCTGGAATCCCAGATTTGGATCCGATCCGATAAACGTAGGACGGAGATAAAGTGACTGACCGACGCGGTCCTGGGGCAGCCACTTCGGACCGTCAACCGCACAGAGCTTCCTGATCAACTCAAGAAGCTGTTGGGGATCGGACCCAGGAAGGGAGATACGAAGCGCAGAAGCAAGCATCCGTCCGCAGTTATATCCCGGTCGGAATAGGCGCAGCTTCCCGTCAAGACCGCGGTATACTTTCATACCCTCAAAACAAGCCGTGGAATAGTGTAGAACGCTCGCGGTCGGCATCAATGATAGTGGGCCGTACGGAACAAGTTCTGGATCGGCCCAGCCTTGCTCGGAGGTCCAGCGGACGGTAACCATGTGGTCGGTGCATACTTTGTTCGAGAGTAGTTCCGGAGAACCAGGGAGTGGCACTGGTCTTGGGGAGGAAGTCAGGTTTATCTTGAGCCGGGATGCGTCGAATGTTTCTCGAGGGGATTGGTCTTTCGGGTGCGCAACCATTCGTAGGACTGATGGGGGAAGAAATGCGTTCGCATCCTCAATGATCTGAATACGGGGTTCATCTGCCATGTTTCCCTTTCGCAGTTGGGATTGGATCATGTGTTCTGGATTGGGAGCCTGTTACTCGGAATTGCAGGCAACGATCCTCTTAAATCTTGCCATAAAACTCAATACTCTTTTGGGAGTATAGACTCCCTGTGCTTCCTTGTGATCTAGTCGCGAATTGTCTAGAATGAATACATGTAGGGCGTAGATGGGCGTAAGGCGTAAGACTAACACAAATAGATGTTTGAAGCTTATCGCCGGAACCCCGTTGGTTTTCCTCTCGATCTTTTAGGATTGCCCAGGTGGCTATACCTAGTATACAGTATCGGCTCAACCAGACCCACCGGACCCACAGGGCGTGAAGCACACGCCCTGTGGGTCCTGCAAGTTTTCTCAATGAATTGAGGGAATATAGGAGTACTGCATATAATTACAATTATCAGTTCAACTCTTGATGTCTCTACTTTCCAGATCTCGCCTTTTTGGCCCATTTGCATGGCTCTTTTCACAATGCCCTCCATCACTACTTCGCTCGCTACTACATCTATGCCAAGTGTTCGCATACATATAATTGGTCTGGGGAGTATTGGCACGTTTGCTGCACATGCTGTATCTGAAATTCCGAACGGACCTTCTGTGACTCTCCTCTTACATCGGAGATCACTTCTGGAGACCTATCGCCAGAATGGAAATCAAATAAGATTCGAATCCACCGACGGAAAGCATCTTGTTTCACGCGGATATGACTTGGAAACATTCTACAACGACAAATGGCATCTTACAACACCCCAGATGAAGGATTCAGCAGTTGTTACAGATGAGATCCAGCATCTAATTGTTTGCGCTAAAGCAACGCAGACTGTATCTGCCCTGCGCCCACTGGTCCCCCGCCTAAGCCGTGCTTCCAATATTCTCTTCCTCCAAAATGGCGCCGGGATGATCGAGGAGGTCAACAAGTATCTATTCCCAGATCCTATGTTTAGACCAAACTATTTGATTGGCGTCATTTCCCACGGAGTCACGCTCAATTCTCCGTTCAACATCACCCACACCGGGTTTTCGGCGACTTCAATAGGGCCCGTCCCATCCAATGCCTCAGTCCTCAACAGAATACCAGATGCACAGCCTGACTACCTTTGCCAAACTTTACCCAACTCCCCAATCCTGAATTTGAAACCATATTCCTACTCTGGTATTCTCCAAATTCAACTCGAGAAACTGGCTGTCAATGCTTTCTGCAACCCAATTTGTGCCTTGAACAACGCTCAGAACAAATTCTTGTTTAGTGTACCGGAAATACGCCGGGCGATTTTAACTGAGATCTCGGAGGTTGTTCTCTCCCTACCAGAGTTGAAGGACGTACCAGGCTTGAAAGAAAGGTTCTCGGTGGAACGTCTAGAGCAGACGGTTCATGCAATCATTGAAAAGACGGCCAATGCCACTTGCTCCATGGTCTGGGATCTCAGATCAGGACGAGAGACTGAAATTAATTTTATCAACGGGAGCTGGAGTCGGATGGGTCGGACGCTTGGTGTTAGGACACCAGTCAATGATGAGCTTGTTGAAAAGGTTTTGGAGAGGTGGGGCTCAAGTAGAAGATGTGAACAATCCAACTAGATTTCAAAATTGAAGGGTTCTCCAATCTGACAGGGTGTTGCAAGAACAGACGCTATATCAAGTGATTGCCCTGTGCTACACTTCAGCTCTATTGGCCATTTTATAAAGCATGCATGATAACGACACCCGATGCTAGCGGATCGAGACGGGTAGGTAGTAGTCTGTGTTTAATTTGAACTGAGCAATTCATAGTTGAGCGCACGCCATGTGGCCGACTTGCCGACTTGCCGGCCAAATGAGGACAAAACCCGTCATTCGTAATTGCTTATTGATTTTGGATCTTTTCAAGGTTGTTTTTCTTATTAAAACCAAGTGGGAAATAAGGACAAAGAAATCCAATCGGCAAATGGTTTGAGCTCGGCTACACGATGGAATTGCGCCATTTGGAGCATTGGTGACACAATTAATCGCTACAGGATGAAATTCAATTAAACCTGAAGAAATCCCCACGAAATAGCCCATAAATACACGTAGTTCACACAAAATGATGTTATGCGCGGACTGTATCACGAAAACGCTAAGTTGCTAGTAGATGTCAGAAAAGGACAAGCGTCATTATCCGTGTATAAGATGGCCATGCAATTCTCTTGTGATACAGTAAATAATAAACACCCGACAATTGACCCAAACACAGCCATTACCCAAAGTCATGGCTTCCTTAAAACAAACTCTCCTAGCAGCACTAGCAACGACATCCTCACTAACCACAGACGGCCACTACCGTTCACGACCCGACCTTGCACCACCCCAACTAAACATCACCATCCCCGCCGCAAACACCAATGGCTCTGAATACGTCTTCATCGCCCCATATGCTTTCGGCGGGGCCCTTGAACGGCCCGGTCCGTACATCTACCGCAAGGACGGCGATTTAGTGTGGGCCGGTACAGGGTACTACGCCGGGTTTGTGGCTAATTTCCATACTACCACGTACAAAGGGAAATCCGTGCTTCAGGCATTCCAGGGTAGTATGGATGGTGCCCATGGGGAAGGCTTTGGTCAACATGTCTTGCTGGATCAGAGTTATCAACATGTTGTTACCTCAACTGCGGGAAACCATCGGGTTTCGTCAATTCACGAATTTAATGTTATCGGGGGAGAGACGGCTTTGATTGAGGTCTTTTATACGACTCCTGCGAATTTATCGGCTTATGGTGGAAATTCTTCGCAGCAGTGGTTGGGGAATGGGATTTTCCAAGGTTTGTTGGTTGTGAAGACTGGATGATGACTTTGTTCGCTAATTTGGTTATTCGATAGAGAATGATATTGCCACAGGAGAGTTGATATTTGAGTGGAATGCTTTGGAGCATGTGGATCCGTCAGGTAAGATTATTTGCCCTGACTCGATAAAGACTGCATCTAACCCCCAACTAGAAAGCCTGGTGACACTAGGTTCAACTGATGCCAATAGCGGATTGTCATCCGCCCAAGCATGGGATTACTTCCACATCAACAGCCTTGACAAAAACGAAGAAGGAGACTACCTACTCTCGTCCCGACACACGAGCACGATATTCAAGATCAACGGCACAGACGGCTCAATAATTTGGCGGCTCGGCGGCAAGTACCCCAGCTTTTCACAAACCGGAAACTGGACCTTTGGATTCCAACACCACGCCCGCTGGCAACCGCAGCTCAGCAAGCCCGGGACGGAGGTAATCTCATTCTTTGACAACTCCGGCGACGGCACTATCACATTCAACAATGTGTCCCGGGCTTTGGTTGTCCAGATCAACCACACAGATAGCACGGCGACAGTTCTCCGAAAGGCAACGGCACCGTATGATCTCCAGGCACAGTCACAGGGAAACACACAGCTACTTTCTAAAGACCGAATCTTCGTCAACTGGGGTTCTGAGGGTGCTTTCACGGAATTTGGTGCTGATAATGAGATTCTATACCATGCTTTTATCCAATCCGGGTCAGTCAGCTACCGTGGTTTCTTGTCGAATTGGACTGGTACACCGAAGGAAACTCCGGCACTGGCTGCGCTGAAAAAAGCTTCTCACCTGGTCGAGCTTTATGTATCTTGGAATGGGGATACTGAGACTTCGGCCTGGAGATTCTTTTATGTCAACGGGCAGACGAAGACGTTGGTTGGTCAAGTGGACAGGAAATCTTTTGAGACGACTTTTACTTGGAAGTCGAGTTTTGCACTTTCTTCTTCTGCTAGATTTGTTGCTGAGGCTGTTGGCCCGAATGGGGAGTCTCTTGCGCAGACCAGTTTGACTGCTACCACTGCCAAAATTTAAGTTGTTGCGTTAGAGCCAAGATTGGAGGACTCGAGCCAGGTTCAAGTTCATGCATTTGACTGCAACTATTGAGATTGCGTGGTTATTGAAAGTTATCTTAAGATAAAACGTTCATATATTGTTTTAGACATTAAATTATAGGACATCATAAAAGTACAAATTAAACATTAAACATTAGACTCCACCTTGTATCAGGTCCTCGAATAAGGCATACAGCTTCTTCAAATCATATCGCATATAGTAAAGACCGCTAGTGGTCATCATGCGTCGAATTCCTGTTTGGCGTCTGGCTGCTTTCGAGCCTTCCGCAGCTTATGACAGGCAATAGAGGCACGCACACAAAGAATGAGGTTGAAGAGGCTGAATGATAATCTTCTGTTAGATATTAAAGGGCAAAGAAAACGAGTGGTAATAAACTCACATCCCAAGAAGTATCATAGAACACCCCAAACACTCAGCCGCATACAATGGACCAACATTATGGGTACTGGAGTAAGAATAACCACCAAGGTTCCAATAGGCAAGCTCGTGCAAATCGAAACAGACTGTGATTAACTGGGCAATGAACGCAATGCAGTCGAATGCGACTATCACACCCGGGTGGACAGCGCAGTTGCAAAAGACGACGACGAGAAAGACGGTGGACCAAACGAATCCGTATGATGCCTAATCATGACAGGAATGTAGAGTCAGTAAGCCTTCTTTATGACACCTGATATATTCATTATAGTGAAGTTGTTTGAAACACACCGTGCCTAGGTTGATGCTAGACCATGCTTCTCCCAGCCCATCGCTCGAAACGACTCCTTCACGATGCTGAACCATGGCCCAGGCAAAGCAGATTATCGCTATCATGGTGCATAGTACTGCACCAAATCGCAGAGATAGAAGGGAAAGCCATTTCTTCTCTTTCCTCGGTACTGCTTCGATGCAGAAAGAAGCGGAGGCTTGGTGGTTCAAGGCCGTAGACATGGTTGTAAGTAGTATAAAGTATCAAATAGTATGATTGTAGAGAAAAAACACGAGACAGTATGGAAAATCCATGGTTTAATAGGAACTTATATAACTTGTATGCAAATACGAAACACAAAAATGGTTCATATGTCATGCTAATCATTACCTTTTATATGCTAACACAGCCCTCAGGATGCGGTGGCAACGCCAAGGGCCTATCCAAGTTGAACCCCACAAATTCCGATCGGACCAGTAGACTCGATGAACAAGTTGTGGAGTATTTATGCAGGGTCCAATCTACATTGGTGGCCCCTAAACTCAGCCTCTTACTTACCCATTTAGCTAATTCATGCGCCGTTTACACCGGTGCTTTGCTGTCAAAGGTGTTTATCTTGGCACAGCTTGGCGTTCTCCGATAGGAAGGGAGGGACATATCGCAGAGCCTTTGGATGAATGATCATTTTCTATAAATATATTAGCCTTTACATTTAGGCAGTTTTTGCCAGTGGTAGAAGCGTAGTCTCGATAGAAGGTGCAGTTCATTCGATATTTTATTGTTTCAACACTGGCGAATCCGCATGTACTACACCCATTTCTTTGCCACTCCCATCCTGACCCTGTCTTAGTGTTTACTCATATTTTTCTAGTAAGAGAGATTAAGATATTGAGAAAGGGATTATGTAGTAAACTCGTTTTTTAATCAAGGATATATGATAAGTGGCAAGTTAGAAGTCTATGACTTTGAACGTAGTATTTAAATTGCATAGCACTGTTGACTGTTGACTTATGACTATTGAGCTGGTTTTACTTTTCATTTCATCTTAAAACAAGTCAGAAGAGATGGAGATGATCTCTGGTATGATGACTGGTATGATGAAGAATTCTTGTGATTTGGTAATATTTCTCGCAGCCTTTCAGTATGTTTTCACTTCACTAGCTCATTCTCAAAATTCTATCAAAGTTTCGACAGCAGGCACCAAAATGGAAAGTGGGATGCCATTTTGCCGCTGTCCGTTGGTTGACCCATGTGAAAAGAGAGTGTTAACCAGAGAAACGAGGATCAAACACGAGGAGGGCTATGCTGATTACCTGAAACTTCTGAATGTTAAACATACATAGAAAATACTTCACCATCTGCATCACGGTAGAGCCCCGCGAAGGCAATAAATCTGTTCTTTGGTATCAATAGGGAGGTCATCTCCTTATGGGTTTGCTTTCAGGTGGGATCATTTCGTATCCTTCTCCAGTCTCCTCTTCCTACTCCATGCCAATGGCCCCAAGTCAGGTCTCACTATGACATGTCTTCTGTGCTGCCCAAGCGACAAATTATGATTGTAAGTAACTCATTTTTTAATAAGCATAATCGAGCCACACGGTCGGATTGAGCTGCGTTGGCCTCATATCAGCCTTTTGCTTTTCGTTTTTGCGACTGCATTTGGTAGGTTCTGTAGGGTTTTGGAGTCGGCATTTTGAGAATGAGGATGTGGAGCTGCCTAGGGGGATTGAAAATCAAGCGAAGAAAGACATAGGATTGTCAAGAACTCTCACTCTGTCTCGTCCCCAACATAGTGTGCTTCTTGAAGGAAGTCACAGTATAAAGTCTAGGACGAGCCGCAAGGCTTGTTGTTTGTGTATCGCCGAGAGTGACATTTGCCGTCTGCGGGCGTGGTGTTGTAGTCTTTGAGAAACTTTTGATATGCTTCCGGGTTTGGTCTTCACGACGCTTTGGAAATTAATCAAGAATTTCCAACCCCAAAAGTGAGAATGATAATTCCTGCTGCAGTCACTACAAACGCGATCCCGCGTTGTCCGGGCGCTGAGATCAAGGCAAGGAAAAAGGTCTCGGGACCCCTATAGCCCTTCTGTGACCTAAGAAAAACTTGAGAAGCACAACTCCGCCTTATGAGGCAATATGTCATGGTTTGCCAAATCCAAAGACAAGACTTGCGACATTCAATCATGTAGATTTGGCATTAGGGTGTTGCTGGTCAATTAATTAGCAGTTATACTAGTGAGTAGAGCGCGGAATAGCTTACGTCTCGAGAGCTAAGACAGTTTGCGAGAAACAGCTCAGATCCTGATTCGCGTGGTAGATCTTACGGGGCAATCGAGTCCCTTCCGTAAGTATATCGACCGCCCCGCTGTGGGCTGGCGGCTGCCACAGTGGCCCCACGAGCACCAGGGAGAAACCACCCGTGGATTGAGTAGTGGGTACATTCGAACTATGGCTCCATCGCTCTTTTGCGCATTGAATCAGCATTGTTAGACTGACAACGATAAAGGTAGTAGGGGCAGCCAAGTCCATCCCACTTGGGGTGACGATCAAGGGTTGGGAATGAGAGGAAGAGAGATTGGGAATACAGTAGAGCTGGAAGAAAACGAGCCTTTCCAACTGGGAAGTGAGTCTTTCTATGATTTAGGCAGGAACGATGTCACACTTCTATTTCCATGCTTTCCTCTTTCTCTTTTAGTGGTCTCATATATTTATCATCACCTAGGCAACATCTACCAATCGTCTATTATGTGACGAAGGTATATACAAAAATAGTCTAGTAAAGTTTCAAGGACTGTATTGTAAATCTGGGAAGAGACTTCGACAATAGTTAAAATATATTTCTCTCCGATTAGTGAAGGAATGTACGCTGGACGTTGTCCCATTATAGCGCGCGACATTTAGCTTGGGATTTTTCCTGACATTTCTTTTACCAAGGTATTGTCCACAGGTAGGCGATGGAAAGACTACATGGTCGACGCAGTTTGAGCTAAGTATTTCAACCCAGCAAAGTAAACAGAATCAAACTGGTAAGGCCTTTCAACTATTGGCCTTACCTGGGTGGGCTCTACATTATCCCATCACTCGCATAATTGGACTATTTTCTATATATATTTGAATAATTTCAGTTCGAGGGGACAGCAGGTCCACTTTACTTGAGACTACATCCTTTTGCATACTCTTTTCCAATATTTCAGCGATTTATTTCGTAGCGTATAATCATGTGCCATTGAATGTCTTGTGAGTCAAGCTTGTAGGAAAGAAAAAGCCGAAATCTATTCATGCAAACTGAATTCAAATCTTGGGATCATGTTTCCAGCCTGGCATATCAGCGAGATCTTTCGCCGGAGCACCGCGTATAGATTTGAGAGCATCACCCCCAGGTCTCCACATCCATGAATTGGCCAGGCTTGGTGGAAGAGAGCCTTCTATCAGCTCAACGACATGTTTGCCGATGTTGGGTAGAAGCTTGAAGCTATGACTGTAGTATGCGCTGTTAGAAAGCCGCTGACTGTATTAAAACCCAGATTTTGATTATTGACTTACCCACTGTCTCCTGTGGCCAGAATGAAGTTTTTCCACTTGGGGTGCTCGCATATCAGTAAGCTGGCGTCGGCAGTATCTGTGCACCAGCACATAGACCGATTAAAAAGCTCTTTATGCTTGAATTGTGGCAGGAATCTCGCAATTGCCTTTCGAATGGTTACCTCAGAAGCATCTGGGTAGGTATCTGTAGGATGTTTGGCGTGTGATCGAGGAACAGAGATGGGCTTTGGAGAGACCGCCCCGTAAGGTTGATGCAACTTGAAGCGAGAGAATCCGGGGAACTCGTCGCAGACTTTGATAACCCCGTGCCTGTAGATGAAGCCTTAATACGCAGCTCTGCATTCTTCGGCATTATATCAAGATGGGGTTGCTTACTCGTTGGGTTCGAAAAAGAAGCCGTATTCACCATCGTATACCACGGGTACGTTCTTGTATTTGGCGACCTCCTCGGGTGTGAGCTGGATATGAGCAAAGACCCACGCCTGTAAGAATTGATCATCAGCAAATTGGTTCATTTGAATAGGAATTTGTGAAAGGTGAGACAAAGGATATCCTGAACTTACTTTCGAAACACACTGATCATCCAAATCTACCAATGTTGAACTCCAAGCACCAGCAGCCAAGACAACCTTGTCGGCGTAATATCTAGTACCACCTACCGTCTCAACACCATTGCATGTGATTCCATCCGCAGTGAACAGAGGTCGCTTGAAAGTTCCAGATCTATACGATTTTGCGTCAGTAAAGTGAAAATCCTCAAACTTTCTAAAATTTGCCCAAGGATCATTGCATACTCGCCAAATCCAAAGTTGACACCTTGATCTTTTAGGAAATGTCCGATCGCATTAATGGCCTTGGCTGCAGCAAGCCAACCTCCATCGCCACAATACAAGCCTTTCCACCCCTGACCTCATACTTTTATTAGCCCATTCCCCCTCAAGTTTGTATATTGATACAATTCACCTTCACCTGCTCTCTTGTAAAAGCTGGTACCTTGTCAAGTATATCATCTTCGCTTTCTAACAACCAGTTCGTTTTCTCCAATCCAACATTCGCGTCGAGGATTGTTTGATACGTTTGCCGAAGATTCGCAATACCGTGTTCAGATGACGAGCAGTCAATCTGGCTGTGTTAGTATGCATTTGTTGCAACTTCAATAGCGATTCCGTCTTAACTCACCATGCCGACATTGTGAAAGAAGGGCTTGAATAATGGATCATTTTTCCACATGTCAAGAGCCTCGAGCGAAAGTTGCAGATCTGCCCTCTTGCGTAGCCGGATGCCCATGATTTTGTTAAGATCATTTCCTGCCGATTGAGCCGAAGGAATGGGATATACATCAAGCACTGTGATATTTGAGGGAGTATACCCAGATCGGATGAGGTGCAATGCTGTTGAGGAACCTATGGTACCACCTCCCCCGACCACTACGACTTTTGTTGTTGTACGCGAATGCACCATTTTTGGTGACTCAATCGGAAATGTGATGTAAATTGAAGAAGTTGAACCGGGCAAATTGACGGGGAAGCTCGCTAGATAAAGCTATTCGGACTTCATGGGACCGATATCTCATGCTTATAAATAATTCTGTTAAAACGAACGCGATTGGTGCTAAGTGGGGACGTATCGCCGAACAGGGGAACTGCAAAACACGCCATATACGTCGCGTGGACCTTCCATCGCCCCGGTGAAACTCCGACGTATGGGCTTAGGCTTGAAAAACGCGGGGAATTGACCCACCAAGTTGTGATAAAGAGATAGCCGTTTTTATTATCAAACGGTTATCATTTGGATACAACCATTGCCAACCACCTGAGAAGTTACTAGGATAACCAAAGATTACGCCCATAAATGCGCATGATTTCGCGTGGACCTTCGCGACCCCAATGGCACTTAGCTGAGCCCTACAGGGAGCAGGAAACATGCCCCTGCTAAGAATAAAGATATAAGCTCACAGCATATAAATAAGCGACCAGGTCCTGCAACCAATTCCAAGGGCAAGGAATTTTGATAGCTTCTTGAGAAAGGGAGGATGTGGTCTGATATTTAAAACAACGTAATGCCCCATATACTATCATCATTATGCTTTACACTTAGGCGACGTATCGTGAGTTTCAAAATGATCCTGAGCAATACTTGTCCAGATTTGTGTGGCCGATGGATAGTATGACTCGACATATTTGCTATTTCCAACTGTAGTATGTTGCGGCTAGTAGAAACGTAGTGTCTGAGCTTTCTTGATCTTTATAACAACAAGTAATATGGCATAAAGGGCATCCGCGTACCCTTGATTTTTGAATGTACTACCAAATCTTCTAGCATAGTGTGATAACTGCTACATATTGGCGTTGAATAGGTCTTAAAGGTTGAATATTTTGACCTGGTAACACGAGCCTTTGCATCTAGTAGTTTATATTGCTATCACTTCTTTCCGCTTTTACTATTTTCAATATTTGTGGGATTGCTCTATATTGTTAGCTTGAGTGAATATTGTCATTTGTGTTCTATTGTGGTCAGCCTTCAATTACAAAGATCCTTGCCTGTAAATGAGTCGCCTAGAGAAAAATAAATGACACTGGTTTTGGCAAGCACCTCTCGAGGGCTGACTTCCAAGGTTTTACTTACACCCTCTCACCAACAAATCAAAAAGGATGACACAAATGATAATTCTTTTCACCGATTTCAAAGATGACACAGCAGCATCTTTCATCAGAGTCTGTAGCTCGACGCCACTTTCATCGTGGTGGTGACCCTACTAGTCTAAACGATGATGGCCAAGACGAGACCAGACAAGGTAGGACAAATCAGAGAGTAAAAATGTCGACATGAAGACTAACCAGCCAGCTCTAGGACAACCCCTGACTTCACAGCTGAGGCCCGAGATACCTGTTACCAACATCAACATCCAGACCTTTGACCTGCGCCACTACAATCTCGACGGACCCGGCGAAACTCCAGGAGCTTACCATTCATTCTCGGCATCTTGTGGTAGGAGATCAAATCGCACCAGAGATGACACACATTCTCACCAATCCACTCGACAGCACAGTTCGGAGAACGAGTCATCTCAACAACCCTCACTCCCACCCCAAATACCTCGAACTCCAGCAATAAGACCACTGCGACAAACAATCCCAGGATGGCAACTCTCTGACCCCATTGCAATACCATCCAGACGACCTACTGACGGAAGTTCTTCTCAGCCTTCAGCGTTCCTCTCCTTCTCCGGAAGCTCCTGGGAAGACTATGTCTCAGATGATACAGTGGCCAATTACCGAGCCATCGGAGCTCAATATCAAGCATGGATAGCAGGCCCAACCCCAACATCATGTCCAATCCGACGATCAAGAGTCACCTGGGCAGACCTAGTCCACCCGCTCGAAGAAAACGGCTTCGAGGTGTATCTTGACGACTTTAGATCAACCCCCGAAGAAGTGGGCAACATCGCGTCCACTGGGCTCTCAACAGGGAATACTTGGCATTATGTTTACCTAAGGCAATATGGATACTGGGATGATGGTCGTCAAGAGGGCTACACTGTTTACCAGCACCGCACCGGCCTCGGCGCTATCTTCGTTGAGAACATTACCAGACAATTCGGGCCTTACTGGGCTCAAGTGACGCAGGCGCAGTACCAGCTTGATAACCACATCGATACCCTCCGGCATGTTTATTTTATTAACGTTCAGAACCTGCACACTTGGCCCTACGTGGAATTCCATCTATACCCTCGTCATGACTTGCACTGGTTCGAGGACTATGAGCCCCAGTGCTGGGAATATGGCACAAGAGAGTATCAGGAGCTCCTGGGTACGAAGCTGGGAAGGGGCGTTGCTCGTCTGGTTCTGGGAGCTTGGCCGAGGGGTACCCATCGCATTGAGAACATTTTTACGTGGACCTATGTCGGAAACTTACAGATGAGGTTTGATATTAAGCGAATTTGATTCACTATTTCGAGCTGCATGGAGCAAATAAGCATACTAATCCAACGTTGAGCCAACTACAGACAGAGGAGAAGCGCTAGGCCTGACCGACTGGTGGTTTTGACAGCACTTTGAGGTAGGGCGTATATTGGCCGTGACAGGGAATAGCGCCATCGTGTCCAATAAACTTCCATGGAAAAGTCTCTTGCACAAAGTATGCCTTTTTTACAGCCGTCACATACATGTCAAATCTTATATGATATGTAGTATAGTCAGATGTAGGAGATATCAGCTGACAACGGTGCCCAGCCCAGTAAAAAAGAGAGAACATGCGGATCTCAACCTCATACCAGCTCTATAGTACTACCGAATAAGTTATGAGACGTCACTATATCGTGACACCTAACAACTATCCTACATTTTCATATTTCCATCCAACATGGGAACAATAGGGCTTGATAGGAGCATCCATGGCAGCCAGAAGTTTCAAATGCGCTGCAACTCACGCTTCTGACCCAGCTTTATCGTGAAAACCAACTACTTGGGCAGTCTATATAAATGGCTCGGTGATATAGCACATGTCAATCTGACGAATAACAGCATGTATTCCGTCTATGTCAAACAAATGTACCTCGATCAATATTCAAAAAGCCAAAGGGATATATTTCAAAGCAAGAAGTATGCATCCATCACTCAGTGATCTGCCGACAGAAACATGACGATTTGATAGGCACATCCGCCCAAGCTAAATTAATCTTCAGTTGCGGCAACATAGCACGCGCCTCATATTTCCGGCCCAACTTGACCAAACACTCATGATACCCATGCGAGGCCCATACATTACCCGGATGCCTCAAAGCACGAGGCAAAGATGTGTCAACCCCAAGGTCCGCAGAATATACAGCCGCAGCCTCCTCAATGCGATTTTGTTCTAGCAGCAACGCTCCCAACGCGTGTCTAGTCGGCTGCATCCACCCCCACGGCTCATCATATGGCAACGCATCATCCCTCTTAACAGCATCCCGGAGATATGAAAACGCAGCATTGTATTCGCCACGGCGATACGCAATCTCGCCATCCAACATCGCCTCACCAACACGCAGGATGTCGACACAGCGGTTATTGAACATCGTCCGCGAATCCGGGACACGCTTCAGTGCCTGCAGAAACAGTTCCCGCTCTGCCTCTGCTTCCAAAACACGGCTGGTAGCAGCGAATGCGACCCCCTTTGCATAGTGCATCATCGCAGTGGTGACGCAGTACAGCTCTGCATCTTCCGGCAACTCTGCAGCAATGATATCCTCCCACCGACCGAAACGCACAAATCCATGCATTTGCATAGCGACAAAGCCCTCCAACCAATCCGCCATCGGCGGAGACTCAACACGTAGAAGAGGCTCCGTGATTATCCGCGCAAGCTCGGCCCCAGACTGAAGCGCGACCTTCGATCGACCGCCCAACATCGCAGCATACATCCTGAAATGATAATCATGTGCACGGTAGAGATTATAGAAATGGCCGAGGGGCTGGTTGGCGAGGAATTTCTCGTCCGCACGGATCGCAGAGGTATTAGCCGCGACTGCGCGTTTGTACTCGCCACACAAGACATCGATGTGGGAGGGCATGTGCTCCAGATGACCAGCATCGGGCACAAGGCCGCGGAGGTACTCCGCTACCGGCAGGGCGATTTCAGGCGTAGGGGACATTTCCATCAGATGGATGTAGAGATGCAAAATACCAGGATGATCGAGGGCTTCGTCTCGTTCCAAGACTCGATCTAGCGCTTCTTTCGTTTCGAATGTTTTTGCCCCTGGTGCGGCTTCGCCTGTTTTCACGTCCCACAGACCCCATGGAGTTAGGTTCATCAGCGCGTCGCAGTACAGCGCGGTCACGTCGAGGTCATCCGGGTAATCATTGTACACTGATGTCATTGCCTCGGCATAGTTCTTGTCCCATTTTGTGCAGTCTTCTATGGGCTGTTCTTGCGGGTATCGGTGCTGCAGTGCGTCAATAAGAGCATTCTCCAATGGTGTCACGGCGGGAGCGTGTTTCTTCGCCTCCAGGATCGCGTGATGGGCACGAGTCGTCGTAGCGGAAAGATCTTCTCCGTCAAAGAGCTGCCATGGCTTGTTATAGTTGGGTCCCAGGGCAAGGGCAATGCCCCAGTATCCCATGGCGCATGCCGGGTCAAATTCGACGACCTTTTCGAAACATCGGGCGGATTCTTCGTGATTGAAGGCGTAGGCCCAGATCAAGCCCCGACTGAACCAGAGTTGAGCAGTTTCGTTCGTTGTGCTCACATTGCGACGGTATTCACCTAGGTTATAGTAGTCCTCGGCGGGAGATGGCTGGTCCATTTTGTTGATGGTGGGTTGTGTATGTTGTGGTGGAGGAGGGGTATGGTTGCCCAACGCGGCCCTACCCCGGACTCACATCGAACCATTTTGATCACATTAGACACTGGGATAAGCGCTTATATTGAAACGAAGTATATACTAGGGGTTGTTTAAAAATAGTGACAGATCACATAGGTGCCTGGGGGAGTTTTATTTATCCCCGAGGCAGCAAGGCATAAAGGCAGCAAGGCATCAAAGGGCCCCACATGAGCAGATTTGAGGAACTCCACTTTTAATGTGCTCACTCATGCTCGATCACTCTCATGAGCACCTTGGGGGCTTATTAGAATCCTATTTAGATAGTCTGCCATGTCCATTTGTCCTTTTTTTTGTCTTTGCTCTTTCTTACATACAGTCAATATACTCACTTACATACGTATCAACCTTTTTTCATCTCATCTCATTTCAACTTTTTCGCTTTTATAGATCATCATGTGTGGAGAAACCAACCGCCCAACATTCGGAGGCACTATTGCGGTCCTATTCCCCAGAGGAACTCATCAGAGCTCAAACACTTCGGAGGCATCGTTGTCCTCATCACCAGCATCAGTATCCTCATTTGGATCATCATCATCGACTGCCTCAATGTCATCATACTCCCTTTTCTTCCGTGACACGGATGCAACATCCCCTAAAACGAGAGCAATCTTCCGAACAGAAGATGCAGAGACATATCACGTACTCAGAGGATGTCGAAATGTCGATGTGCGCATTGAGTGAGTTCATTCTGCCCCTGAATTATTTAAGTGCGGACAAAAGGCTTATACTTCATGTTAGGAAATATGGCGATCTCTCCACTACATCACAATCCACCTCACCACTCTATCAGTTCCGCTTGAACATGGAACAGGACAAGAGTTACAAAACGGCGAATCCGATGGAGATTGAGTTCGAGCTGCCCGAAAGGCTGGACCTGGGCGTCTCGGAGAAGGGAGTCATTGGCCGACAAGTGACGGTCAGAGAGCAGGGAGGTTCGATCCTGGGGATTGGAGTGGTGGGATACAACTGAAGTGACATGCTTCCACTATTTGCAAACATACTTCATAAACATAATTGGCATCATAAATCATCTTGCATGAATTGGAAATACTAGTTTTCTGCAGTAGAGTACCGGATCAAGGTTCATTACCAACCTCACAGCTTCAGCGGGTTCTCCACACCAGCAGTGTAGCGCTTCTCCGCTTCCGCCCAGTTAATGATCTTCCAAATTCCCTCGACATAACCAGCCTTGTTGTTCAAGTACTGCACCAAACGCAGATTAGCAGACAGACACACAAAAATGGCCAAAAGGGATCGGCATCAATTTACCTGGAGATAGTAGGCATGCTCCCACATATCCACACCAAAGATAGGCACATCAGGCGCATTGATAGGGTCCTGATCCTTAGTAGTCACAATCTCAAGTCGTCCCTTAGCACCACCCTTGCTCACCAGCCATCCCCAGCCACTCCCCTGAAGACCGAGCAGCTCGGCTCCAAAAGCCTTGACAAATGCCTCATGCGAACCCCAGCGGGAGATGATAGCTTCGCGCAGAGCGGGAGCGCCGCCAATGTCATTCCCGGGCGTGCCGGGGGGAGTCAAGTTCTTCCAGAACAGGGAGTGGTTGATGTGACCGCCGCCGTGGAAGCGGAGCTTTTGTTGCAATGAGATCAAGGTGGGGACGTCATTTGATGCTGTTGCAGAGGCTTGGGCAGAAAGTGCTGCGTTCAGGTTGGTGATGTATGTCTGATGGTGCTTCTGATGGTGCAGCTCCATTATCTGCTTGGAGATGATCGGCTCCAACGCCTGTTGACACCATGTTAGGGAGATTCTCGGGATTCATAATCGGACGAGGCTTACATCGTAGGCGTAGGGGAGAGGAGGTAGAGTGTGAGTTTGAGAAGCCATGGTGGAATTTTGGATGGAAGTGCGTGTCAAGCTGTCAAGTGAGATAGGAGTGGAAAGAAAGAGTAGAAGTGCGAACAAGAGATAAACCACCAAGGTCCCTCTGGATACCCCTCTTAAGTGACGTGATAGCATGGATATTGAGGCCACCAAGGTAGATATCCACAGGTGGAGGTCGGCAATTGGACTGAGTTGGATTGAGCACGTTTTTGAAGTTGCTCTAATCTGCTCACAGCGTGATTGCTTTGAAATCAATAAGCCGCGGTCTCCTTCCTTTCCAAAGTTGCCTATAATCTTTATGATATAACATATTTATTATACCTTCAAAGAGTTCTCGAAATCATACAAAGTAGTGTAATCTTCCAAGGTAATAATAATACATGCGTCATTTCACACAACTACAGTCTTCTTCTGTGGAGAGAGAAAGATGGGGAAAAATCCGGGGAACCCGATTTTCTATAACTTACTGTGGCCTTGAACAAACATTGAACATGAAGATCCTATCGGATGGAAGTAGAGTAAAAGTCAACACATATATTGCTAAGAATAGTATAAATTTGAAGATAAGAATAACAAAAACAAGACGTTCGAGGAAGATGTGGAACCATGAAGAGGAACCTTGGAGAAGGAAAAAACAGAGAGCTATCTCTGTTATAAAAGGTTCCAAAAATTAAAAGCAAGGAGATGAGAACAGAGCTTCTTTTGTTTAATGCTCCTGACGGGCGGACAATGGAGAGCCCAGAAAAGTACAGTCAGTATCCACAGAGGTCCGGGTAAGTCCAACCGATTGGTTCCCGAAGAAGCTCCTTTCTGAAGGTCCGCCAAACATGCTTCGTGCCAGCTGAACTAGAACCGAGGCCCTAGCCCAGTTTCAGACTTAACTGAGCCGCAGCAAAGTCCTAATCAGTGCCCTCAGGGTCCCTCTTCACTGGACAACAGTAGACATATGTAGCACATGAATCCGGAGCTGAAGTTCAAAAAATTGAAGGGTACTCAACAGGAACCACGATGTGCAATGTGGACCCGGAGTGGTATGGAGAAAGAAAGAAGAAGGAGAGAGAGAGAGAGAAATGGGCGGGGGAGGGGTATTTATACCTTTCCTGTGGCTTAAGGTAATGGGGAAACTAGGGTGGGTCACGATTTTTGACCCAAAAGGGAAGGCACCCACCTAGGCAGGTACCACCCGTGGACTTGGGTCGAGATATTCTATCTTCACTTCATGAAATCTACATGTGACCATCTGAACAAATATTGGCAAAATTCAGCGATTAACAGCGACTAATTGTATGCATAGGTTGCCTTAAATTGAAACAGCTTAGCCATTTCGATTAAGTGAAGCAGTGATTCCCACTACCCAAACATGATTAATTCTTAGGTCTCACCTATTCTGAACCTCCGAGCTGGTAACCTCTGCTTCCTGGCAGACAAGTTTTCGCTTTTTCATTAGCTTTTGGCTTTGCAACAGAGCTTCGTTTATTTCCATGTATATCGTACAAATAATGTCGAAGGCTTCCTATTCTCATGCCGAATGTGATCTGGTGTAGCACATCTTGGGCAGTATCTCAAAATCGTTCCGTATCGCGTCAACTATTGCCGAGCCTGCAGATCTATGGTCATCTGACTAGTGACTTGGAAATATTGTTCCACCAATCGTACACTTTTCCGAATCGGATATGCGAATTGATTTAGCCGATATGATTTTGATTGAGACTGGCATTGAGATCATAGTAAACTCGTGCGTTATTGCTTCCCCGCAAATGACCCTAGTGGGGATCAGCCTAGTATATATCACAACGTCCAGAAGACACTACCCACAACGCGTAGACGTTATTCTTTTTTTCTTTTCTTTTGAAAAGCTCATCGGCTACATTGACTACTAAGTGCTCCAGATATCTTCATTACTTCAATCCCTGCTAGTGCTCAGGCCATTCGAACGTCATGGGTGATATTGTCCTCTCGCAGAAAAAGCGCTATGCGCTGATCGGCACTGGTGGAAGATCTGCTATGTTCTACACGAGCATTGCAAAAGATTTCAATAAGACCAGCACTCTCGTTGCAATCTGCGATACCAATCAGACTCGACTCAACTATGCGAAAGCCAAGATCGAAGCCTTGGGCCATGAACCAGTCCCAACCTATCTCGCTGCCAATTTCGATCTCATGATCAAGGAGACCAAGCCAGATGAAGTGATTGTCACCACCATCGACCGTACTCACCACACCTACATTGTGCGTGCTTTGGAGCTTGGCTGCAATGTCATTACCGAAAAGCCAATGACCATCGATGTACCGCAATGCAACGAGATCCTTTCAGCTGTCGATCGTACCAACCAGAGGGTCAGGGTCACCTTCAACTACCGTTACGCGCCGCATAACACGAAAATCTTTGAAGTCATTCGATCTGGAGCGATCGGTACCGTTACAAGCATTCACTTCGAGTGGATGCTCAACACGTCCCACGGGGCAGACTACTTCCGACGTTGGCATCGCGATGCTCGGAACAGCGGCGGCCTTCTGGTTCATAAATCCACCCATCATTTCGATTTGATCAATTTCTGGCTGCAATCTCGACCAAAGACAGTGTACGCACAGGGAGATCTCAAGTTCTACGGAAAGAAGAACGCCGAGGAGCGGGGTGTGACCCAGTTCTACTCGAGGACTCATGGAAGCGAGGCAGCTAAGAATGATCCATTTGCACTGCATCTGGATGAAAACCCTCAGCTAAAGTCTCTCTACCTGGACGCCGAGCATGAAGATGGCTACTTCCGTGATCAGAGTGTCTTTGGCGATGGAATCAGCATTGAAGACACGATGAACGTGCTTGTTCGATACGAGAACAGCGCAGTCTTGACATACTCTCTTACTGCGTATGCCCCCTGGGAGGGCTTCCGCGTCAGCTTCAACGGAACAGGCGGCAGACTGGAGGCAGAGATTGTCGAGAGCAGCTATGTCAACTCTGGCGGGGAACAATCCCTGGAAGGCGCCGCTGAAAATATAACTCTCCTTTTGCGACCTTTGTTCCAAGAGCCGCGCAAGATTGAGATTGTGCAAGGCGCAGGTGGGCATGGGGGAGGTGATAATGTGCTGCTTCGTGATCTTTTCGGGGAAGCTGAGCCCGATGAGTATATGAGAGCTGCTAGTCACATTGATGGCGCGGCTTCTATTCTCACCGGTGTCGCTGCCAACCGTTCGATCCGTACTGGACAGGTGGTAAACGTCAAAGATATCCTGGACCTCCCTTGAACAATGTCCGATTTCTAGATTGTGAGTGGGCTTATTGTACTTTGGCTTTATAGAAACTCTTATTTTTGCTCCACACGTTTGAATTGAATTCTTTTCATGGACTAGCAATTAGTTTCAAGACAACCAACCTTGTAGAAAATTTTGACTTGGGCGCTTATTTATTTTACCACTGAGCTGAATACTAATGCTTGCACTTTGTTCTTATCGTGTGAGTTCGTTTGTTCTCTCATAATCTCACGTTAGCTCTGATTTCTCGTTCTGACAATATTGATACCCGGTACTTTATAACTCTCAAGTGCCAACTACGTCCTTTCAATGTCACATGCAAAGCATTGTTCGGACCTAGAAGCCTGGACAGTTTCGTGTAGAAATAATGGGGAAACTAGGTACTCTAGATGTGACGAAGCAACTTTCAACGGATAAACTGTTAAATGGGAAAATGTGAAAATGTGAAAATGGGAGTACATGGGAAGCTTTGCCCTAAGAATTTGGCCTGCCACCATCCACCAATCTACTGATTCATTTCCATAAAATAGTCTCGGATGAGAACCTTGGAATGCGGGGAAGTACCAAGGATGTTGATGTACCCCGGATTTCGGGTAAATAAGTAGCGACGGAGGTTAAGGTTGTCTGTGTAATGCTTCCCCGCAAGATCAGCCGCCAGAAACTTTCGAAACGAGCAGTGCTTGGCTATCATATTTGTTCATATTTGCTCTAGTTCATGTTTTTGCTGCCCTTGATAGGTGCAAAAACTGAATTAGACGCTGCAATTTGCAATTCTTATCAGGCCGTGCAACGGAACACAGACCGATCGATTCATCATGCCTTTTCCAACATTTGTTTTTTACACTAGGGTTGACGAACTATTGGGCTTGAAGGGAAAATAAAGATAAGAGACTTTACGTTCCTTTACGGAACGAACACAGGCAATTTGGACCTGGATTTTCCTTTTTTCACCCCTTGTTGAATTCACCGCCATGGCTGCCCAAGCGAACGATGAAATATCAACAGTGCAAGAGCCAGAGCAAGAGCAGCGCCATGAACGGGCTACACGTTCAAAGGCAGTTGAGTTCTTGACTAGCCATGCAACCGAGACTACATTCACCTACGAAGAGGAGAAAGCCGTTCTCCGTCGTATCGACAAGCGTATCCTCGTTCTTCTTCTATGGGCCTATTTCTTCCAACAGCTTGACAAAAGTTCCATGAGGTAATTATTATTTTGTCAATTACATTACTGTTTCCCTAATTCTCATGAAATTAATCTGGGGTTTGTTAGTTATGTCTCCATTTTCGGCCTACAAGAAGATGCTCATCTAGTCGGCCTACAATATTCCTGGCTTGGGTCTATTCTCTACCTTGCTCAATTGGTAATGCAACCTCTCGTGGCGTTAATTTTAGTGAAGCTCCCCACCGGAAAGGTCCTCGCCAGTGCCATTTTCCTCTGGGGATCAGCACTTACCATTATGGCCGCTTGCACTGATTTTCCCTCGCTTCTCGGAATGCGCTTCGTCCTTGGCTCGTTCGAGTCCTGCATTGCACCATGTTGTGTTGCTATGACACAGATGTGGTGGCGTCGAAGTGAACAAACTTTGCGCGTCAGCTACTGGAATGCAATGAATGGCCTGACCTCCATCATTGGTAGTCTTCTCACCTACGGTCTTGGACACATTCACAGCAATACTTTATATCGGTACCAGACAATCTTTATGTTCTGTGGTCTTTTGACAGTGGCTTACTCTCTGCTCGTTTTCTGGTTGATGCCTGATACCCCGATGGAAGCCAAGTACTTGAGTGAACGTGAGAGACTCATTGCCACAGAGAGACTGCGCGCCAACCAGATGGGTATTTCCAACCAAGAATGGCGATGGGATCATACTCGAGAGGTTCTTTTCGATCTCAAGACGTGGTGCTGGTTCTTCTCGATCATAACTATCTCGTAAGTATTCATCTATTTCCAATTCACACTTGAACAGATGGATGTTCGGACTAACGTCTGTAATAGTATTGCAAGCGGAGGTATCTCAAGCTTCGGTTCCCTGATTGTTAAGTCATTTGGATTTGACAGCTTTCAAACAATCTTATTCAATATCCCCTTCGGGGTCATTCAAATTGTGGCTATCTTACTCACAGGATGGCTAGCCACATGGACCCAACGCAAGGGTCTCGTTATAGCTGGAGCCAGCGTACTGCCAAGTGTCGGAGCCATCATGATGCTTACTGTCCCCCGACACAACAAGGGAGTTCTACTCTTCGGCTACTACTTGGTATACTCCCAATAACATGGTCATTATAAGATCCCCAACTAATGATCCTAGGTCTCCACAATGGCATCTATCACTCCACTGATATATGCTTGGCAAGCGCAAAATACCGCAGGTGACACTAAAAAGAAGTGTACCTCTGGTATAGTATTTATCGGCATGTGCGCTGGCAATGTCATTGGACCGCTTCTTTACTCTACCGAGGAGGCACCATTATATAGAACGGGTCTCATAGCCAACCTTGCTATGTTTGTCACTGTTGGGATCATCGCTGGGTATGCTCTCGCTACACCTGTGATTATGTTCTTTGGCTAACTTTTTTTGGTAGCCTGACTCCTTTCTACCTCATGTACCTGAATAAGAAGCACGAGAAGCGACGCGTGGAGCTCGGTAAAGTGGGCCCCGTGGCTGATATGTCCATGCTGGACAAGGATCAGCGAAAAGAAACTAAGGTATTGGAGCTGGAAGATATTCAAAAAGTCTCGGTGGAACAAGACAACGGTTTGCAGGACATGACCGACTTGAAGAATGAGGACTTCGTCTATGTTTACTAGCTCCAAAAGATCTTCAAGGAATATTGAATTTTCTGGACGAAATATTGCTTGCTCTACGATATCAATACATCTTGTTTCAGACGAATTTCACGTGTAGGGCTCCCCATAATGAACATGATTCCTTTATTATACGGCCTTAGGCTGCAAATTTGGCGCCTCAGGCATTCCACATTTATAGCTGGGCAGCTCGCTCTCCAGACTCCAGAGGAAATAAATCTCTCCCTCCCTCTTCTCCTTCAGTCGCTACAATTGAACAGCCCATATCAAATGAAAATTCAATCAAACCCCAGCCAACTTACCAGATACCGGGACACTATTTGGTTGTCCCTTTCTAGCTTTACTGTAGGCAGCAATTTTCCCGCAGTTTTCTTAGAGCCGTTAGCAATTAATTTACAGAAGTGGAGCGGAGATCCAGAATGTAGGGATTAGGAACGCTGCTGCCTCAGGGGGGCGCAGCTTACTACTGTACTATTTAGGAAATGTCGCTATTACCCCAACCCCTTCGACTAAACAAGCTTCTCAGAATCTACCACAGGTCGTATACCTACGGGGTAAGCTTTTGGAGGTAAGGAATTTCTCCCACATCCCAATTCTAGATTTAGATGCTTTTGTGAGCCAAACAATACAGGTCTTTACCTATCCATGCCTGGAGCTGACAAGATTCCTTCCTTAGGGAGTCAAGATATTGCTACAAGCTGCAGCATAGGAGTTTCAGCATGGCCGTTTCGTCACTACTACCCTCTCGATTTCGCAGTAGCGAGCCAATTGACCAACAGCAATCCGTACGCGTTGGCAACCGAGCAATGACCTCGACCCTCCATTTCCTATCTAAAACTGCCTATCTACACCCAATCCATACAATTTGCACCATAGCTATCTTAGCTAGCACCACATACATTGGACTACTCAAAGATAGCGTTTTCCATACCCCCGCAAATGTTGGCAAAGCAGAATGGGGCTCTTTGTTCGCAGGAAGCCGGAGCTTGATCACTGGCCCACACAATGGCTGGAAGTGGCAGAGCTTCGATACGGATTCGCAGGATCTCAAGGATTTTGAGGATATCAACCACCAAGCACTGGTAACCTTGGTATTCCCGGGATCTTATGCCGAGGGATCCCAAACCAATACAGTGCCCTTTGATCCTCTCCCCCTAAATCTATCTGTGATTCACCTTCCCTCAACATCAAACCCTTTTGGCACCTATTCGAAAGATAATAGTTTTGCCTTCTCTGTTCAGTACAACAATGTACCCGAGCTAGTGACTGCTGTGCAGGAAATTCCCGACCGAAAATCGTTTAAGGCGGAAGGTGTCGAGATGGAGCGTCAGATGTGGATTATGAAGGCTTCGAGGGCTCGCACAAAAGGCAGCCTTGCTCATTGGGCCCACGATACCTGGACAGAGTTTCTTGATCTTGTTAAAAGCGCTCAGACAGTCGATGTTATTGTTATGGTGCTAGGCTACATATCTATGCACTTAACCTTCGTCTCACTGTTTCTAAGCATGAAGAACTTGGGATCAAAGCTTTGGCTTGCCACAAGCGTCCTTTTGTCATCAACTTTCGCCTTCTTGCTAGCCCTCGATGTGACGATAAGGCTCGGTGTTCCGATGAATATGAAGCTGCTATCCGAAGGCCTTCCTTTCCTAGTGGTGATCATTGGCTTTGAGAAGAGCATTACTCTGACCAGAGCTGTTTTGTCCCATGCCGTAGAGCATCGAAAGCCCCATAAGGCACAGGCTCACCAGGATGACGCGGCTGCCATTACCGAAAGTACCATTCAGTATGCTGTGCGAAGCGCCATTCGGGAAAATGGTTACGATATAGTGTGCCACTATGTTGTCGAGATCTTGCTCCTGGCCGTTGGTGCTGCCTCGGGCGTGCAAGGACTGCGGGACTTCTGTTTCCTGGCTGCATTGATCCTTCTCTTTGACTGCCTGCTGCTGTTTACCTTCTACATCGCTATTTTGTCAATTAAGCTCGAGGTCAACCGCATGAAACGTCATGTCAATATGCGACACTTGTTAGAAGACGAGGGTTTCAGTCGACAGACAGCCGAGAGTGTGGCTGAGAGCAATGATGCACGAGACAGTGCAAAGGCGCACATATTTGGGAAGAACATAAACGGCAGCAGTGTTCCAAGGTTTAAGTTCTGGATGGTTGTGGGCTTCTTTGTGGTCAACCTTGCCAACATCTGCTCTATCCCTTTCCAAGGCTCATCTAGGGCATCGCTATCGAGTATATCGTGGACTGAAACCCTGGGCGGAGGGGTTATGACGCCAGCTCTTGAGCCCTTCAAGGTAGCTGGAAACGGACTGGATGAACTGCTGTTCCAGGCAAGAGGACGCGGTCAATCGACGGTGGTAACTATCCTTCCTCCCATCAAGTATTCAGTTCGTCGCGCTGCTTCGCACTCGGTGGATACCAGGGATAGTCAGTACGGAGTTGGTGGAAGGATGGTCGGTGGCCTGCTCGCCGGCCTTGAAGACCCTGTTCTCTCCAAATGGGTATTTGCGGCACTTGCTCTAAGTGTAGCTCTGAATAGCTACCTGTTCAAGGCTGCAAGATTGGGAATCAAAGATCCCAATCTCCCCGTCCACCCGGTTGATTCAGTGGAACTCGCTCAGGCTGAAAGGTTCAACGCACCACAGATTCCTCCGACAGAGAGCTTCACTCATATCACTACCGACGGTATTGGCGAGGCTTCATTGGCGTCGGTGACGGCACCTCCAATAGTCACTAAGCTAGTAGAAGAGCCAGCAGCGCCTCAGACACAACTCAAACTTGAAGATTTGCTGAAAGACACGCCGATCAGCGAGTTGGACGATGAGAATGTTGTTGCATTGTCATTGCGGGGCAAGATTCCCGGATATGCACTGGAGAAGAGTCTAAAAGATTGCACTCGAGCCGTGAAGGTTCGCCGTTCTATCATTTCGAGGACACCGGCTACTGCAGAGCTTACAAATATGTTGGAAGACTCAAAATTGCCGTATGAAAACTATGATTGGGAACGTGTTCTTGGTGCGTGTTGCGAGAACGTCATTGGTTTCATGCCGGTCCCTGTTGGTGTCGCTGGTCCTATCGTTATCGATGGCAAGAGCTATTTCATCCCTATGGCAACAACTGAGGGTGTTCTGGTCGCTAGCGCTAGCCGCGGTAGTAAAGCTATCAACCTAGGTGGCGGCGCTGTGACAATCCTGACTGGTGACGGTATGACACGGGGCCCATGTGTGAGCTTTGAGGTTCTTGAACGAGCTGGTGCTGCAAAGGCGTGGCTTGACTCAGACGCCGGGCAGACTGTTATGAAAGAAGCCTTTAACTCGACGAGCAGATTTGCGCGACTACAGAGTATGCGAACCACTATTGCCGGGACTAATTTGTATATTCGGTTTAAGACCACCACTGGCGACGCTATGGGAATGAACATGATTTCTAAGGGTGTAGAACATGCCCTTAATATTATGGCGACGGAGGCAGGGTTTAGTGATATGAATATTGTCACCCTGTCTGGAAATTACTGCACGGATAAGAAACCTTCTGCTTTGAACTGGATCGACGGACGCGGCAAGGGCATTGTAGCCGAAGCCATTATCCCGGCGAACGTTGTCAGGGATGTCTTAAAGAGCGATGTGGATAGCATGGTCCAGCTCAACGTTTCGAAAAACCTAATCGGATCAGCCATGGCTGGCTCAATCGGTGGCTTCAACGCCCAAGCTGCAAATCTCACTGCTGCCATTTTCATTGCTACAGGGCAGGACCCGGCGCAAGTCGTGGAGAGTGCTAACTGCATGACATTGATGAACAAGTAGGTTGAAAGCGGTTGCTTATTCAGACCAATTTGCTAACCTTGCCTGTTTTAGTCTCCGTGGCTCTCTTCAAATTTCCGTCTCCATGCCGTCCATTGAAGTCGGCACGTTGGGCGGTGGTACTATCCTGGAGCCCCAGGGAGCAATGCTCGACATGCTTGGTGTCCGCGGCTCACACCCGACCACGCCCGGTGAGAATTCCCGTCGACTTGCGCGTATCATTGGAGGCGCTGTTCTTGCTGGAGAGCTTTCCCTATGCGCTGCCCTAGCCGCGGGACACCTTGTGAGAGCGCACATGGCGCACAATCGCTCTACTCCGGCATCTACTGCCCCTTCTGTCTCACCATCCGGCGGAATTATATCAGCACCTGGTCCTAGCAATGGACTCAGACCGAGTGATGCAGCCGCGGAGCGGGCCAAACGCTGATTTGATCGAAAGAGCAAGTGATGTTGATAGAATATTTTATCAAATCTATTTGTTGATCTAGATGATTTGGGTGGCAAATTTCTATATCTTCTATATTCCCACATAGATATATGAATGTGTCGGAAATCACCGGTAGAGCAATGTATGTTCAAAATGACAGATGTGTATGACTCTAACTAACTAAAATGACAAGAATCCCCTATTTGACAATTTGCTGGGGCATAACTGACTAAGCTTAATATGCAATTTGTATGGGGCCCACTATCATAGCGGTCCATGTATTTTCCGAGGTGTTGAATACTCGGGTTCCCAGTCATGTATTGTAACATAGCTTTCGACATAATGTATGAATAGGTAGGCTATAAAAGTGCATTTAAAACGCCTAGGCTTTTCAATAAAGCCCGTATAAAATAGGTAGTATACTGGATACATAATTGCTTCAGTTTTTGCTCTAGTGAATCAACCTGCACTCACTACAAAAAAGCAATGTCAGGCAGATCATTGACAACGACTGAGATTTGAAAATAGTTATGAACCTAGCTAGGTGGAGGATTTACGCGTAGATTACTAATCCCCCCGTTTCCAAGCGGGGAGAGGGTCAACGAGCCTCGGTCATTTCGGCTTAATCATTATACAAATACATATAAATGTCTGAGAACCAACCCCTTTTTCCTGAATTCACTTTTCCCGCATAATTGAGTTCTAATCAATTTCATAATGTCCGTGGACGAACAAGTCAAACTCTCCAACTTCTCCACCATCTTCTCCCTCGAGGGAAAGGTCGCTGTCGTAACAGGCGGTTCTCGAGGACTAGGACTACATGCAGCCTCGGGGTATGTATCTCTAGCGATTTGTTTAAGTATTGCTCAATAAAATATTCTAATATATTGGCAGTCTCCTCCAAGCCGGGTGCTCCAAAGTCTACATCACCTCCCGCAAGAAGGCAGCCTGCGATGAAGCAGTCGCAGCTCTCAATGCCATCCCCAACAAGCGGCCTGGCGCACAAGCCATCTCTGTACCAGCTGACAGCTCAGACATGAAAGAGCTAGACCGACTTGTCGCTGAGGTGGCCAAGACCACAGACCGTGTTGATATTCTCTTCGCCAATGCCGGCGCAACATGGGGTGAGAAGTTCGATACTCACCCCGAGAAGATGTTTTCGAAAGTCATGGATTTGAATGTAAAGAGCGTGTTCTACACAATCCAGAAGTATGTTAAGAACCTAGCCTAAACTAGGGATGAGACGAGATTTTAACATCAAACTAGATTCACCCCTCTCCTTACAGCAAAGGCAACCATCACAGATCCATCCCGTGTCATTATCACCGCCTCTGTGGCAGGTATTGGAATTGGCACAGTTGGTGAAAACGCAACGCCGTCTTACTCCGCTTCCAAGGCGGCTGCTATTCATTTGGCGAAGAACTTGGCTGTTGAGCTTGGCCCACGCCATGTCTTGACCAATGCTATTGCACCAGGGTTCTATCCCTCAAAGATGGCTAGTGGACTTATCAAGACAAAAGGGGGTATGAAGCAGCTTGAGGAGTACTCACCGAATGGGCGGCTTGGCAAGCCTGAGGATATTGCTGGTTTAGTGGTCTTCCTCGGGTCTAGGGCTTCGAGTCATTTGAATGGAGCGGTCATTGCGACAGATGGTGGAGCTGTGCTTAAGGGGAGACTCTAAATTGATTTATGTTTCCTATTGAACCAAACAAAGCACAAAACATTGCAGAGTAACCTATTCCAGGTTTTAATGCAAGACTGTATGATCAAATTTAAACTATAATCTATCAAAATAAAGAGCCTCGATAAAGACTATAAGGGTGTAAAGATGGTATAGTGTGTATGTAGTTGTCCTCTACACGAGACTTCGGGTAATTACATATATACCGGATAATGCCTGGCACTCGAGACCTTTCCCTTTCCGTTTTAGTGCTCACCTCTTGCCGCTTTTTGATCATTGGGTAAAACTGAGCACCGTCTCTGTGATGGAGATAACAAGGAACAAGGAAGGAACCTTGAAGAAAACATACAGAGAGCTATCTTTGTGAAAGGTTCCAAAAATTGGCTCGAAGAACACGTAGAACGAGATGAGGACAGAGCCCCTTTGGTTCGGCTCCTGGCGGATGACGGGAGCACCCTGACACGTACAGTCTGTTTCCGCAGAGGTTCATAGGAATGTCTGAGAACTGTCCCCTCCCAAGACATGCTTCATGCCATTCGCGGCCTAGCCTGGGCCGCCTGCAAAGACCCGCCAGAGTCTTCAGGACTGCCCCGATCACTAGACAACATTAGACATATGTTGAATATGGAACTAAAGCTGATAAGGTTCAAAAAATACTGTGTGTGTCCAGGTAACCACGGAGTGTAATGTAGGCCTGAAGGGTTGAGGAAAGAAGAATGAAGAAAAGAGAGGAATTTGGGTGGGGAAAGGGGGTACTTACACCTTTCCAGTGGCTGAGGGCGAGGGAGGTAGGAGAGTTGGTGACGATTTTGACAACAAGGGAAGGCACCTGATTTAAGAGCTACATGGGTACTTGATCGAGAGGTATTGAGACTGTGATAGTTTAGGTATCCAGACACTTCGGTACTTCAAATTTGGTACTTAATGTAGATTGCTTACCACCTGGGCATTCATCCATGTCTAGTTCCCCACGCCATCAATACCTCAGTGGTCTCGCTCTTTCATGGGGAGTTGTTGAACAGGGCTTCCGGCACCCTGAGTGGATCTTGACTGTTCGAATCTGATCGAGTACCACTGATACGAGTTTCGCCTGCGCTTCGTCAAACCGTCAAGTCTTCCCGTGAGCGAAAGTTGAGTCTCATCATGTCCGACTCAGACTCGAATACAACTCTATATTAGCTTCTCCATATTCCCGCTCTCGTCTATGCCTCGACACGGGAATATGATATTTATGGTGTCAGTGGAGATGAAGGCACATGAAGGCACAATGTGAGTCTTCTAATATGGGGACAGTCGGATGACTCTAGGAGACTTCAACAAGATTTTCAAATCTGGGGCAGGCTGGAGCCGTCTATTCAATACAGATGTTCTACTTAACAAGAGGATAGAATAGTACACATATCGAGGCCATTTGAGCGCACCGGGCCTAGACAGCGAGCCGGGCAATGAACAAGTAATCAACTAGCCCTGTGAAGGAAAGACTGCCTAGGATAGCCCGTGAGTATACCAACTTGTGGCAAGAGTGTATCAAGGGGAACTCCAGCAGTGAGGTCGGTCAAACCGCTCTTGTGGGAAGGCCTAACATTCCGAGCGGGGCTCACGCTGCCGAGTGTGAGGTTCCTCCCACTGCCCTGCCTCCGGGCGGGCTTCGTCATTAGAATTGCAGAAAATGGCCAGGAAGGTATCTCTATCAAGATCTCCATTGACAAGCCTGCTTTTATTTTTGACCGACCCACCGTGTAAATGATGCTCTCTGGTGGAAGACGAATCGTAAGCGCGGGCGACGTCGCCATTAAAGACCTGAGCAGAGTGATCCAGGTTTGTGTTTGTGTAACAGTGCCTGATATAGCCGGGAGATTGAACATTGTCGCGACCTTCGAAAGAGGTGCAATTACTTTGGCGATCTAGGAATGGCGAAATATATTAGCAAGGGATCACATGGTTAAGTGAGCGGACAGAGACACCTTGATCATGATCTGGTGAATGACTCCCGTTAAACCCTATGGAGCGCACTTGATCATCCGTAAAGGAAAAGGAGCGCATCTCAGGGTCACGGTCACGATCATGAGTATAGGTGGCGAGGCCCCACTCACTGTGGCCTGGCGGAAGCTCCAGTGCAGATTGAGCGGTTCCATGGGTATTCGCCGAGGGACGAGGGGCCGACAAACGTGTTTCCATTTCCCGACTTGAGGGACGGGACGCTTGAGTTGGATGTTCTTGAGCGCGGATCGGCATAGCTGATAGTAGCATGAGTGACTCACGGTTGCAGGGAGGAATCGTGGAAAAACTGCAGTGGGGGGCGACGAGAGCCGGGGCAGACAGCTCTCTTAAAGAGCATCCATAACAGGGGCTAGCAATACAGCGCGCAGGTATGGTGATAATGATACAGTCGAACGCAGGGTGATCAGATCACAAGCGGCGGCAGTAGCGGATGGTGACGAGGGTCTGATCGCCCAGTGCGATTGGGTGAATCAAGCATCCATAGATGTTGGAACGGTGGGGCGGTGAACTCAATCCGAGAGGCGATCGATACGGAGGGGCTTGACATTAGTACCGGACTGTGGGGCGGGCGATTAAGGTGGGCTTGGGACTAAGTTGCGATACAAGACATATTACAAGACATATTGAACGATGCGAACAGGCAATATTGTAGGGCTTAGAGGCTGACCTGGGATTTGATAGGGCGTAGTGGTTACGGCTTCGAAGAAACAGAAGATAGGAAATTTAAAGATTACCGAAATCATAGCATATGAGAAGATGAAAGGGAAAGGATTTGCCTAATAAAGCAGACAAGGGGAAAATTACAAGTACAGATATGTCTCGAGGTTCTGCTGTCGATCGCATCCTTCTTCCTAGCGAATACTACACACCCTCCCAGCAACCAATCAAAAAATGAGGCGCGCTTGGGAGCCCTAGAGAATAGGTAACAGCCAGAGCATGCCACTGCACATTGAACGGTCTGTGCACGGTCTGTGCGCATCACCCCACTGGACACGCCTACGCGCTGTCGCAGGCGGAATCCCGGAACCGGGGATTATCCGCCTCCGGCGGCTGGTCCCGGCGTGTTCCCATAGTTAAGAATTAACCTTCCATTAATTATAAGACTGCACATTTATATCACTAAGGCTACTCAGACTACTCAGGCTGGACTAAGAGTAAGCCCTGGTACTCAGGCTTGACCTAGGGTAGTCAATCGTCTTTACCACAACGCCGAATCATTCCGCATTAGCGGCTCTTCAATACCATGGAACGGAACGCCATTACACTTGGCACCGCCTTCCCAGCTATAGCACTAGTCCGTATTGGGATGTCATTCCGCGGCCTTGCATTTTGTCCATGCCATGTTTCTTCACTTCTTGCACTAGGCTTGGCCTTCTACCTAGGGGGCCAGCATCTGCTAAACTGACTGGTCGTGATCATGCTGACATTAGACCTGTCAGAGACTAGAAACGAGCATGATGGTTGTGAATTCGTATCCCAATGATCGTGATTTAAGCAGTATGACCTCGACTCTGGAAATCACAGTTCGCAATGCGCCCCCACTCTAGGGGACTATAGTCTCACGCCCGCGTCAAGCTGTGGGCTTAGCCCTTCCCCCAACTATCACTCCGAGAACGATCTGGAAGTCCTGTCACAATAGTAACCGCAAATTTCAATACTGCTGCATTTATCCAAATGGGATGGCAGAATTTCAAGTACCGAGCTTCCGGAAAGCTGCATCCAGTATACGATAGAATTGAAAGAGACAGTGAATAAGAAAGTCCTTTCTCCCGACACAGAAGATGACGCAGCCCTGACTCCTAGTGCTTACTGCCCGATGACCCTAAAGGGGAAATTGGAGAAGTCGGCAGAAGGAAAGACCCCCGGTAAAGGAAGGGTAAAGTCGGACGACACCTCGATCATGGTGTCAGTATAATAAAGTATCACTTCCACAGCAGACTAACCAAAACCCTCAAGATTGACGGGGCCGAAGATTCCTCGGGCCAACCGTCAAGGCTCATAAGACGCGATACAGCCGCTCCTGCCACGTGCACACCGCAGCTTTGGTCCACACAAGTCCGCCATAGAGTCTCGACAAAAGGCCCAACTAGGCCGAGATTGACGGCTGATTCTGGTGTAATGCAAGGGCGATATTTGAGGGATCTCGCCAATAATGCTGAGCTCATCCTCGGCATCACGAGTGGTATGGTAATAGAACTCTGAAGGGCTGCCGAGGCCATCTCGCTAGGCGGATTCAGATAATGCAGGATCTTGGACATGATTTCGGCACGGGAACAAACAAGCATGCTCTTTTGACAAGATCACCATTATTTTCGGGAAAGAGCGCAAAGCCCCAGAAGACATAGATGTCGTACGACTGGTAAGCAAACACCGGTTGGACAGGGAGACAAAGCCTCAAGCCCCAGTTACTATTCATCATAAAAACGATTGCACCAGCCTGAGATGTTCATCGAGATAGAGACAGAACGAATTTAATAAGTCTAATGTCCTCGGTTATGGTGGTGAAAGATTCCAACATAGATTCAGATGTGTGCGCAAATTGAATGGCAAGCTGGCGGGAGATTATTTGTTCCAATTTTAGATCCCAACACAGTCGAGCCCGGTGTACAGATGATGATATCGCTAGGCCCTATAGCCTTTTTGAAATCAGGTCCACTCTGAGGAACGTCGAGCCGACTGATTGTACAACGATTTTGGTTGACCGTAGATTCGAAATTCCGTATCTTGGTATCGAATTGAAAATCCACGCCTCGACTCCGGAGAAAGAAATATATAGGAAGGTTTCTCGACTCGTCTTGGTAATAGCCTATGAGATCCAAGCAACTCAAAACATCTAAGCTGTGGAAGACGAATAAATATTACCTATCAGCACGCCTGAATCCTGCGGCGCAGTGTTAAGACTGAAAGCCAAATCTGTAGAATTCGGATACCAGAAGCTAAACAGGGGAATCAATACGTTGGGTCGTGCAATTACTCACTGTGTCGACCATATAGTCCAAAATGTACTCCGAAAAAACTTTCTTGGAAAAAGATTCGTATCTTTTTTTTGCAGGCTTTTCTCCCTTTTCATCAGAAGACACATTAGATGTATTATGTGGTTCCACTTAATATTCAGCGACTTCGTGGGCAGGTGTTTGAAAGCTCCTTTATTTTAAGCGATAAAACAGGTGGCCCCTTTTCTGTTCATAGCATTTTGTCCCTCCTCTGCCCGGAGGTCATAGAGACAAGAGCCGCCTTCGGCCACTGGGGATGGAATCATATGGAGAAGCACTGTCAACGCCGTTCCAACAGGAGCAGGGAGACACCCTGCAAACTGATCGTATCCTGCAAGCATACTACCTTGATCATGCAATATTTGCTTCAAGGATAAATGCTTATCGAGAATATGCACAGCATAAGGATTTAAACGAGCCTTTTTTTATCTGGTAAACTGCTGATGCTAGAGATGTAGTTCCACTTCCAAGGGTCCAGGCCTCGGTTGTTTCTGGTGAACGCCGGTTATATTGTGCTGAGATATCCATGGAGAGTGTCTTATAGGCGAAGCAGATTCGAATGCGATGGAAAGCTGTTGCAATGTACATATGTCGAACATCAAAAAGCATGAATATCGCACATACGTCCGCCTAATTATATCAATAAAAATACAAGCAGGCTAAGTGTATTAGTGTGGCTTACTGATTGGACACTGAGTATCACTGCGTAATCAGAGAGCATCCAATGAGCACTCACTGATCTGAGCCCGTGCTGACATCTACTCAGTGAGCCTGAGCCCAAGCACCCTCATAAAAGCGGCGGCAGCTCAAATAGGAAGCCCTACCCACCAGGGAATACCCGGTGGGTACATACATACCCCTTCCCAAAATCTGGGCCGAGGCGGCTGTTCTCCACACTTCTCCCCGCATTCAAAACCACCTCTCTCCGCCGCAATGTCTTTCTCTCTACATATTCACAATGGCTTCCCAGGAACCCCATTATGTGGCAGTTGCCCAGAGCAAGCAAGCTGAACCTGCTGCAGCTATTCTGGCGGCTGCCTGCACACCTCATACCTGAGGGGATGTTGTCAATTTCTGAGTCGATCACGGTTGGCCCAAAAAGTTACCAACGAGTCGGGGTAATGGCTATTCCACGGACATGTGACCTACTTACATATAAAGAATTGGAAATCACGGAGAAATACGATGTGCGGGGCCTCGTGGCGGAGATGGGAGAGGGCCGGTTGAAAGTCGAGGACGTGGTGCGAGGGTTTTGCAAGGTACTTCTGCATGTTAGCTGATTCTCTACGATTGAGTCACTAATATCTATGTTATAATTCAGAGAGCAGTCATCGCTCACCAACTCACTCGCTGTCTCACAGAACCCCTCTTCGACCGCGCCCTACAACGAGCCCGGGAGCTGGACGACCACTTGCAGCGCACAGGCACCCCGATGGGCCCCTTACATGGACTCCCGGTGTCATGAAGGATACATTTAATATAAAAGGCGTGGACTCAATCATTGGATTGTCCGCTCTGGCATTCAAGCCCGCGCAAGCAAATGCCCCGCTAGTAGACCTGCTGCAGTCTCTGGGCGCGGTTGTGATCGCCAAAACAAACGTACCACAAACACTCGCAACATTGGACAGTTGCAACCACCTTTTCGGGCGCACGCTGAACCCTCTCAACCGTAAATGGACTGCTGGTGGAAGCACTGGCGGGGAGGGTGCGTTGATCGCCATATGCGGGTCCATGGTCGGCTTTGGCACAGATATCGGCGGTAGCATCCGCGTACCAGCCATGGGCCAGGGTATCTACGGGTTCAAGCCGAGTGGCGGACGCGTGCCATTTGGGGGTCAATAGAGCGGCCAGATTGAAGGCAAGGGCCGGATAGGGTTGCAAGCAGTGGCTGGGCCGTTAGCTCGCTCTGTTGCGGATATCAACGCCATCATGGCGGAGATCGTGCCTCGCGTGGAGCTGTTTGGCGAAGATTGCATTCCGGGCTCATGGTCGTCACAATCGATGCCGCTTTCTCTCACTCCACCGCACAATTTCACTATCGGTGTTCTCAAGACAGATGGTCTCGTTACACCTCTACCCCCGATCACCCGAATCTTGAACGAAGTCGCCGACAACCTCCGCCGTACACCCGGCGTCGAGGTCGTTGATACCCCACTTCCGCCGGTCGTACCTAAATGCCAAGCCCTCGCTGGCCGACTCATGGGCGTCGACGATGTGTCCCACATGCTTGACCTTATCGACAGCATGGGCGAGGACCTCATTCCGTGGCTGCAGGGCCGAATGAAGCGCGGCAAAGCCTTGACGGTGGTTCAACTAGCGACGCTGCAGGCTCAACGTGCCGAAGTTGAGAAGGAGATGATGAAGATGTGGACGTTGTCATCACAGGGTTCGTCTGCTCCCCGACGCGTTGACGCCATAATTTGCCCTGTGGCGCCACACCCGGTCCCGGAGATCGATCGCTACAACGCCGTCGGGTACACATCTACCTTTGTGTTATTAGATTACCTGGCTAGCTCGGTTCCTGTCCGCTCATTCACAGAATCTGATCTTGAGACTGGACGGGAAATGGAAGCACCTGTATTGGGAAGTTGGGATAAGGCTAATCGGCAGCTGTGTAAGTTTTTGATATTGATGATTGACATATATGTGATCTTTCGCTAATTTGGTTTGATTTACAGGGGCTGAAAAAACGGCTGACCGTCGGGTCTACCTTGGGTCACCTCTAAGTGTGCAGGTCGTCACTCCGAAGCAACACGATTATCAAATTTTCCAGGCAATGGAGATCGTTGATCGGGCCGTGCAGGGCCGCGCAGGCCCCACCGGTGCGAAGCTATAGTTAGTTCGCATGTATCTGTCCATAGCAACATGACCACTTTCTGGAAAGGGCCACAACAAGAATAGTTGGCCGCGTTTGCGGCCTTGTGATATCTTTTCAGTAGGTCTTTTTAGCTGGTGGTTGTAGAGGTCTCTTCAGATGTATGTGAAGGCGGTAAAAAAAAGCGGACTTTGTGTAGGGGATTTTCTATATGTAACCTGTGATTTGAGGTTGAAAATCTTACGAAAATTCCTGAGGCAAATACAGTAAGAAATCTGCCGAGGTATAGCTACTCGTCGGCTATCGGCTGTCGGCTGTTGCATTATGGGCTGATTCGTTGATTCGAGGAAGTAAATCAATTCAACCAATCAGAAGTGCAGGAACCAAAGTGGCAAGAATGTCATGCTTTCAGCACGCTGATAGGAGATGGGGTGGTACGATAATGGTGTGGAAATGGGGTATCGAGCGAGGTGAGCGGCGGCATGATGCATTTACATAAATGTACAAGTCAAGCCACAAACACAACAACTAGAACCATAACCAGAGTACCCAAGCCTAGAGAATGAGGCCAAGATACTAGACTAGATTTACCTTGGACGGGTCGCTCTCAAAGTTAATGTCGCAGAACCACGGATCAGATAAGATCTCCGCGGGTGATGGTCTCTTCGCGGGATCATATTGTAAAGTCCATCGAATGAGCGTTTTCACTTTATGAGCTTCCTCCTCATCAAGATCCGGGTCTGCCTGATCGAATGACTCTTCGATGGATGTCTGCTCCACCATAAGCGGTTCCTCCCCCGGAGTAACTCCTCCAAGCTGACAATTAAAGAGCTTCCTCTCAGGAGTGAAGTAGAGCGACGATGTCTTCCAATGCCTGAAAAGCTCGTCGGGGAGGGCGCCGAGCTGGGCGGTGAGGTAAACAAGATGATCGTCATCTTCCATCCCGGAGTATGGTATACAGAAGAGTGGCTGTCCGGTGATAAGCTCAAAGACAATGCAACTGAAACTCCAGACATCAACGGTATTATTGACGGATCCGGTGAGGATCGACTCGGGAGCTCGGAGGCCGAGTGGAGTAACAGGCTTTTCCGGCGGATCGGTAAGGAAATATGCTATTCAGAACAGAGGTATGAGTATAGATGTTCGTCAAGAAGAAGGAACAGATAATCGAAATAGGAGAGGGACTGACCACCACCTATATCGGATAATTTGACCTTGAACCCTTCTGTGTAGTAAGTAAAGGGCACCAGTGGCTGCGCAACACAAAGATATTGAGGAGCCCATTTGTCTTGTTTACCATCTAGCCTCTCTATAGGTCGCGAGATCGACCGGGCTTGCACATCTTCCTCTTGCCGGACTAAGTTCCCGGGCTTCGAGTTGATATTATCAAGAGTGAAGAGTATGTTTCCCGGCTGGAAGTCTCCGTGGGCGATACCATTTTCATGGAGAAATGCAAGAGCCTGCAGGATGCTCTTTGCCATCTGAAGCGGATATCGGATCTCCATTTCTTGCCTGCGAGGTTTGAACTGCGGCAGCTCCTCGACCATAGTGTTCACACTCGGACCCATAGGCTCAAATACCAGGCACTTGTGGACGCCATTGGGCCCGCGATGTTCGAACTCGCCTAGCAGTCGCGTGATATGCCGGGTTCCTTCTACTGGTCCGACTTCAATGATATGTCGTAAGATTCATAGCTCGGTTGTCAATTCCGAGATTTCCGAGAAGAGGATCTTTAGGGCGACATATCCATTGTTTCTTCCCAAGTTTCCGGATGACCTTGTACTGGCGGTTGAAGACGTCGCCGAGAATGACTGGGTGATAACCACCTGGGCGGTAATCCTCCACCCATTCACAGGGTAACGTAATAGCTTTGAATCTCCGTCCGTCATCTATTGAGGCCTTTGATGGCGGATTGGGAGGAGACGAGGTACTCATGGCTGCGATGGAGCTGCATTGTCCAAGATGTATCGTATCGAGCGGAATGTTTTATAAGAAATACAGGATTTTGATGGGGAAGAGCAAAACCTGAGAAACTGGATAGACGTTCCCAAAGAGCATTGGGCAAGTGGTAACGAGTTTCGGATCTTGTACACGCGTCATCGTACTATGTTTATTTATCGTGGTTTGATATGACTAAGAAAATTGAGCCGTTCTTATTGGCCTAAATATCGCGGTGCCAACCCGGGCCTAGGTGGCCCAAGCGGCCCAGACCCACGGAATGGCCGACAAGCAATGCGGCTAAGCCCCTGATAAGACTAAAGCCAATCTCGCGATGCTCTTAATTATGGCGCAATACCCGATTTTGCCTGGTATGGCGTCCACACCATGTTATTGCCAAGGCAAAAGAAAAAAAAAAGCAGTGGCAAGCAAAAATAAGAAAAATAAGATAATCCACGTGTAATCTGTCTCTCATTTGTTTATAATGCAGCCTCCGCCGATCCCACCTCCATAGGTCGACTTACCTTCTTAACCCATTACTTTGATCATCTTACCCAACATGTCCAAGGAAGACAAGAAGGAACCAGGCTACGTTCTGGGCAACGAGTCTGATGGAACAGACTCGTTTGATACCATCACTGCTCTGGTCGCCGCAGGTACGGATTGCACTACGTTATATGCCGGAGTAAGCTGACATTACCTTTTGTCCAGACCATGCACATGATATCAAGCTTCGGACTATGTCATGGCAAAAGACGGCCTGCTTGCTTGCCGGTGAGCAGGTTTGTCTGGCTATCATGGCACAGTCGTGGTCTCTCTCGTGAGTAACCATTTCCTTCCAATACCCGTTTTCAACGAAGCTGACAGGGGTGTTTCCCTTAGCGTCCTCGGATGGGTTCCGGGAATCATTACTATGGTCCTTTGCGGAATTATCTTCTGGATCACTTCGATCACGATGCATAAGTATATCATGAAGCATCCCCATATCATGGATATCTGTGAGTTTGTGACAGTCCGGGTATCCCGATTTCTACTTGCAACAAACACTAACAGCTTAATCACCAACAGGCGACTTTGGATACCATGTATTTGGACAGAGCAAAGCTGCCTACGTCTTCTCTTCGTTCATGCTGCTTGCAAACAATATTCTTCTGATCGGATTTCACATTTTGACTGGCGCCAAGGTCCTGAATACCCTTTCAGACCACTCATTGTGCACTGCAGTCTTCTCAATAATTGTGGCAATCATGGGAATCATCATATCCATACCCCGGACCTTGCAGCATGTTAGCTTCATGTCAATGTTCTCATGTGAGTATCTTAATCCTGCCCAGCTTTCTATTGCCCCCAACTGACCATTCCACAGCCGCCTGCATGGGTATCGCAATTCTTCTCTTCCTCATTTTTGCCGGTATCGAAGAAGCCCCTCTATACGGCTACAATGGCAACTACCCAACAGATGGACCCGTGAGGACCTATGCCTTCCCCCTACCAGGCACCACATGGGTTGCCTGTATGAACGCTGTGATGAACATCACCTTTCTCTGGGTCCCCCAGATTCTATTCCCAACCTTCATCTCAGAGATGGAAAGGCCGCAAGATTTCCCCAAAGCATTGGCCGTTCTCGCCGCCATCTCCAGCATTCTATTCATCGTCCCTTCAGCCATTGGATTCCACTTCCTAGGCCAATATTCCACAGCCCCAGCCTTCGGAAGTTTGGGAGTCGTCTCATACAAGAAAGCATCCTTCGGCTTCGTCATCGTGCCTACCCTAATTATCGGCGTGATCTACGCCAACGTGACTGCAAAATTCCTCTACACCCGCATCCTTGGCAACTCCCGACACTCGCACAGCCACACCGTGATTGGATGGAGTGTCTGGGGGATAATCATGGTCGGGATCTGGATGCTCGGGTTTGTCTTCGCAGAGGTCATTCCTAGCATGGGTGATTTCCTTTCCCTCCTCAGCGCGGCCTTTGATTCGTTCTTTGGGTTCATTTATTTCGCCGTTGCATTCTGGCAGTTGAACCGGGGATCGCTTTTCAACGGTCTAGGGAGGACTGCTATGACTGTGCTCAATATTTTTATTATGATAGTGGGACTGTTCTTGCTGGGTCCGGGCTTGTATGCAGCTGTTGAGGCGATCATTGCGGACTACGCGGGAGCTGTGACGCCAGCCTTTACTTGTGCTAATATGGCTATCTAAGGGGAGGTCATTTAATAGCTTTTTATGACCGGATGAGTGATTTGATGCTATTTTCATGTTGTATGATTGGGCAAGGAAATGAACTGGAACATCACCGGCCAGTGAAAATCCAGCTTTCTGTCTATTATGTATAAGTAGCGTCCTTATTGACGATGTTCTGTTTTGTGATATAATCGCGCACTCGCAAATTCGCCGCACCTACCTCAATATTCTGCCTATCCCGTTCTCTACCTGAGTTTCTTCATTCCCCGTACTAATCTTGAGTTACCGGGCAGAGTCCCCGATAAAGAGCCAACTGAGTTGCCGCCTGTTCAAATAGTGGACATATCAAATCCACCTGTGGATGGCTGAAAAGTGTCATGCAGTCAGACTAACCCCATCAGGAATATAAAAGCACTGTAAAAAGCTAATGAAAATTAAATTATGCCAACTCAGCCTCAATCAGACTTTCCGCAACACCAGGATACGTATAAATCCTCACAACCCTCAACCCTACTCTCTTCAAAATCCCCCTCCACTCCTCCTCCGTCCTCTCCCTGACCGAAAAATGCGACAGCATCATCAAATCCATACTCGTCGCCGCCAGCGTCAGCTTCTCTTCACTAATAACAATCTCATTAAAGAGAACCCGTGAATACCCCCTAACCAAAGCAGGCACCAGATTCTTCAAAATTCGCACACCATCCTCGTCACACCAATCATGCAAAATAGAATGCAAAAAATAAGCCCTCGCTCCCTTCACAGGCTGCGGCGTGAAGAAATCATAACCCTGCACCTCAAACGCCCTCCCCCCAGCACATTCCAAAATACTCGAAATAACAGCCCCACGGTCCTGAAGCACAACCTTTCCAGGCAGATTTCCATACATTGCCACAAAAGCAGCAACATCATGACCACGCCCACCACCAACATCAACCAACAAAGCCTCACCAATCTTAGCATCAAACCCGCAAATCAGCCGCTGTAAAACAGGGTAAAACCCCTCCTCAAACCAACTCGCCTTCCCAGCACGGTAGGCACTCATAAACGAATTAAAATGCCGCAGCTGCGGCGGCGTGGCAACAACCCAGTCAAAGAACCGTAGATCCGTCCCATGTGCGTATTGAAAGGGTCCATCCATACCGCCCAGCTTCGGGGACCGGTACGCACTTTTCTTGAAGTATTCCGGAATCCCGTTAAGCGATGGCCGTGTGGTGTCATAGCAGAATACGATACTATGTTGGTATCGTTCCTCGATGAGGCCGTTGCTCAAGGTTGTGCCGTGGAACGCACCTGAGTAGAAGGCTAGCACGTTCATGGCGACTAAGTGTCGCGCAAGACGGATCAGGAGGTTACCTTCCACGCCTGTTTTCTCGGATAGAGATTTGGGGCTGAGGCCTGCTGGGGATGCTTCTTGGAGATGTTGGAATAGGCGCACGTCTACGGCGAGCCGGATTATGGCGGACTGAGCGGGCTGTAGTATAAATCGGGATAGTGTTAGCTTGCCTCTTCGGTATCTGGGGGGGGGGACTGTATTGAATTAGAACTAGTCTTTTTACCTCTGCCCAGAAAGTGCGCTGGATGAATTCACTTGGGATTTCGAGTGCGGCCACGAGCGCGCGGCTCTGTGCGATGAGCACTTCTCGTGATCCAGGTTCATTGTCTTTGAATGCTTTTCCCGTGGAGGCAAGTTGCTTGAGGATTGAGAAGGGATTCATGCTTGAGGTATACTGTGGGAATTTGGATATTCATATAACGCATTTTGCAGCGAAAAAACTGCTTAAATACCCTAAAGACCTTGGTAGCACTAGTAGCATTTTCCGTTGGAACGTGCCGTCCCACCTGGTACGCCCTTCGATACATAGTAGGTTATTCGCGGCTTTACTTCCAGAAGCCCTCAATCTCTCGGGATCTATACTTTGTGTCAAGGGTGAATACCTAGTCTTTACATCGGGCGACTGGAGCCGCGCTAGAGGAACCTCCACGGAAGTTAACCGTGGTTGACGACTCGTTGGGTAGGTCTCGTGGTCGATTTCCAAGTTTGTTTGATATCGATCAAGCACCATCTGATAACTTGTTGGGTGTCACACAAGTCAAGATACCGTTTCCACAAGGGTCAAAACTGCCTGTCTTTCAGCAGTCACTTGGACTTTGACTCGAATTTATATTGTCAACCATCTACAGAGACTGGAAGTGAGCTGTGCGCCGGTTTATTTAGGGATTATTAAGATTGCTCATCACAATTTCCAATTTGGTGACATTTGCTTAAATTGAAAAATAAGTTGGAAAGACGCCCGTCACGATGCTAGACTTGTTGCTGAAAGGGAGCATGGACTATATCAGACCTAGAAGACTACATACAAGATGTACCTTTCTTTAAAACTGCAGCGCTGAGACTAATAGCTCTAATCTCAAGCACCAGCTATACGTTCATGTCTCCACTAAATCAAGCCCGCATCAATCAAAATGGGAATAGCCTGATCCTCGATCCACTCCGTACATTTGATCAACGGTCGACGAGGCTCTCCAGGTTCGTAAAACGCCACAGGATCCCAACTCTTGACGGGCTCTGTCTTCATCGTCACTTTGTTGAAAGCCTTCTGTTTTGGTGGCGCAGGAATAGACTTGAGAATATCGTTCCAATTCTTAGGGTAGTTGAGAGCTCTGGTGTGCCCAAGCAGTTCCTTTGAGAAGAAGTTCTCGTCTGTCTCGGGGTCGTCGTAGCTTGCTGGCTCGTAGTGCATGCCTGTGACAATGTCGCCAGTAACGTGGTGCTTGATGCCGGTACCTGAGCCTTGGGCGTTTGTCTGAACGAAGAGTATGGTGTGGTATCGGGGGGATGGCATGTCTGGGTCTTGGATTGAGAGTTTCAATTTGACCTTGTAGACTGGGTAGATCTGGGAGATTGACATTTTGGCGCTGGAATTGGGAGATGAATAGGAAGATGGGTTGAGGATCAATTTGACTGGCTTCCGGACAAGAAGCTAAAGTTTTAATGCTAGTCTTGGCTACTTTTCTCCCCGCTTTTTTCTTCTAGCAAATGGGGCATCACGGAATGCCGCTAACCGCCCAGTCAATTTAGAAATAGTACAGTAAGTATCTCGACATCCAGTATGAGCGCTCAATATCTTGTCTGACAATCAACGTTGGTATTTCCAATATTTCTAGTCTGACTAGCTCGCTATCTTTGATGCATACAAAGATTTTGAACATTCTAGCCCTCACTTTCGGCCATATGCTTAACTGGAAAATGGGAAATAACTTGCAATGATCCTCCATCCATAAAAAAATACATAACAAATCAAAGAGAATTGGCACCATGGCAGTATTTTTACTGGGTTTGATTTCTGTTATCTCAATATCAGGCAGAAGCCGGCACATTGCCCAATGCTCAATTCCACGTCCACATATCTAGATAATTAACGATGCTCTTTGTACTCAATCACAGTGACACTCGCTGTTCTATTAACATTCCTATCTAGGGAAGACAGAAACATATCCTTCAGCTCGGTTATTGAGGAATGGCCATCTGTATAAAATATAGTGGTAGGGATATCCCTCCTATATTCGCCCCGATTCTTGCTCTCCGGTCATAAGATCCTCAAATTTTAGAGCAAATTGGGTCAAGCAATCCAGATTAGCGCGAATCAATTCACGGTAGTATGTAAAACAATAGAGACTGACATGATGTCGAAAGCTATGTTACAATACATGACTGGGAACCTGAGTATTCAACACCTCGGAAAATACATGGACCGCTGTGATAGTGGTCCCTATACAAAATGCATAGTGAGCTTAGTCAACTATGCCCAAGCAGATTGTCAAAATAGTGGAATTTGTCATTTTAGTCAGTTAGAGTCATATACATCTGTCATTTTGAACCATACATTGCAATACCGGTGATTTCCGTCAGAAACCTATTGACTTATTAAACTATATTATCACTTGACGACACTCACGAGCGGACTAATACCCCGGTATAGATCCACTCGGCGCTCTACCGGGCATCGTTCCTCGATACCTTCAAACGGACTTAGGCTGGAATAAGACTGTGCGCAGCAACAGCTCGGTTGAGAAGCAGATCGTTGACGTTGGAGGAGCAACACAGGCAAGTATAATCAGGAAAGCTTTTAACATAACTGTGACTAGTTAGGCAGTGCGTAACATCTACATGAACAATGACACTGATTGAAAGCAACCTGCCCTGCTCATTCCCTTCTTCTCACCAACTTAAACCCAAATCTGGGTGTTATATTAGTCTGCATAAAGCTCACATGACACGCCACGCGCTGGCACCTCATCTCCACCACCAGACTCTCTGCCCCGCTGGGACAGGCGAACTCCAGTGTTGTGCTGTTCGGCTTGGCTGTGAGGTCTAGCACGCCGAGCAGCTCTCCGCGCACGGGAAGAGTCGAATACGATAAGGTGTCATAGTTGAGCTCGTCTATATTGGACGAGACGTTGGCCGAGGTGGCCGAGGGTGCGATAAGCTGCCAGACTTCAATTTCCGTTATATCTCCTTTGGTTGTGAGGTCCTTGGTACGCGCAGAGAACTCGGGAGGCGGCTGCCAGGAGAGCGCGCAGGTGTTGAGACCGGTGGAGGGAATGGGAAAGCGCATAATTGTTGAGTCCTTTTCTTGCGTCAGCACCTACACAGAGCGGTAGACACAGATAATAGGTGGATGGAGCAAGTACGAAATACGGACCTCGACAGTAATATAGACCTGCACCTCCTGACCCCACACGGCATTCTTCAATCTCCGGCTCACCCGTGCAATTCTATCTGGCCAAGCGTGGTGATAGACCTGGGGAGGGAGGATGAAATTCGCTACCCTTTCCAATCCCAGCCTAGCGTCGCCATAGGGGAGGGCCTCGAGTTCAGAGTCAGAAAAGGGGTAGGCTTGGTACTTTGATAGTGTAGTAGGAAGGATAGCGATGTTCACAGCTGATAACAGCGCTAAAGCGAAAGAGAAGTAGATAATAAGCTTGGGCAGCTGGGCGGGCTTGGATGGCCCGAGCGCGGAAAATTCATCCGAGCCTTCGAGCAAGGAGGCAGAGTGGTCGTCCTCAGAGGAGCGCTTCTCAACAGTTGCGCTGGAGCCCTCGCCATCGTCGTGTAGCGAAAGGGGCGCATACTGGGAAGACGTGGGCTTTGCTTTGGAGGACATGGTGAGTGGCGGGTCAAAGAGTAGAGCAGAGCGAGCGAGAGGAGAGAGAGGAAGCACCGGGGGACGAAAGCAAGCAGCGTTAAAGCAAGTAGCGACAAAGCAGGCAGTGGTGCCTGTGCCGGGTACCCCCACCCTAAAAGTGGGACTACATGATGACAGGAAATGACAGAAGTCTGTGGTACCATAATGTATGGTATGGAATTCTAACTAAAAATGACAAAACCCGCCATTTCAACAATCTGTGCGGACATAAATGACTATAATATACGCTTTTGTATAGTATACAATACCTAGTTTCAATTATATACTAGTAAGTTACGCCTTCCTGCTCACCGCGCTCGCTAGAGATAGTAGGGTTACATTCGGTGACCCAAAATGAGGTGTATTATGGCAGGTAAAGTAGAAAGGGTGCGGGCCATAGGGAGTTAACCCGTCTGGGCATACTCCGTACTTCCATCCTGCCCTCGCTTTCTACACCGTGCTGCACTTGACCTACTGTCAACCATGCCCTCCCTCCTCGCCGCAATCACCTTCTTACTTGCCCTCAGTATCGGCATCAACATCACATCCGCCGCGCACGCAGGCTTCCACCTCCAGTTCCCATGGATTACCCGCGGTCCAAGCCCCAGGACCCGGCCAGAGATAGATCAGTACAACCCTTTCTGCGGTATGTTCCTCTGTCTCCGGTCTAGTAGAAGCAGTGTAGGCTGATACAGAGAAGGGGAGATAGTGCATAACCCCCAAAGATTCTCCCGCCGCTCCCGCAGTTTCCTCTCGTTCTCCGGTCATCCTGGGGACCTTGTGACGGCCCTCTATACCCGAAATAGAGTTCCAAGGAAGAGAGATGACTTCCCCTATATCATCCTGCAGGATGTGCCCATTCAGCCTTCGGGGCAGCTGTGTTTGAATGTCACGATACCATTTCAGACCAAGGTCGATGAGATGGGAGTCATGTACTTCGAGGCGAGGGATCCGAAGACAGGGAATGTGCAACACCATGTCAGTTGCTCCGTCTTGCAGATAGTAGAGCTGATGCTGACGCAGAGATAGTGCTCCGACGTCAAGATGGCTGACATAGAGGCTCTTCCGGAGGCGCATCCGGCTATGTGTGCGGCTAACAACGAGACGCTTATCCCGATGCCAGATGAGTACCTGTAGATGTATGCTGAAGAGCTGTCATGTCCTGGAATTATCATGTGTGCATCGCTTCTAAACGTGAAATTTTGCGCCCCTCTTTCATCTTAACGTACAATGGCTCAACTCAACGGCACTCTATTGGCTTGAAATGAAGCAGATATCCAGCTGGTTAGCTCCTCTATACGTTCCTATCCAGTCCAGAGTAACCATCGTAGTGCTACTACTATCTATAGTGTCTGAATGAACGATCTGTCGTCGACGCGTTGGTTTACCTGCCCGACGCGATTGTTAGCGCAACTTAAAAAGGTATTTTAGATAGAAGACGAGGTAGTCATCAGATATATACTCGACCCAGATCAACGTAGATTTATATCGGATTACCAGCCCCGAGAAGGCTAACAAGGAAGCGTCCAGGAAGACAGCAATCGGGCTTAGTCGCCATGGTCTAGCACGCCGTGCAAGGTCTAGAGAGACTGGACATAATACACGTACGTGCAGAAAAAATACTCAAGACACTGCTTACATGCTTTGCTCATATATATTCATATTCCTATGTAACGAACGTGGTGAAAAGAATACGCTCAAAGAGAGCGTAAAGTTGGTTGGTTGCGGCGCTCGCCTGTAGAACATGTTGGAGACGTTTGTAAAGCTCTTTGCGTGCGAGACTTCAGTTATCCGCAGCCGAGCGGTGTCTAGACGCGCATAATCATGTCCTTGCCCACTTCGTAGGTGTGCCGCTTCTAGAGGGCGACCTCGTCGTCATCCACTGTGTAGGTGTGGCGCTTCTCGAG